TTTTTTTTTTTTTAAATGAGCATCATGCTTATTTGCGAAACAAAGGTTTGATGAAACAACAATAAGTTAAAGGAGATTTTTTTTTAATCCCAAAAATTGTTGTTGTTTTTTTCCTGGCACATCTTTGTCGAATTTCCAAATGCACATTATTCCTAATAGAAAGACTTGCCAGCTCACGTTTCATTTCTGGTTTCTTAATAGTTTGGAGGCCAATGGGTGATTTAAGATTAAATGTGAATAGGATGGGCCCGTCTCCAGGAGGCGATTATGTCATTTGGATTGTGTCGTTTCGCTAAAAGAGTCTGCCGAAACTACAGAGGATGTGTTTCTTTAAAAAGGGGAAATCAAACAAATCAAACGTTTCCCATTCAGTTCAGTGGCCCCCCCCCCCCTCTCTCTCTCTCCCTCTCTCTCGGCAGCCGGTGAACGTAAGGAAACGTTGGTCGATACAGCTTGGCAACAGGGGTTTAGGTTTATAAGGAGTCATGCTGTCTTGTGAAATTTTTGTTGCAACCATCACAAGGCAGCGCAAGTTTGTGTTTAGATTTTATTTTACATCTCTTAGATAAACCGCCATCAGAACAATGTCGCAGTCCAGGGGGTGCGGAGGGAACAGTCCACACTTGATTTTATTATTATTTTTTAAAATAATTTTAAGAGGTGGGATTTTCGGCCAACTGCAGGTTTTTTTTCGTGAAGGGAGGCAACAAAAACAACAACAACAAAAAACGTGGCCCGCACCGTACGGCACTACGTCACTGCATCCAAGCTCCGTCTACTCTTCCTATCTGGAATCAGTTTTTGCTTGTGTTTTGGCGTAGTTGGCGTTTGAAGTTAGGATCACAGGTTTTCAAGCAATCGCAAGTCCTGGTGTCGACACACATGACCACACAACAGCCATTAAAAAAAAAAAAAAAAAGCATAGGCATAGGCCCTACTCCATAACTTCTAAATTGAAACTAAAGTCATAAGGTGAAATCAAGCATTCTAGAGCAGGGGTCAGGATCAGGGGTCCGGAACCTTTTTGCCAGAGAGAGCCATGGACACCACCAAACATTCTAGGCCAGGGGTCGGGAACCTTTTAACTTTTTGTCTGAGAGAGCCATGGACACCACATATTATGAACATTAAATCTCTAAGAGCCATTCATTTTATTTTAAACTAAAAATTCAAGTGTATTTCAACACTAAAAATGCAATAATTAGGTCTCTGAATTCTTTTTAGTAACATTGTTATGCTAATCAATAATGAGTATTTCTTACCATTAATGCGGCCTTTTTTTTTTATAATCGAACATTTGTCTGCGAGCCAGATGCAGCCATCAATAGAGCCACACCTGGTTCCCGACCCCTGATTTATACAATACACAACTAAGGTTTAATACAGGGGTCGGCAAACTACGGCTCGCGGGCCGGATCAGACAGGCCCGTGGAGTAAATAATAATTTTGAAGTTATCGAAGATTTAACGTTAATACAATTGATGAGTACCATTGGGGATTGGACAAGCTTGAACTACCGTACCTCACAACAGATGGGGTATAACGTGTGCGGTAATGGTTCAATCAAGTTTTTTGTCCACTTGTGCCATGAACATGTCTCTGCACCATTATAGTTAAAACATATCCAGTCAAATAAGTTTTGTTACTGGTATTAAATCATAACACCTTTGATCAATTTGGAGCAGAAACTCTGATTTATATAATTGTTGGACTCATCATTCCTAAATTCGTTGTCATAAAATTAGGACTTGTGTAATCATTGTACGATGTTAGTGTATCCAATTAGTCTTTGTAACATAGTATTAGTTATTAATAGTGTATCCACCCAACCACTGAATAGAGTAAGAGGATAAATTAAGTGTATTACCTAATTGATTTCAAGGACAGAATTATGAAGATAAGAATCCTAGTGGTCTAGTTAAGATTTCACAAAATCTCAAACCAAAGAATCTTTTAAGTGTAAAATTACTAGTTAAAGTTTAAAGCCCTAATTTGTTCTCTTTTTAATTCTGAAACAGGTCATGATTTTAAAAAAGTGGAACATAAAAAACAAAACAAACAACAGACAATCTATAAAATGAAACAAAAGAAGAAGTGCATAATACAAATACCTAATATTTATTTAATCAACATGTGCAAGAAGTAAATAAAGTGAATGGTTTATATGACAACTCATGGGATCAATGCCGATGAGTGTCATCTACATTTGAGGATTACATAAGTCTTGCTCTACACTATACACATTTACATTTGCCTCTGTAACCTACAGAGGTTTCTTGGCACCACACCCTCACCAGCCATGACCGTTGGTCGCCATGCACACACAACACTGACAGCAGTGAATGCTCCCATTCACACCTCACTTCAAAGTTACAACACCTGCATCTGCGAGTGCTTTTAAATTTCCCCACACCCACATCAGCAGTGAGTGCTGCCATGGTCACGGCACACAAACAATATAAACAGTAACGAGTGTTGCCATACAAACTGCGTACACTTTTCAGCACTAACAGCCATTGAGTGTTGCCATTCTCACCACACTCACACTCACAACACCAACAACATCATCAATAAATTAATAGCATAATCCACCCCTGTGGTGGTTGTTCACTAAACTCATCAGAGGTATCTACAATGACATCTAATCTTACCAATCAAATATCGGATCATGCTTCTGGTTTCTTAATGTTTCAGACACAACACAGAATCTCATCAGCTCAATACAACTAATACAAGAATTGAAATATTCCGGAATTGTCCTAATGGACCCATAAAAAAACATTGCTGCCAAAATTACTAGTTCATTTTTTTTTTTTTACATTGAAATTGAAGAAACAATTCAAATATAAACAATAATATGTAATAGCAATAAAATGCATGTATTTGGATTGAAAACATGGCAGAACATTTAGGTTTCTCTCAATCTACTCCATGAACATTTCAAATCTCTCTGCATCCTAGGTGTTTTAACACATTCCAATGCTAAGGAGCTGCAAAGTTGTTTTTTCCCCATTCAGTTGAAAACCAGAAGGCCCATTCGATGAAGACTAACTCAGTTTTTGTTGGTACCAGGTATATTAAACACAAGGTTTATTCTTGTTTACATGATGCTAAGAACCTCTGAAAGTATTCAACTGCAGACATTATAGTTTCTGAAACTGAAAGCTAATCACAAAAGTACAGGTTTAACTTTGAAATTATTCTTTTGAAATTCCAGAAAATAATATTTTTGTTCCATTAAAAAATTTACGGTTTCTGAATTTTCTTTTCATTTCAACAGGGAGAAGAAAAACCCCTAATAAATTATCACTTCAAAATTATATTGAGTCAATTTAAAAACATAGGTAAAATTCCAATTAAATACCATTATAGAATTTAATTTAAAGAACTAAGAGAAAAAAAAGTGCTTTAATTAAAAAATAATTCAAACTCTGCATCTCCACTAGTTATGTTGTAACATTGAAACAAATTGAAACTTTGATTTTGGAGCCTCGCAACTATCTTGCACCATTTCTCCCTGAGTGAAATGAAAAACTGCCAGGAAAAGAAAATTATCTGGATAAATAAATTTGTCCTCTGCAATTTTGGAATTTCCAACATTCTAAAAGAAGTGATGTAAAAAAAAAATAAAATGAAAAAACCTAGAGCCATTTGCATTATTTGCAACAAAATTATTTGATTGAAAAAAAAAAAAAAAATTCCAGTAAAGGACCAACTTCATTTATCTTTCAAAAATACTTTCAGGGTTATTTCTGGCTGCACTTCAACAAAGTATCGCTCTAGGCCTCTAGTTCAAGACTCCTGGTCGGATAGGGAACTACAGTTCCATCTGACAGGCTGAAATGGCACTGTTCTATGGATATTGCCACATCTGGATTTACTTGCTCTTTTGCCTATCACAATGACCCCAGAATGTCTGATTTATCCATAGGTATTCTGACAAACTCTTTGGGGTAATGCTCCAAATGGCTTCAAGCTTGGTGCTTCCTCAACCTATGGAAATGATTGATTGTAATAGGCTTTAGGGACAAGTAATTTCAATAGTAAAAATAAGCTTGTCATTTGAATTAAAAATCAGCTTGGCAACAAGATTTAAGAATATGACTGCATTGGAGGTTTTCATTTAATTATTTCCATGATATTACAATTTATAACAATAGGTTGACATTTAAATACGATGAATAAATTATTTAAATATTAATTAAGAGACAAAAAAACCCACCATTTCCTCATCTGAAATATCTGCATCAGAATCATCACTCAGTGACAAGGTTTCACAAGAAGCTCCATGGTTCAATAACTCTTCCACAATATCTCCATGATTTCGTCCAAAAGCAAGGAGAATTGGTGTTAGTCCTGCGTATGTTCTTGCATCAATATCTGTTTCTCTTCTTGAAACTAAGAATTTCAAAATGACCATGTTGCCCCACTCTGCAGCAAGATGAAGGACTGTCCGACCACTCTTGCCCTCTGCTGTGTTAATGTTTGCCCCATGCAAGAGTAAGAGCCGCATAACACTAAGGTGGCCCCCAATAGCAGCCAGGTGCAGACATGTTAGACCTATATGACATTATATAAATATTTACAAAAAATTAAGGTTTTCGACATTAAGACCTGTTATATCACTAACAACATTTTAACAAGGTCAAATATGTCACAAAATCATTTCAAATGTCTTATAAAGTCAAATTATTTGTCATTAGAAAGATTTTTTAAATGTTATTTTGAATGCAAAAATTTACACTAAAAATAGTTTATTACAAGAAAAAATATCTACTTAACTGGACTGGTCTAATACTTAAATAAAAATTGAGGGAAAAAAACAAACTACAAACCTTCATAATTTTTTGACTCCAAGTCCAAGAGAAATATCTGAGTAGAAATATCATATTTATTTTGTCGGGTTTCCTCAGTCTTGACTGGTGTTATTAGAGTGTGTACAACATCATCATAGCCTAGTCTGCATGCATTGTGAAGTGGAGTATTTCCCATCTGGTCTCTAACATCAACTGATGCACCAGCAGACATGAGCCGTCTTACTACACGGGTCTGCCGTGTAATCACTGCAATATGTAATGGTGTCTGCAAAAGACTGTTGGTATGGTTTAGCCAATCCAGATCAGGTGCTAAGCCAATTATTTGCATTGTTACTTCTGGAAGTCCATGAATAATGCTCAGATGTAAGTGACTGCAATGATAAAAAGTAATATATTTTAATTTTTAAATATAATTATAACAGTTGACTTAGATTAAAATTATAATAAAAACTTACGGAGTACATTAGTTAAAAATGTTCCGGCTTGGGCCAAGGGATCTGACAAAGCCTTGGCCTTTAAAATCATCATTTTCATAGCATGATATTGGTAACATATTTCAATGTTTTAATTTTAACTATTGATACCGAATACAGGTATATGGGAGTCTTCCAAAAAATATAAACAGACCTATAATAAGGGGTTGTGCACATTTTATGGTTAACATTAACAAGATAAGGGTGTCTCTCTAACAGCTAGACTTTGCAGTTAACTTCCTATTTTGCAGTTAACTTCCCATTTTGCATCAAAAATACGATTGGATGCCTCTCTCCCTCTGTGTCATGACAGTGAGTGTTAAATGAAGTGTTAATTTAAATAAGCTTTATAGCCCAAATATAATAGCAATAGCCTTTAAGTATAAGTTATCTTAGGCTTAGGTGCCATCCAAAAATGGGGTCACGCTTTGGGGGGGGGGGGGGCCTGCTTTTNGGGGGGGGGGGGGGAGGGGCATGATTTTTGTGACTTGTGACGATGTATTAGTATTAAGTAAGAGGGTGTCCACCAATTCATTGACTGAACATTTGTGAAGATATGTGAGGGATGCATAAAATCATAATAAATTTCAATCATCATTTATGATTCTTAAATAATATAATTATTATAATATCGGTAACTAATGTTTTAATGTAATGTCAACTTAAATTGCCGCCTGGCCTAAGCCTAAGTCGGCTAAGTTCTAACCCTCAACAAAAAATGGCTCAAACTATCATTCATTAATCATTAAAATTAAAAGCATGTACTGATGTAGTAGCAGATGTTAGCCTAGGCAAAGACTAAAGTGGGTCAGCAACAGGGAAATCCCCTAGCCTATAAATCTGTGCAGTCTGCAAAGCCAGGCAGATGGGGTTATTACAACTTTTTTTCCTCATCTTTTTTATTATTATTTGCGCAGTGCGCAAGACTGGGTTTTCCGTCTAGCTAGTTAAGAGTCCCATCCCTTCCCAATTTCTCCCAGCACTGAGGCCCGGACAAGGAACATCCAAAATTAGAACAACGTACTTTCCAAAATGCCTAAATTTAGAATCACCCAGCACACCGATCGATGACCTTAACCGACGTAGCACGCACAAAGAACATGTCTAAACGTGTGGATTATTAAAGAATATCTATGTAGTGTCCTAGACAAACTGCTGCCATATGATACAATATTGACTTTAAAATGAAAGGCGTATTTATGCCTCAGCTAAATGTCCAACCCGGAAAAGAACGCATTTTTTCCTGCAATTCACTTATATTTATATTAAACATAATAAGTCTTCTTCTTAACCTCTTGTTACAAAATAAAGTATGCGTAATAATAATAATATTATAGTTAATTAATACTTCTTAGGCCTGGGCCCTTAGTTAGGTTTTTGTCAAAAACTATAAGTACTATAATGTTCACTAGGCTAAACTATAACAAAATAATTAGGTCCAGCCCAATGAATGAAATTGAGTCCATTATTATTTGATTAGTCAGACCAGTCAAATATGTTAAAGAAAACTCACTTGTCACCATCCTCATCTCCTCTAAATATCTCAACTACTTGCTGGGGTGAAAAGTTAGGCGAGCACCAAGTTTCTCGTGGGAATAGTTCATCCACAGTATGCTCTAGGCTTATTTGTATTGGTTCCTCGAGGCCAGAATCACACTGACCCGTTGAATCAGATTCAATTTTCATGTCAGAAAGTTTGCTGGCAAGATCCACTGATCCCAAGTTACTCGGAGATGATACATCTGTAAATTTTCTTTTGTACTGATCTTCTTCAACGGAAAAATTGAGTTCTCCGGAATAATATCCAATTGAATTTATTGATCCCAAACCAGAGTCAATTTGGTCGTCCATTAAACTGCCCTGCTTCCTCAAACTTGTTCCACAATCAGGCTCAACGTCATCCATTTTTTCCAGGCGGTAGAAATGAACTGTAAAAATACCACAATCACAAACCTTAAGTTTAAGAAATCACTTTTTACTTAATCCAGTAATAAACAGCCACCTATACGAAGAATTCAATAAAATGAATGTTACCAGGCGCAGCTGGCAATTATAAACGGATTCGGTGGAATTTCCAAGCAACAACAAAAGTCTTTGCATCTAGGATATTCGAGACAGAAAGGCGAAGGGGGTATTTTTTGGGATCACATGACCGATTGAACCAATCGGGAGCCACTACCGCCAGTGCAAGGGGATTCCCCTAGTCCTTTAGCCTGCCGCGAATGCCTGAAACAGGTTCGACGCATATGCTGACCGATTTTTTTTAATGTCTTTTTTTAGTATATATTTTTATAGCGTATTTTATGATTCGGCAGTCGTGCTCTAATTAAATAATTTAAACATGTTTGTGTGCAAATTTTTGATTGCCCACAGAAAATGTTTGCTTACGCAGGCTACCTAAATATAATTCAGAAACAATTCTGGCCATTAGGCCTATGTGGCTTATATGGTCATGGAAGAATACATTTTCCCCCGTAGCTATGATTGATCCTTAGTTACTTATTGTATTAATAATAACATGGTTTTTTCGCTAATTGAAACACACGTCTACGGTTTGGCCCAGACTTAAATTAAAATAAAAATTTCAAGCAACACTTTATGTGACCCACTACTAGATTAGTCACGTCACTAGATTGAAAAAAATAGTTGTCTATAGACCATGGGCGCCCGCAGAAAACTTTCTAGGGGGGGGGGGGCAAAAAAATCGATAAACTTTCCAGGGGGGGGGGCAACAATTTTTTAGTAATGTTTTAATGTAGTTTTTTTATGGTGAACGAACGGTCAGGACATCAGCTTAGTTACTTTCTCTTTATTTTCTCTTTATATTTTTGGTGTATTTTTGTCTAAAAAAAATGTATCCAATCAATCCAAGCGGGGGGGGGGGGGAGGGCCCCCTTGCCCCCCCCTGCGGGCCCCCATGCTATAGACTATAATATTTAAAGTAATAAGTTATTTTTTTTTTTTTTTTTTGGTTGTTTTTTGTTAAAAAAAAATGTAACAAAACAACCCAAGCGGGGGGGGGGGGGAGTGCCCCCTTGCCACCCCCTGCGGGCGCCCATGCTATAGACTATAATATTTAAAGTAATAAGTTACAAAATACATCACTAACCTATATTAATAGTAATTTCATTACTAATTTTATATAAAGTACGACAAACTTCGCTGGGGACCAGGGGGGGGGGTCTAAAAAGTGTGACATAATGCTTTATGTGATTACTAGATTGGTCACTAGATTTTCAAAAAAGTTTATATACCTACGTCATGTTATTTGGATCCCATCCCCACCCCCCTGTTGGTTGAGTCATTAGATCATTTGCTTCCAACGATAACCCACATAATGAATGAAAGCTTGTCTACTGGCACTGTTCCCCCTCTTTGTAAATCAGCTGTCATCAAACCATTACCTAAGAAGTCTGGTCTGGATGAAAACAATTATAAAAATTATAGACCTGTATCTAACTTATTGAAAAACTAGTTCTAAAACAACTTTTTGCTTATTTAATTGACCACTCTCTTCTCAGTTCTAATCAGTCGGCCTATAGACATTTCCACAGCACAGAGACGGCACTCTTGAGAGTGACCAATGACCTCTTGCTCGCATTGGACAGTGGTGATATCTCCATCCTGATCCTCTTAGACCTCAGTGCGGCCTTTAACACTGTTGACCATGTATTCCTTTTCAAAACCCTTGAAAATTACTTTGGAATTTCTGACTCAGTTTTGGCTTGGTTTAGGTCCACCTCTCTGATAGAACGCAGGCGGTTTCTGTCGATGGCTGTCTCTCAGGCAGTGCTGATTTGGTGTACGGAGTACCCCAGGGGTCCGTTTTAGGCCCGATTCTATTCACATTGTATACCAGACCACTGCTCCTCTTGCTTGGGAGGCATGCTGTTGAGAGCCAGTCATTTGCAGATGACACGCAGCTGTACAAGCATACCCATCCTTCTCTTGTTGGATCCGCTGTCCAGACTTTGCGGGGGTGCATTGATGATGTCAAGTCATGCATTGATGATGTCAAGTCATGGATGACACTCAGCAAGTTGAAGCTTAATGATGACAAAACGGAAGCACTCCTCATCCACAATAACACATCATCCTCTACCTCAACTCTTCCTACCTCATTTCAAGTAGGTAACTCTGACGTACGGTTTACCCCCTCTTCTAGGAATCTTGGTTATATTCTTTCTAACAACATGTCTCTCGATAAACACATATCTCACATTGTCGTTCAGCATACACCACTATCCGTCAGATCAGTTCCATACGCCACTACCTCACGGTTAGCGCTACAAAAACTCTAGTCTGTGCTCTTGTTCTCTCTCGTCTTGACTATTAAAACTCTCTTCTGTCAGTTTCACCAAAACACTGCATAGAAAAACTGCAGAAAGTTCAAAACTCAGCTGCTAGGCTAGTTTTAAAGGCAAAAAAACGTGATCACGTCACTCCACTACTCCATTCCCTTCATTGGCTACCTATACAGGTACGCATCGACTACAAGTTGTCTGTTCTCTGTCACAACTTTTTCTTGGATTCCTGCCCTTCATATCTAACCGAACTTCTTTCTGTCTATTCACCCCTTCGACAGCTTCGCTCCTCTGCAGACACGCGTATTCTGTCCGTTCCCAAGACACACACTAAAACATAATATGGTGAATGATCTTTCTCTTTCTGCGCCCTCAAACAATGGAATTCTTTGCCACTAAACATACACAATATACCAACCAACCAGGCCTTCAAAACTGCACTAAAAACATATATTTTTAAATTATACTACCCTGATACCCCTCCTCTGACAGATAAAAAGAAAAAAAAAAAAAACAAGAAAAGCTACAGAATAGTTGCAGAGCCCATTTTTAGAAATAAAAGAAGAAGAACGAGGCTGTATGAATATGAGTGCACTCACGATGTGCCAAATGCAGATGACCCAGTTTTTTTTTTTATAATGACGTGTTCAATGCAATGCTGGACAGAGCTATACATTCTTTATCAAGGAGATTTGAACAGTTACAAAGTTTCAATAACACATGGGGATTAAAAGACCTAAAAAATCTGCAAGACAAAAAATAAGTTTAAAGCAGGACGTCAGGGTTTGGAGAATAAGTTAAGGTATCAAGAAAACAGCGATATAAATGGATGTGATATGTTGAATGAACTAGATATAGCACAAGAATTATAATCTCATGATGTAAAGCTTCCAATAGAAGCCGCTAAATTTATAAACACCAGTACATTACAGGATGTCACGCCAAATACTGTAGCCGTGGGCGAGAAAAGCTTTAGCAAACTTATAAAAACATATTTACGATCATCCTTGTCTGAAAACAGGATTAATTCTTTGGCAATTTTATCAATAGAAAATGATATTGCAACAAATATAAACATAGAAAATGCAATAAAAAGATTTGCTGATCTAAAGGCTAGACAAAAAATGTCATCGGTAGGCTAATTGTTCATACTGTCCAAAGAAAAGTTAAGAAAAATAATATTATTTTGTAAAAAAATAAAATAAAAAAAACTATGTAATAAACTCCTTACCTAACCTATAGTTTTTTCCTTGATTTTTTTTTAATGATTATATTTAAAAGGGGCGCCAAAAGGAAGCTTTCCTGTAGCGCAGTGGCGTAGCTAGGGGAGGGGGGAGGGGGTACAAATTTGACAGTCCCCCCGACACCTACTTGACGGGGGCCCCCAAAGGAGTGTCCGAAATGTTTTTTACATTAAATAATGTCGAATGTCAAAATGCAGGGGCCCCTAAAGAGGCCAAATCCCCCGGGCCCCCAAATCCCTAGCTACGCCACTGCCGGGGCGCCAGCAATCATAGGGTCGACCCTGCATGGGAGAGGAAAATCCTCAGGAATATATGGTCCGGTGATAAACAATGAGGGTTGGAGAATCCATACAAACCAAGAGAAATACCACTTGTACAAGTCTCACTTGCGTAAGTTACTACTGCTCTTATGATAGTGTTGTATTATAATATTGCCTTCTATGTTCCCCATTGCGAGGCTTTTGCTTCTAATGACAATATCTTTAAATCCAATGATATTACAGTTGTGAAAATTAGATGTTACATTCTCCTTTTACAAATAAACATGTTTACAACTAAGAAAATCAATGTCGTTTACAAAATATGGGTACATGTACATAAGTATACCCATGAATATTAAAATCCAATCATTTTACACTCGTGAAAATTTAATTTTTTAAAATAGTGATGGGATAAGATTTTTATTCAAAAAAAAGAAAATAATTTTTGTTTTTTTACTTTGCGAAAAGTACAGTGGGTGTATGCTGTTATGAGATTAATAACATTTCTGTATAAAAAAATACACCAAAAGCTGTTACAGAAAGAACAACGGGAGATTTGTCTTTAGTTAAAAGAATTATTTGTTTTCCGATTATTCGATAATATAGTAGAAAACTAAGGCAAAAGTTCGTTTAAATTTTTTAATGAAGATAGCATATCAAATTCCGTTTATATAAAATATATTTAAAATGGTATATAGAGTTTTTATTTTAAATTTAAGATTAAGTTTTCACAAATTTTGGGGACATTTTTTTTTTTTTTTTAGTTTAGGGGCACGAAAAGTGATAGGCCCAGCATTTAACAATGACATCTAAAGTATTTCTTTAGCGTAGAAATCAGCCGTCAATTTACTCATTTAGTGACGATAATGATTTAATTAGTGATCATTTAGATTTTGTAATTTTAGGTAATGTTTAGAGAGAAAAAGAATAGTTTAAGTTTAAAGGGGCGAAAAGTGGTAGGGTAGGCGCATAATAATATTATTAATTAATATGTAGCAGAAAGATACTTCTTAAAAAGTTTAAAGATGTTAGAAACATAAGCATCATTACATAGATACTTATTTTTAAAATATGGAATTGTGATGAGTTTTCGAAATGGCAGGTAGAAATTATCGCAAAGTGCCTGTCATTATTATCTCAATAACATCGGGTAATATTTTCTAGTATATAAATATAAGACATATATTCAAATTAAGCAAGAGAGAGTACTCTTATATTTAAAAAAAATGTAACTCTTCATTTTAAAAGATTTTTTAGGTGATGCGTCTCTTTCATCTGGCTGGTAGATATCTACGACTTTTTGTCGAGTTGAAACTGTGATTGGAGGGTTAACTTTAAAGGAAAGAGTTACTTAAATTAGGTAAACCATTAATTTTTATCTACATTCTTTTGTTTCCCTTTATTCACAAGCAAAGATTTTTTTTACTGTCTGTCATGTAACGAAGAACAGGTAAAATCTTCTGTTTTGCTTGCATCTGCTCTGCCAAATCAATCTCAATCACATCATCAGCCTGGCTAAGTTTTAAGAAGTAAGAATTAACTTAAATGACTAAAAATGAGTATACTTGCCTAGGTGCTGACTGGTCACTGAACTCACTGGTAGTATTAGTAGAATAATAGACCATGGGCCTATATTCAATATTATCCGTAGGCCTATTTAGGCTTTATCATATAATAAAATTAACATTAACATATACTGAAAAGTATTTGCTGTGTATTTTTATTAGTATATGCTGGTGAGGAGTAGGGCGGTGATGGGTAGGGCGAGAAGCGCCTTTATAATACATATATGATGGGTAGAGCTCAAAAAGTCAATGCTTCCTTCTGCAAATTGGCTTGACCCTAAGCCTAAGCATAATCCAAGATGAACGTAAAATTATTGTATCCCTCAGATGATACGCGGTAAGACCCACCGCTGACCTACAGTTACAGTCGTTCCCTTCCCTCATACTCATATTCATGTATTTTCAATTGTGGGTTTTAGCATACTGCACACCACAAATTATAGACATTTTAAATCCATTTTAATTTTAGAATAATTTGTAATCTGATGAAAATGGAGTGTTGTCTGTGCAAAAAGTAGCTAGTTCGGTAAGATCCGGGAAGTGCAGAAAACCAGGTATCATGATTTTGTTGTCAAAATGGCAACCTCCACTTTTTAATTTACCTTAGAGTCACGTTGTTTACGAAATTTTTAACTATTTATAACCCAGCATATAAATTCTATTTCCGCCCACAACTAGAGTAGACATGATGTATTATGATTAGACACTTGAGTCCCCCCAAAAATTTGGGGGCTTCACTTTGAAAATTGAAGGTAAAATAATGCAATTTTTACTCATTGATATTTTTTGTGTGGAAAGGAGCCTTTCTTTGAATTTCAGGGACTTTATAAATAATGGCATTAACTATAACATATCCAAGACATGCTAATTTAGGCCATCAGTTTGGTCATAAATTTACTGAGAAATTTTAATCACGTGTGTCCCAAAATTACCTATTATCGTTAATATTGGTTGCTATGGTAAATAACCTGATTTACTCTGGAAATCCAGCCTATTACCCCCTAATAACTCATTTAAAAATAAACAAAAAATAATTAATAAAACAAAGACATATTTTTAATATGATTTGATGCTTTTATTGAGGGATATTAGGTTGAAAACGCCTTATTAATTACAATGTATAGCTAACTATTAGTTTTATATACTGGTATATGCATAATATTAACTATATACATACATATAATTTATATACATATATAATATATATGTATATATAGAGGCCTACAATAGTATTACTATTGTAAGTGTAGAACTATCATATTAATCATTTTATTTACTAATTAACACTTGTTTTAATCTTTACTTGTATACCCCCCCCCAATAATTATGTGTAGGACCCATTATTCTTATGTAATGATATATATGGTGATTCTTAAGGCATAAATTAAGTAAAAATGTACACAAAATATTCACTTACCTTTGGTATTGAAATATCCTATATTTAAACACATATCACACTATTCCAAAAGAGAATTATTATATAATCCTCAGTATTCTCAAAGAAAAAACTCACTTTCTGCCACAATAATCCAAGAATTACATGAGATATTACTAACATTTAATAATAAAACATTGTAATTACCTCAAGAAAATAACTAGAACTTATTTAAAATTCTATCAACAGCCAAAGTTGATTTTAACAATAAATGTTGATCTGTGAAACAACTTTACTAACTTAAAATAAATGACATACTATTTTTTGTCATATTCACACATTCATATGGTTGGGACTAAAATATACATTATATAGAAAATGGTAAAATAAAAATTGTAATTGTCAATTTTAACTTATGGAAACAAATAATCCCTTTATTATTAGTATATCCTTATAAATTTTAAACAATTCCACAGAAAATTTGAAATTAATATCTTAAGAATATTTTATTATTATTATGATTTTTGGGAAATTAAATTTTTTTTATATATATATAATCAATTAATTAATTACAAATAAGTGACGAGTCAGCATTTTATATATATTTTTAATAGGAAAATAATAAGGATTTTTAAAAATAATTTTTGCGGAATATTAACAGAAACTAACTTATATTTTGTGGTTTTATTTAGAGATACTCTAATTAAAATATGTTCCTTGTAAATATTATATTTTGTCTCATTTTATAATAAAGTTATAGGCCTCTAAAAAAAAAGCAAAATGAGGGTCACAAAATGTGGAGGAAAATCCCATGCCCATAGTAAAAACAAGTGCCTTTGAGGTCCCTACTAAAAAATAACTTTTGAACCACTTGAGCTAGAAAGTTGATCTTGGTGTTTTTGTAATCGATTCTCCAGGCTCTATAAAGCTGTAGTATTTTTATATTTTTTAAAATGTTTTGAAATTTTTATAAAAGTACCTACAAAAAGGAAGTGTACAATTTATTGGAAATGTGCATAACAGTAATAACACATTTTAATTGCAGCCTGGGGAACCTTATTCACACAGGGCTCATCTTGCAGACCCAGTCACTTATTATATATTAATTACACCCTCTTATTATTAAAATTAAGCCATTCATTACAATTTTTCTCTAGATCGTGTATTATTTTAATATAAATTTTTAATTGTACTAGTTCTACCTAGAATTTTAAAAATATCAACTCGAGCAGGTAAGCTTTGGCTCAAGCTACCTTTGGCTTTTGGAACCAAAAAAATAAAGTATCAGGAACAAAACAGTACTGTCACTCTCCATGACTCCAACCACAGCCTATACTCTAATATGGGCTATAGTCTCAGGCTATAGGCATAATAATTAGAATATACACCTTTTGTTATATTAATGGCAGTGTCTACACGTCTGGCGACCGGACAAATAGTGCGGGAGATATACTTCCGGCGGGCATGTCACATGACCGCCGGAGGACTAGTGAAAGATTTTAATCCGGCGTAAGACATGTCATATCTCGATAAAGATTTCGGCCGGCCGCTGGGCGCGTAGCACTTCGTATTTAATATGCTAAAGTTAATTTATTATTGCAAAGTCATTTAATTTAAAACAAGAAATTAAAACAATCAACATTTTTGTTTTGAATTATTCATGACTGGAAGTGTTTATGCAGTTAACAAGATATTGTCTGCCCCTCAATAAATTAATCAGGGTAATCCCAGCATTCAGCACTGATGTGACACATAGATTAATCTGGCACCTGCCTGCTCATCATCAAGTTTATGGCTAACTATTGAACATGATTTACAAACCTTTGACCTGTAATCAATCATAATGTTGTGAATTTTGATTGTATTTCAGGATGCATAATATAAAAAAGAAGCACAAAGTTAAATTTTATTTAATTAAAAATATTTTCAGTGTTGTCCCCTTGCTCCCTCATAATCTCAATAGTTAAGACACCATATTATAAACTAGATGTAGATGGACGAACCATAATAGACTGCCTATCTATCAAAAGGTGATGGGATGGGCTAAATGATTTTGATGTGTTCCATTTAATTGGTTAAAGTATAAAATTCGCTGAAAACTAATAATTGCGGATGAATGAAAAATTTAAATGTCAATAAGAACACATGTTTCAACACAAATTTATAGGTTTGTGGAACAAAGAGTTTCTTCAAGGCTTACATCTGGACATTTTAGTGGGCATACCATTAAAATATTGATAGGCTAAACTTTTGATAGATACCTCATAAGGCTATAATCTAGGTAGCATTGTAATTATATTATCAAAGCTAAGGATGCCCAAGGGTCTATTTTCTTTTTACTGTTATTCAAGTTTTGTGTTTATAAAAACTAATTTTTATTTTATTGGAAATATTAAATATTTGTCTACGTAAACTGTTTTTCTATGTCCTATTTTAATTACTATGATGAAGTTGAGTCTTATTTATTTGATGTATTTTAACAAAAATTGTATAACCTAATTTATATGTTATCTAATTTTAAACAATTCATAGACTGTTATGTCAATAATTTTACAATTATTTTGATGATAATTATTTGTATAGGATTATAGCCTGGGGCATATATAATACTAAACTAAACTAAATAATACTAAACAGCACTAGACTCTAAGACTAAACAAGTAAAGACACACAGTAAATGTTACAATAGCTTAACAATTAATTAAAATTTATTATTAAATACCTTATTAAATAAAAAAAATACTAACTTAAATTAGTTTTAATTTCTTAGACCTACTATAATTATTTATTTTAAATTGTAGGACTAGTACTATTAATAGTAGGTGGCAGCAAAATTTAACTAAACTTTTTGTTTAGTAATGATATCTGTATTCTAAAATTACATTAAAAAATTAATAGATTTACTTGATTGTTATTTATATTTAAAGATGCAGATTTTAAAACGTTCTTATTGATTTTTATCGAGAACACAATTGTTCCTGATGAAGCTAACAAAACTGGCAACATTTGTTTTTTTTTGTTTTTTTGCGTCCAGTGATTTGTGGGGTGCATTGATGTTAAGCTGAAAGGGCTAGCATTCAAGGGACAATGGAAGTATATTGACTATTTCAAAGTTATTCCTGATCCAATTTGGATGGTAAATTCCAATTTAGATGGTAAATGGCATTTTTAGGTCCAAATTTGTTTGGTTGGAAAAACAAAAGGAATTAAAGAAATTTATAGCTTATGACATTGTCAAAGTGACACAGCAAAGAAGGTTCACTTCATTGGGTAAATTGTATGAGCGTTACTGTAAGACTAATATTTCACGTCATTGATGACAAAATTAATTTATTGTTAGAAATCTGTGACAGCAAAACGCAAAAGTCCAAAGTCACGGTAGAGCCTGTAATTAAATGACCACAAAAGTTTTTCCGCCATTTTTTGAAGTGCGCAGCACATGTACTCAAACAAGTTATGAAATACCTAACTCTTTCGGTTTCGATCGAAAGTCTTTCTAAGCTTTTGGTTTCTGTTTCTTCAGGAAGCATTTTTAACTTTCTGTTTAGATTTGGCCAAAACCAGTAAAATCACATTCGGCCTGTCTCTAATTTTATTATCATCATCTATGTGTTAATTTTTTTAGGACAGTTACTATTTAAAATTTTTGTAATATTTACCAAATTGTCTTTTGTTAAATTGAATATCCATAAACAAATGGTGTAATGCATGAGTCTGCAAATTTTTGTGGACGAGGGCTTGTAAGAAGATCTCTTTAAATTGATTGTGCCAAATTCAAAGTGGCCTACCTTTTTGATTGGAGTATCTCAAAAATATTATTTTAATAAGAAAAGCGCATATTATTAAACATGTAAGACACACATTTTTCCTTTTCCTAATGCAACATGAAGCAAGAAATTGTCTGAGATGAGCTTTGTTTTGCTTTGAAATGTTAGATGAAATTTGTTAAATTGTTTTTTTGAATCTGCAGAAAAAGATAATTTTTAAAGCCATTTGCTTTAATTATTAAAGATTGGCAATGTTACTGTTCATTCAAGAGAACTTAAATTTCAGTTTAAAAATTTGCGACAAATCTAAAAGTGTGATTGGAGCAAATAAATTTCACTAGTGAAACCACAGATTCAAGATATTATTCACATCGTCTGTTGATGATTAATGGAAGAAAGAACCATTAGCTTGGACCAGACAGCACCTTTATTTATTTATTTAGGCATTTTTATATAGCGCTTACCATAAAGCTCTAAGCGCTTTACAATTATGAAAAACATGTAAACTAAGTAAAATAAAAAGACAGCCTTGTAAATTTTCCCAACCGAACCTTTCCCTTTACCACACTTATTTTACCACCGCTATAGTTTGCAGAGCCTGGTGTATTGTTTGGAATAAATAAACAAAAAGAAGTTAAGGTGTAAGAAAATCAGTTTATTTAATGGAAGAGTATACATGTATTGTAAAGAACTAAAATACGGTTTTCATTATCTGGCAGGCATATCTTTGGCCAGCTGTCTCCATAATATTGTAAAATACTTCTTCCCGCCCCTTTGTTTGCTTGATATTTTCTTTCTTGTCACTGTACAACTCCCTGTCACTATAACATCCCTTTCATTATACATTGTCATTCTTTGTCTAGACCTCTTATTTGAAACATTTAAAAAGTTCCCTTTCTTTCAAATCATACTTATCTATATTGACCCAGAACTCTAATTTTATTCTCTCTTTCTCCAAATACTTATTAGTACCTGGTATAACATTTTGACTTGCTTTCTGCAAACAAGTTTTGCTAACAGTTAAACGAAAAATTCCTGTTACCAGAGGTGCAAGGGGGAAACATAATGGCAGGTATTACCCTACATGAAGTTGAGGGAGACCTGCTCATTCATGTTCCAAATGAAGCAACTGTCATTGGCCGAGGTCAGTTTCTTCAGGTTAGTAATGAAAACCCAAATTTGTAAATTTCAATTGGTTAAAATTCAATCTAGTATTTTCTTTCTTAAAAAACGTCAAAGATGCATGTTTCCCTGCTTGTTGAATTGAGTTTAATAAATGAAGGACTGCGTTCAAGCTGTGTGAAGGAAATGAAACGGTAGAACAAGGTATGTGGAAGCTTGAATAGAAAGACAGAACAATAAAATAAAAACTTTTTGGCTAATGTTATTGCCGTAAGTTCAATAACAATGGCAAACACTTAAATTTTTATCCCTTTTGTCAGGGCCATAAAAGGTTGCCCTAGTTTCTGGACATATTAAAAGTTATTAAATTAAAAAAAAACTTTCAAGCACAGTGCCTGCCCTGATCGTCAAAGTGGCCATTATATAGTTTAACAATACTTTAATTTTAAAGAATTGATTTTTGTCAGAGTTTTTTGTTGTTGAAATTGTGTTTTAGAATGAAAAAGCTAACAATTAAGAGTATGAAAAAGATAACAATTAGAGTATGAAAAAGATAACAAATAAAGTATATGAAATTGTAACATTGAGTTTCCCCATGTTTTTCTAGGTTACAGACAAGAGAGTTTCAAGGAGTCATGCACTATTGGAAGTATCTGACGGCAAGCTCTTCATAACACCGGTAAAATTTTGACTCATTGCTTCTTACCTTATTTACGATTTTTTTTTGTGAATTGTATTAATGAATTTTAGTTTGTTGGCCAATGAAAGCCATCATCTGAAATATTTACTGTTATTTTTTGTCTTTAGTGAAGTTATCCCTTAAAGACTTTTTGCGTTTGATTATTATTCATCTGAAGTTTATTTGTGCAACTGGAAGAAAATTGATCCGCACCAAGAATTTTAAATTGCAGTAACGTTATTATTTCTTATCCACCGATTGTGACTGAACCTGTGATTTCAGACACACACGAACCCATGTTTCCTTCGAACAACAACTTCTAAAGAACAGAAGACTCTAACTCGTGACGTGAAGCAACTTCTGGAGGATGGAGATGAATTTGGCCTTCTCCCTGACCAGCTGTTTTACAGAGTTTCATATCCTCAAGTCAATGGAAAAGACAGGTAGGAAACTTTGTTGTCAGGGAATAAAGGTTGATTGAAACAAATAGGATTAAGTCATCTGCTACTTTCAGGATTAAGTCATCTACTACCCTCAGGATTAACTCATCTGCTCCCTTCTTTTCAGTTACGTTGTTTGTCCAATGTTCATTTCACAAAGAGTATGATGATCTTACATGGATTAGCAGCTGTAAAGATATTCTTCTTACCATATTTTTTGTTGGTTTTCCTGAATTTATTTACAAACATGCTTTTAACATTAAGGATGCAAATTGTCTTTTTTTGGTGCAATTTTAGAGATGAGGTCAAGAATGAGGAGAAAGATTTGATAAAAAAAGTTGAAGAAACAAATGAAAAAGATGAGAGTAAGTCTGAGAAAGTCTCCAATGGAAGTCCATTAGTTACTAAAGCTGAAGAAAAGCCACCAAGAAAAGGTTCGAACTATTTTATATTTATGTCATACAACATTACTTTGGCAGAATATGTTCAGTAAAGAAATTTTTAAAAAAGCAATTTCATATGATATTCAGTATTTTGTGATCCAGTTAAAAGACAAAAACTTGTTTTATAATGTTGTAATTTTAATTTTGTCATTACTTGTAGAGTCAAATGATGACAGAGAGGAGGTGACTAAAAAGACCCAAAAGAAGGAAGACAGAGAAGAGGAGAAAAGTGAGGTAATTACTTTTGAACATTAAAAGTTTTTTTTTCTTTTTTTTTATAACTTGGGTAGTTTTTCAAACTTGTTCTATAATGAAGGTGGTTCTTTTATGTTTTCTTGTAATGAGGTTAGTTAGTGCTTATATTTTTGTGTATCTTCCATTTCTATCTATATTAAAAAAATCATGTCACTTTTGTATGTTCATATTTTCTCATAAAACTGACGTTTATTCTTAAGATTTTGGCGTATGAATTATTATTTTGAGATATATTTTACGATTGTATGCCAAGACTTGTCAGAGCTATGATTTCAATAGACCTGTTTGAAAATATATATTAATGGTAGTTTTCCTGATTTAAAAAAAAAAACACAAAAAACACACTTTTTTGGCTGAGATTTTTTGTTCTTTACTATATCCAGCGATGAATGGATCTAGAAATACGATTTGTTGGGGACCATCTATAATTATAATTAGAGGGGAAGGGGTGATGTTGATTTAGGGGATTTTTGTGCATGGGTGTGCTTGGAGGGATATGTATAAATATTTAAGTCCATAAAAATAACTCTGCCACGTTTTTGTGATGATGGTCATATGATTGCTTTCCATAATGAACTTGCTAGACACTGCAACGGGGATATTAGTCAATTTTTGTCAATCCTTGCATTTGTTTTCTTTGGTGCTGTATGATGTAATTTTGTGACATAATTATTTCGTTCGGCTGAACTGTAGAGGATGCAAAAAACAATTGTTTAGAAATAAAATGAGAATGCACTCTCAATTGTTCTGCACAGCAACATTAGATTTCAACATTTTACAAGATCTGAGAAGGCCTTTGAAATCTATGTCTAGAGTGCACAAAACAGCTGTATGAGTTTTAATACCCCCATTTGATTCCAACACTCATCCTTTCACTCATTTTCATCTTGTGGTAATTATCAGACTATAATAATATTTCAAAAGGAAATAGTCTTAATGGATATTGATTCTTATTTTTTTTATTTTTGAAACATCTTTTTTCCTTAAAAATTTATTTCAAGTTACTTGGTAGGTTTTGCAAATGATGTCCTCATTTATTAATTAATTCTTATTTCAGTAAATTTTATTTTATACTGAATTGAATTTGATTTTGAACCATGTTAAATTTCACCAGTACTTTATTTTCACCAGTAACTTTTATTTTCACCGGTGACAGGCGGTAATAATGTGATCTGCATGTCCACCCAAATATTAACTGATATCTATAGGACACCGCAACTGTCTGGAGAAGCAGAGTTTTTTGCTTAGGAACAGTAACTCGACAAGTACAAACAGGCTTTGCTAGAGACGCTGTCAGCTTTTTTTTTTTTTACTCTGAAAGTAGTGTTAATAACTCCGGTTTTCTCTTTACATGTAATGTTCAAAAAAGGCATGCTCTTGGAAAGGGCTCACATTTAGCTTTTCGATGATCTCAAGATTACCTCTCTATCACCTGTAGAAGAAAAGTTATGATTTTTTAAAAATCTCCCTCATTTAAGCAATGTGATGCAGAATTTTTAGGTCCATACTATAACTATAATCTTTCTTTAAAATTTAGTTTTGTAACTTTCTAGCTTTCAGAGGTGCAGCAATCAAATTATGTGGAGTTCCTAAGAAAACAATTTTTAACAAAATAAAACGCATAAATTGTGAATTAATTATTATTTTTTTGTTCATTTAATATGATCAGATAAGGATATGGTGTGGTTAATATTGACATTTATAAACGCTGATACTTTATAAATAAAAAATAAAATAGCATAACTATTAAATTAATGAAGATGATGAAATACAATTTTCTAATTTTAAAAAATTGTTCAGCTGAAATTAAAGACATTTTCATTTATTAATTATCATTTCCCATTAAAATAATTAACCTCTTCATTAAAAAAAAATTTAGAAAAGCTACTGCGGCCGACATATTGCTACATTTAAATACTTCATTTTAAAACTAATAAAGCTATAGTAATAATATTTCCACAGAAACAGTTAGAATCCAGCTGAAATGGACATTTTATTAAATATTATTTCCCATTAAAATAATTAACCTCCACATTTAAAAAAAAAATATGAACAGCAACAGCGGCCAACATATTAGCCTGTTAAATACTTCATTTTTAAACTAACAAAGCTATAGTAATAAAATTTTCCACAGTAACAGCTAGTGGCCAGCTAAGAGGAAAGAAATTTTATTAATCATTACACTCGCCAGGTCTTAAATCCCTGTACAGCTGCTGTTTTCACTTTGTTCTAAGACATCTTTGTAGTTCTTTGTACTTGTCAGTAAAGAACCCTAGCTCTGGGTGACCAGGGAAGCAATAACCTCAGTTGCAGTGTCCTATAGCAGATACACATCTTCAAAACGAAGGGACCTCAGATTGCAGTAGAAACTTCAATCATCTACTTTTGAAAGTTTCCTTTTTTTGGCGCCAGCTCAACTTAATCCCACGTGACACATTATGTGCATAGTTTTTATAAACATCATATATACTGAATGTTTGTTTATTTACTATTAAGACATTGTATTGAACAATTTTGAGACGATATTGCACAAGTTTATGAGTTTGATGGTAAGAGGTCTGCTGTATTATTGTTTCAAATTAAAAACTAACCTTTTCCTGATCAATAATGTAACATAACATGATTTTTCTGAACATTTTTAGGATGTGTCAGCAGACGGTGTCAAAGATAAAGATGATTCTAATGTTGACATGGCAATGCCAGTAGACAAAACTCGAGTTCTGCCAGATTGGATGATTAAAGCTGCTGGTTCACCTACAAAAACTACAACAGCACCAAAGAAGCCAGCTGCTAAAAAACAGCCAGGTGAGAGCATTCACAGCAAAGTTTATCACTAATTTCCTTCATCACCAGCTATAATCACAATGTCAATAGACATCTTTATGGGCAATTAACATTAATGTTTATGGACCAAAATTTTTTGAATCACAATGATCAAAAGGATATACCTGAAAGGATAAATATCTCAATTTCCAAACCCCAAAAATTCACAATTTGTCTTCATATAAATGATAAAGTTTTTAGCTAAAATGGTTTAACATTGCTCTTTCTTTTGGTGCCAGTAATATCTTGGTTAATATACACAAACACAATATGGTATCACCAGACAATTCAATATACCACATATATATTCTGTATATTTGAATCTAGTTTATGACCAGTTAGTTGTTTTTATTAGTGGTAATAATACAAACAGAGCTAAACTCCTAACTTTTGTATAATGATGATTTGTTGCCTGAGATCTTGAAAGTCATTGATTACAGATCATAAATCAATATTAATTTGTTTGAAAACTAAATTGATATACCATACTCTATTTCATCCTTATCTTCCTGTATGTTATTTCACTATAGTATTATATTTTTACCTAGGCAAATCTAGTTATTCATTTATGGTAAATGAAAGAAAATGATTTATTATATTATTGAAAGCTTTAAAGGAAAGAAAGTTGTTCATTATTTAAAGCTTTCAGTAGCCCATGAAAGAAGATGCGCATGGCTTGCATTGTAAAATTTAATAATTTATTCTGGAATTTTTGGGATTATTTCTGTTAAGATGGATAATTTTAAGTCATTTAATCCCCCATGTTTTTTTATTGCAGTGAAAAAGCAAGACACAGAATCAGACGAGGGTGGAAACGAGGGTGATGAGGAAGAGGAATTGGGGGAAAAAGAAAAGACAGCTAAAGATAGTGATGATGATTATCAGGAGGAGCCATCTGATGATGATTATGTTCCAGAGAAAACGTCTAAAGCAAAAGGGGGCAGGGGGAAAAGAAAAATAAGCAAGGACAGCGAGGAGGAACTAAGTGATGATGATGACGACGACTATTCACCCAGAAAAGGAAAATCCAAAGCTGGCAAGAAAACACCCAAAGGAAAGGGGAGAGCCAAAGGGAAAAAAGCTGCAGTGAGCACTCCAAGAAAGACACCAGCCAGAAGGAGAAGTAAAAAGAGAGCATCTGATGATGAAGAAGAGGAAGAGGTTAGGTCTACAAGGAGGCGGCATGATGACGAAGAAGCACCAGCTGGAAGACCCCAGAGAGCAGCGAGACAGAAACGGGGAAGTTATGGTAGGTCGTACAGTATGAAACAATGTAATGTGTGATTGGAATTTTAAATTTGCTCACAGTTTAAAACATTAAGTCATTTAGTCCTTATGTATGTCTAACTTCTCTCCAGTGGATGATCCTATGATAGAAGAAGCTCTTGAAGACTTTGCATCAGATGGGGACGATGATGCTAATGAAGATAAAGACAGTGATTTTGAAGTGGAAGGTGAGGAAGAGTCTGGCAGTGATTGGGAGAAAAGCACCGGAAATTCTCAAAAACAAAAGGTAGGAAAACTTAAGTTTTGAGTCATTTACATAGTGCTTGTAGCAGATACTATCTTTTAAAAATACATGTGACCTAGTTAGATTAACTCTGTGCAGGCCAATGGGTTTTTTTTAAATTTTTTTGTTACATTTTTTTTTTTAAAAGGTCATCTCTCAGAATGGGATACCATAAAAAGAGTATGATACCCTTCATGTTACCTATTTAATTGTTCTTCATGTTACATATTTAATTGTTCAGAAATGAATGGGGATTAATATTTCATTAAATTTGCTTGAAAATGATTGTGTTTCCTAAAAATCCTGATTGATATATGAAAATGATTTTACATTTTAACATTTTTTTTACACAAACCACAGTGTCAGAAGAAGAAAAAAAAACTATGGCAGAAATAGTTTAAAATGTATTGGTATTTCATATTCCTCTGTATCCCAATCATCAGAAGAGTCACTTAGGGATTCATTTAAGTTAATTTCAGTGTTTTCTAAACTCATTTTGGATTTTAAAATTATTTGTTATTGAAGCAGCTAGCTGGATAGCAGTTAAGACAAGAGAAAAAAATGGATGACTTATAACTCATCTCAGTTGCGTTGATTTAAAAACAAATTTGTTTTAAAAAATTGATAATTGTAATTAAAACTTTAATTTTTATAAATTAAATCCTTTTTATTATAATAATAATTTTAATGCTTAACTAAATAAAAAATAAATGTTACCAAAAAAAAAAGGTTAGCTCCACCCCCTTCTCACCCGGCGAACTGGATTTCTATAGTTGGCCTGTACAGAGTTAAGATGAATTGATCGACAACACATAACAATCTAGTATGTCTATCATACAATTACTGTCTGTCTTGCAGGGGGGAAGAAGCAGTAGAAATAGAGGCCCACCAAAGGGACCAAGTAAAAAAGCTGTAGGCAAGAGGAAAGGTTCCCGGCGGGCCAGTCACGCTAAAGAAGACTCTGATGAGGAAGATATTGAGGATGACGAGCCATATGTACCAAGGCCATCTAAAAGAAGGGGAGGTGCGGTTTCCAGAGACTCTGAAGACAGTGATGAGGGTGCTAAAAAGAAGAGGAAACGAGAACCCTGCCAGTATGGCAAGAAATGTTACAGGTAAGTTTGTCTTTAAGAAACAGTGGGTTACTTGCTGATTCATAATGGGCACAGGCATGAAACTTTCATGTTTAGCACTGGTATGTAACATCAAATGTTTTTAAAATTCATTGCTGATGACTAATTCTAAAGAGTGCTAATGTGAAGTAATTTCTTCATGTTAAGATTCTGTAGCTTTCATCTCAAGTGACTATCACAAGAAATACATAATTTATGAAGACTATTTTGTTATTTAACTTGTCTTATTTTAACTTGGGCTATTTTGGATCGATTAGGAAAAACCCAGTCCACTTCCGTACATACTGTCATCCTGGTGACTCAAGCTTTGATGATGAAGAGGGTGAGGAAAAGGAGGACGCTAAGGAAAGCAGCAAGTAAATGCATATCTGCTACATTAACTTACACTACACTTTATTGTTCCATATAACCAGCCACATTACTTGTATCCGCAAATAAATACACAGCTTCTACATTAACTTGCTCATTAATAATGTTGATTGTTAAATGTAACCAGTTTATTCTTGGTAATATGAAAAATGTGATCATAATATGAGCTAAAGTTAGTTTTTAACATTGAATTAACAATAATTTCTTTTATTTAAAAAATTATTTAATGAAAATTTAGGAAAGATTCCAGTAAAACAAGTAAAGAAAAGCCTAGTCGACCACAGCGTAGCACTGCAGGTAAGCTATTGCTATCCTTCCCATAGGAATGATTTGTTACTAATGGCATAGGATAATCCTCTTTGTGCCCCTAGAATACTTGAAATGTGTAGAAATTCTCATCATTTAAAATAATTGTCACTGACTTTTAACTAATTTGATGTTTTTTAAAAATTCTTAATTTGGAAAAAAAAATAATGTTTTATTATAGCTATTATTTCTTGTATAATGCATATTAAAATAGATTCTGAAAATCATTTCTATACTAATATCGATTCTGATAATTTGTCATGGTTCACTACCTTACGTTTATATAAATCGACATTTTCCTGCTATTCATATATTTAATGATATTGTCTCATGTGTTAGGTACCAGACTAGTCACACATGGAGGGGATGAAGATGATTTACCTGACACCTATGACAATGACAGCCTTGTTGACGATGGCACACAACCAACTGACGATGAGTCTGAACCTGACGACTCAGATTATGACGTTGGAAAAGATGGCCCAGATGCCAAAAAGGGTTCCAAGAATTCAAAGGTGACCAAGCCTGTTGGCAAAGCCGTTGAATCTGATTGATTGATTTTAATGTACGCTAGAGTTGACGTTTGAGTGACTGTGGCATGATTGCTGCTAATGAGTTGCATATGTGATGACTGTTGATACAGAGCGAGGTAAAGTTAGTACCGTACAAAACATGTTTTAAGCAGCAACATTTTATGACATGCCAAACTGGCATATTGTTAACATAATCATTTATGATGCTTTCCCATATGAATGGATTTTTTGTTTCGTTAACATAAAGCTTTGATCATTTACAAGGGAGTAGAAGTTAATTTGATTAAATGTTAAGCATTGCCTCTGGCTTTGTTTCAATACACACCAGATTTGATAAATATGTGGTTCTTTTTAGTTATGGGGAGCAAGATAGAAATGAAACTTTCTTCCCTTTCAAAAGTTAACTTTTAATTCCCCGCACTTAATTTGTTGCTTCTAGTCATCAACTCTCTACCCCTCTTTTTTTTTAATGCAAACACTGATGTTTTTTTTTAAGACTTCGTAGATTTAAAACATGACCATTTCACTGTCAATGTTTTTTAATAATTTTATCCCATTTGAAGCATTGTTGTGAAATTCTGTGAGGTATCGAATGTTCAGAGCTCATGCATATTGCATTGCATCTTCTAGTAATCTGACTTTGTTCCAAAAATAAAAAAATTTTGTTGAGGACCTCTCATTATTCTGTTTAGGGGATTTCAATATTGAAAAATGTGTTCAATTAAATAAATATTTACATTTTTATATTCTATACATCTACCTTTTTTTTTTTTTTTTTTTTTTTTTTTTTTTTATTTAACCAAATTAAAATTTTTTTTATTTTTTTTTGTACAATCAACCAAAGTAACATTTTTTTAATTTGTACATTGTCATATAAACTTTGGAGTTTTGTTTGTACAAAAAATTATTAGTGCAGTAAAATATTGAGTTTTTATGCCACAATATACTGTACCTTGAAGAAGTTCCTATAATTTTAAAACTATTATTATTATGCTGGCAATCATACTATTTCATCATTTGAGAAATCAGCATTTTCAAGTTGTGAACTATAATTCACAGACTGTTTGATCAGTTATTCTACATTTATGACAATGAATTAAAAATTTCCAATTTTTAAAAAATGTAATGAAAAAAAAAAAAACTATATGAATGGATATAAATTTATTGTATTTTGTCTAGTTACCATTCAACCATTGATTATTGTGTAGCACTATATCTGATGAGCCAATTCAAATCAGGTACCACACTTGATTCTTTTTCCCTGGGGTAGCACTCCAAAGAGGTGGAATCAAGGAAAAGTAATTATAAGAACAGTCATTTAATGTAAGGTCATGATATAAATATAATGTATATCAACATTTCTTCATTAAAATTTTACTTTTTAAAGTTTCAAGTTTATTTTCTAAGTTCTACATTTCTCTTTGTAATTGTATAAAATTAGAAGCCTTTTTTTTTTTGGGCCAATTTTAAAATGCATGTTTACCTTTTTTTAAAAATATAAGCGAGTGTGAGACCTTAACATTTTGCAGGGGTAGGGGAGTATAGGAAACCCTGCTGTAACTCATAATATTTGATTGTGCTTACAACACAATCATTTTGATGCATTAAAAACATAGCTAAACTCAAGAGTATTCTTCCTACTAATGTTATATAAGCATGAGAGCTCTGTCACTTTACACTCCCATCCATATTTAGCTAGTTGTTTTATTTTATCCCACCTGGCATGTTAAAATTCTACTCCCCTAATTCTAGTTTAAGAATAGTAAAAAAAATAATAGTGTAGTTGGCAATCTCTGGGATAATGTCATTTATACTGGCAGAAAGATAAGCCAGATACCATCTGAATGTCAGTGCTGGTCTTGTGTAGTTATTATAATGATGTCAGAATTATTATTTTCTTTTTTTTTTTTTTTACAGCTAACTGAAAATCATACATTTGCTCTACTCACTAATTATTATAACCCAATACAATGGAATTCTTAACATGACCTTTTATTTTGTCCTGTGTCCTTTGAGAGCTGGTTCATGGAAAACAAATGAAAAGTTCTATTTTTATATTCTTCTAGTTTTTTAATGATATTTAAAATACAAAATTAATCGATTTTTTTTTTTTTATGAACTTTCTAAATAAAAAAGCAGAACAAGTTTTCTTAGTATTCTGAAAGTGAATAACACAATATTCTCATTCTTGTGTCTGTTCCTAATGGGGAGCGAAGTTGGTGATCTGCTGCACAGTGTTAGATGCATCTGGATGAATCTAACATGTAATATCATTGCTCAAACAATATAACTAATTTTGTCAAATGACAAAACCTAAAAAGGAGTGATACTCATAGCTGTGACATGAAAATAGTTGTTTTAAAATTGATGAATTTTGTGAGGGCAGTAAAATGTAATATTCTAATCAAGATATGCCTGATATTAGTCAAAATGCAATATTTTGAACAGTGAATAAATGTCTGAGGTGTGTGTCAATAAATTGTATTTACCATGTGAACATCAACTTCTGTAATATATGCACAGTATGGCATGCCAAGCCAAATCATTTATGCACAAAAAATTATCAGCCCTACTAATTCACTGCCTGGTACAGCTTGGCCATATCAAACATGTATAAAGTAAGTCCTGGCAGTATGCAGTGTATAAAGTATATGTCCTGGCACTACTCTGTGTTAAGTGGAACTATAAATACTATGATAATGCAATGCTTGTTATTCGAGATAATTGGGCTGCCTGGTACATTTTGGCGATACCAAACATGTACAGAGTATGTCCTGGCATTACTCAATGTTAAGTGGAACTGTAATTTTGCAATGCTCTTTTGTCAGTGAGATAAATCAGGTATTTTTAAGAATTGAGGGAAGTTGAAAATTCTTGTCTCAAAATGATAAAAAATAGTTACTATAATGTTAATCCATTCATATTTTCACAATTTCGCCAAGAATTATAAAACTTGTTAAATGAGTAAGGAAGTGATTGATGTTCTATTTTAAACATAATTTTCCCATTGACTGTCATTATTATTTCCAGGAAAGTTCTTCAAGAGAACCATTGTGCATGATATCATTTTTACCTCAATATTGTTGCATTGTGTTGTGTTTATAATCATTGTTTTATGTAGTTTGCTAAGTGCTGGACTAGAAATTCGCTTAATGTAATAATATAGGACGCATGTATGTACATCATGAAATTGAAATACAGACATGGAATTTATCATGTATCAAAAACTGGTTTTTATGTTCATCTCTTCTTTCTTCCATATTACAAACATTAAATAATTCAAAGTTAAGCAAAAAGAAACCTCTTGGTTTTTTTCTCTTCAAGCTATCATTCATTCATTATTTAAAGAATAATACTTTTTATAAAGACTAGACAATGTGTAGTTTTTAATTTTAAAGCAAATAAATATATGTAAGTTCCGTCAGTCAAAACCAACTTGATTCCTCAGCATCATAATTCATGAACAATTTTTTCAATAAAATAATAGATTGCTAGTGAAATTTGTGTAACATTGGCATTTTATATTTATATAAAGTAGTAAATGCTTTTTAGTCTTTTTTTAAAGTTAAAAGACATGAACAAAACTGTATAGCATAAATATAAGAAAACTAGAGTTTTATAAAAAATAATATTAATATTGAACAACTTAAGCTTTAGATTGAAAATCTACCTTTACAAAGGTTATGTATTACGAAAAGCCCTTACATGAAACAAGTACACACATTACAAAGAAAGTTTCTCATCAAATCCTTTTGAGATTCAAAAAATGTATACAAGATATGTCCTCTTATTAAGTAATATCCATGGTCACTGCAGATACATAATTCAAACAGTTTTCATCTAATAATAATCTGATCAAACTGCACACATTTTATTCACAATGGTACGTTGCTATAAATATGAATAGTTACTGTAACAATATTTGGAGTTACAAATGTGATTCAACATTCACTGAATGACCTGGTCTGCTCCTTTGAACAACAACAGTATGGATACAGACAGTTCATTTACAACAGTCCAGCATAGCACAAATATATAGACATTAAGGCAGTTGCCAACTTGTTTACTGTTGTACAGGCATGTTGGTAGCTGGTCTGGAGGACACAGCATCCTCTCCACGCCACATCTGAGTCACAGTTTTGATTTGAGTGTAAAACTGAATGCCCTGTTGGTTGGTCAACAAAATGATAGAAAGGTAAGTAGTATTCATGAGATATTGGCAAGCAAATAAAATAACTTCATTATAATAAATATTTGTAAGTGAATTTTAAAAATGTGCCACAGAATCTCAATTGCTCCCAACTTGCCCGTCCCCATGCAAGCATGTTGAAAGCAATATGTAACCAAAGAATGTTCTTGACAAGTGGGATAAAAAATGTCAACAATCTGCCCAGTGGTTTAGTTCGGAGAAGAACTGTAAGATTCTATGGTAATTTATATACTGTCTATGCTTTTGGCAATGTTTGGTTTATTTTTCTCTAGAAGTCATCCCCTACTCTTAAAATCTTCATGTGAGCGATTGACATATACTCCCATTTGTTAGCATTGAACACACAGTATCAAGCCATAACATCAGTTCAGGAGTACATAGAGTAAATTCAACCCAATTTATGAATCTACTTGTTAGCTCAGCGGGTAGGTAGTCTGCATTGAAATGAGCACTATTTTAAAATGGATAGACCATTTTATATTATAATGGTAAATATAATGTGGAAAATATCAATAGGTTCATGCCACAGACCAAAGAGAAACAAAGAAATAAGTTTGGCATAAGTGATGTGAAAATCTTTACCTGCTTTCCATAGAAGTTTTGATCCCCCCTGAAGGAACCACGAGATCCAGTGAAAGAAAACATAGGTAAAGGCACTGGAATGGGAACGTTAACTCCAACCTGTACACAGAAATGGAAGCAGAGAAAAGTATACAATCATGGCATGGTTTTTATCTTAGCTTAAAAAGTAAAAACTTTTAGTAATATATACAAAGTTAGTGACCCAGCTAACCAACAAACCAATCCATACATTTATCCTTTACTGTCACCTATCTAATATAAGATAAGATTCTTTTATTGATCCAAACAAATGGAAATGCTTTTTGATTGCATTGTACATACCGGTATACATTTTCAGCACATAAATAAATACATATTTTAATGAAGTATCGGTACACATTTTTCAACTAAAACAATTTAAACACAAGACATCTAAATTAAATTATTTCACTAGTGAAAAAAACAGCCATTCAGTGAACTCCCTAAGTCATAACAGGGACATATTGGTTCTCATTGAGATTTGTGACTTCTGGGAGAGCACGCTGGTAAATTCGTACAGATTGGGGAACAAAAGAATGTTAATATCTGACCAGCATTACAGAAAATTTACTAAAAATTATGAGGTAGCTAGCTGAGCAACTTTACAAACTCTACATTTACCTTATACTGTAACTTACCTGACCAACATCACAGTCCATGGTGTACTTCCTGGCTGTTGCACCATTTGTTGTGAAGATAGCTGTACCATTACCATAAGGATTAGCATTAACAATCTTAATGGCATCATCCAAAGTGTCCACTTCCATGCTGACCAGGACTGGTCCAAAGATTTCCTCTGTGTAGCATTTCATTTTTGGCTGCACAAAGGGCAAAAAAAACACATAATTTTATAATAATTAAATATGTTCTCAGCTTCTTAATTTATAACTTAATGCTGCTGTACATTTATATTTCATAATATATTTCCTGAATCTGGGGTATCATACATCGTTTCTTTCCTGTTTTTTCTAAATAATTTGAAATAATAATTTTCTGTGGCTATAATTTATTGAAGTGATCTATTGCCATTTTCATAATAATTTGAAGTTATTTATTGCGCTCTTTAGAAATAGTATGTTAGTATGCAACACTTAATATTCACTATGAAAATAAAATAAAAATGTAAATACAATTTTGCTTAATGAAAATACACTGCAACTCACATCCACTTGGTGCAAGATTGTAGGTCCAACGAAATTTCCTTTTTCATAACCCTTGACTTCAATGTTGCGACCATCCAAGAGCAGCTTAGCTCCGGCATCAACTCCAGACTGGACAAGGTCACACACTCTCTTTTTAGCTTCAGGGGAAATGAGGGGTCCCAAGTCTGCATCAGGCTCAGTACCTAAACAAGTATTGGAACATGTATGTTAATCTTCAACAAACAAATTTGAACATTTTATGATCAAACAGGAACACAGAAATTCAGGCATTTCTTCTTTGAATTTCTACAAAATATTTGCAAACATAGACATGCTCATGAACATATTTTTAAATTTCATTTCTCCAATATCCACCTGTATGAACTAGAGAGGATCATATATATTATTACCTGCAGTGACTTTCAGTTTTTTGGCCCTTTCAACAAGTTCAGGGATCCACTGTCTGGATTCCCCAACAAAAATAGCAGTAGACAGAGCCATACACCTTTGACCTGCAGCACCAAATGCTGCTCCTACTAAGCTCGTCAGGGTGCTTTCTTTATTGGCATCGGGCATAATGACACCGTGATTTTTTGCTCCCATGTTGGATTGAACTCGTTTGCCACTCTTAGAGCCCCTTTCATAGATGTACTGACCCTAAAAAAAAAATGGTTGATTTATGTGAGAATTCTCATGCCTTACTACTCACAGCATTCACCCGTCATTCAACATTAACGTACTTAACATGTCAGCAACACCAAGGTTATGTTACTTTAAATTTAATTAAATTTTACTTACAGCCTGATCTGACCCAACAAATGAGATGGCTTTTATGTCCGGATGATCACAAATAAAGTTCACAGCTGTTAAGAACACACAAAAATTAACTAAATTAGTTGACTTATTATATTATTTAGAATCAAATCTAGTTATCTGGCATAGAGAAGTTAACGTATATTTTAAAATAATGTTGGAGAAAAAACAACTTTCACAACCCCTCTTATTTGTTTCAAACTAACATTGCTGTTTGTTGATAAGAAAATCATTTAAAGATTTACAAAAACTATGTGTATTTCAAGTGATTGAAGGTTAAGTGTCCTCACAGTCATGTCGCCCATGGATGACGTTGACCACACCAGGTGGCAGACCAGCCTCTCTGCAAAGCTCCATGAGAATCATAGTGGCTCCAGGGTCACGCTCTGATGGTTTCATCACAGATGTGTTACCACACACTATGGCCATGGGAAACATCTTGAAAAAATGTATGTGAACATTTCATTTTTACTATTCGATGTGATGCTCCACCTCTTAAATTTAAAATTATTTTGTGAAATACAGTTTTAAAAGTATATTTGAAATTTTCAACCATTAATCAAACATTTCTATTTTATTGATCATACAATAGCCCCATGAGGGTATTAAATAAGTATAGGACAATCAGCAGTGCTTAATGTTTGGCAGGTATGGGTTTAACTATAGTTCCTAATAACAGTATATTATTTATCTCATATTCTTATCTTACCCACAATGGAATCATAGCAGGGAAATTGAAGGGAGTAATACCAGCAGTGACCCCAAGAGGCAGTCTAAAGGTGAAGGTATCCATGTCCTTGGCAATGCCTGACATTGTCTCACCCAGCTGCAGAGATGTTATGCTGCAACAATGCTCCACAACCTCTGAAAAAAAAAACATAATACTTCCTCACAACACAACACTTGTGGTTTTATAACATATCCTACAGGGAAGCCAGAACGTATCGATACCAGTAACTATTTTTATATTGCTGTCTAATTTATTTATGTTTATTTTTACACATTTTTAAACTTTATAATACTTAAATATTATTTTGTGTAAAAAAAAAAAAAAGGGTTATATCTTCCAATAAAATGGCTGCTTATTTATTTTAATAGTCTAGCTGTTGACAAGATAATTTAAACTGTTTTCTGCAGAAACATTAATCAACTGATAAACATATTACTTGATGTTACAAAATCTTTTTTTTATAAGGATAGATTAAATAAACTTGAGTTGTAGTGTAATAAGTGCTTACGCAGGCCTCTCAGGACATCCCCTTCTGCATCTATCAATGTTTTCCCCTGCTCTAAGGTTATGTTAGCTGCAAGACGTTTCTGAGGATTTAAGCAAGATTTTTTTATCATTACAATAAGAAATTTCAATAAGATTTTGAAAAGTTTTACAACATGAAATGTAATGATTATCATATCATAGAAAATTTAAAGACCCATTGATGTTATCTACAGCTATTTATAAATTTCCCATAGCTTTTGGCTACCGTTACTTAATTCAGCTAGTTAAAAATAATTGTTGACAAGTCAGTTAGAGCACTAAGTAATAGCCCACAACTGTGATCACACCATGTTTCTCTTAATGAGGTCTTGCAGTCTGAACATAATTTGCTGCCTAGATAGGACTGTTGTCTTGGACCATGTTTGGTAAGCTGTTTTAGCAGCAGCTACAGCTGACTCCATCTCTTCCCTAGTGCTTTCTGGGACCTTGGTAACAACTTCATTGGTTGCCTAAGAAAACAAGGACTTAATTTAAAACTAAAACAACTATAAAAGTATAATATACAAGTTTAAATGATAAAATTTGAAATCTTTATTTGGGATAATATAAAAATAATAACAGAAACTTATTCTAAATAGAGATTAAAAATCAAAAAAATTACTCACAGGATTATGTAGATCAACCCATTTCTTAGTTTTTGACTCAACAAATTCATTGTTAATGAATAGTTTTGTTGTTGGCTGAAAAATAAATATTAAAAAATAATTCTTAAATCTAATCTTATAATAATATAAAAACAGTTTGAATAGTCAAGAAATATTATTTATTTAAATAGACAGACATTGCACATTAAATATTAAAGTATATACTTGATAATTGAAAATCACTGCTGTGTCTCAGCGATACGCTATTTATTGTTTATATGGTGATGAATAGTCTATAAATGAAGAATCTGTCAAAATGGATTCCTATGAAGTGTATGTGTCAAAAAAGTGATGCAGAAGTATCTTGGAGCTGCCTAGTTTAGTCCACTGTGAGATTAGTGTTGTTCAAAACCCTCTTCTCCAATTTGGATTTTCTCTCTATCACCTCTACCCTATATAATTAAGAAAAGGTGGGAGGGGTGCTGCAACGTTAATCATTTTTGTTTAGTGACCCCCATTAGAATAATGTTGAAAACCACTTATATAATACATAATTTAAATAGATAGCGCTACTATTTTCCCAAAAATTGTAATAATCTTGACTTACCACTGTGGAAGCATAACATCTTGCAAAATGAAGACTTGAACTTCCTGTCTGAAAAGGGAACATAATAATCAATAATGGATTAAATTATTTCATTAAACAAAATAAAAACACATTTTTCATAATTATGTAGTCTACAGTGAATGCTCACAATTACTCCTGTTTGTATTATACTTAGTAACCCCTCTCAATTTCTGGTGAAAATTACTATGACTTGTGTTTCTTATATATCTAGTCAACCCTCAACACCCCTATTATTATTATAAGTAAAAATACGTTAATGCGAATTTAATAAATTTAAATGGAGGTACAAATATCAAAATATACCACAAACGAAAAAAAAAAGCCAACTCATCAAACATTAATAGTTGAGTCCATCAATATTGCTAATTGAAATCAAATATGACTTTCATATGACTTAGCAATTATCAGCATTGGAGATATAAGGCAAATATTCCCACAGTGTAACTAATTGAGTTGACAAGATAACACATGGCTGGTTCCTGAATAATGGGATTAATTGGGGGTCACTGAACTGATTTCTTATCTAAATACTAAGCATAACATGCACTACCACAATCAGGAGAACCACTTTGGAGTGTTTCCAACCAACTTTGATAACAGAAATGACCAGTGTGTTGGACAGTGCATTATGGTATGACTAAAATGTACTAGATAAGAAAAGCCAGATTTTTCATAGCAAGTTATTCTAATTCAAAGTGTTTTGAAAAGGCTTAAAGTTTAGCATACTAAGACAAATAGTACCATTTTCTGTATATGAACATTTTGCTCTGATCCCCTTCCGAATCTTTAAATAAATTTATACATTGCAGAATCCAAAAGACCAGCAGTCATTTGTTAATGAATTAATTTGGAAGATATTTGAATGATAACATGAATGTGCATATATCGAATTGCATGTTCATTATGAAAACAGCAACTTATATTTCAATAAATATTTTTACTTTTAATTCCGTTTGATCTGAAGCAGAACAATGTGGAGCTTTCTCTACCCACTCAACATTTTCAACATAATTATTAGGCCTATTGAGAGAGTTGTGTATTGATTCAGCCTCAGGTATAACCCAGTATCACATTTTTTATTACAAGACGAATAACTCACTTTCAAAACCTGAAGTAATGACAAGTTTCTTACTACCCCTCAGCCTTAAAAATCTAAATGAATTACATGTTTAAAAACTGTGGAAGCAGAATACAGCTAATCACTAATGTGTCATGGTCAATAAAGTTTATAATCTATTGTGCAGCACTTATTGCAGTGGTTATCAATTAAATTTGTTTTACTTTAGTGCCAAGACCTGTTGATAGCTGTAGCGACTACAACCATTGAGAAACATGTTTGCTAAGGGGGTGGGTGTGGTTATTAGCGGTTAATGGCTTAATTTATAGTTCTACACTTATCTGGTTTTCATTTTTAAACAATTATTAATTAAGAATATAGCAATTTAGATTTTTTGGTACCTTTTTTTTTATTTAGGTACCGGTAGTCACTTTTTAATTTGCAAAAGAATGAAATTTTTATTTTAAAATTAAATGTGTACTAATGATAAGGCGTAATGAACAATTACAATTAAAAGTTACAAATTTCAGAGGAAGCTGTCAACTTTAAATCACACTCACACTCCCAGGCGTTACCACACCTGGTTAAGAACTTGGCAATATGGTCAATCATAAGATGACCATATGAGATATTTTTTCACCATGTGATTGTGATGGTAAACATTTTAGTTAAAGAATATAAAAAAAAAAAAATATGTTGTGTAAAATTCTAAGTCTAAGAAACTATCATGAATCATATCTATCTATACTCTATACAAATAGTGTCTACATTACTATTACTAAGCAGGACTAAGCCTAAGCTCTTTTTAAAAAAAAAAAAAAAATGAAATATGCATTCATTATGAAATCCACACTGCAAGGGCATTTCTCCCATTTAGAATACCGGTTCAAATTAGTTGGTTAATTATTCACCTTTAGTCTTTAGCCTTTAAGTTTTAATTTTAAGTCATTTGACCTCATTTTTTTCAATGTATAATAGTATAATAAAAATAAAAATAACAACTGATATCACTGATAATAAGTTTCAAAATTAGACTTAGACTTACTTACTTAAGTCTTAAATCTAAAACAATTGTTGCTGAAATGTGTTTTACAAGCATATGCATAGTCTGCATAGGCTACAGACAATGCTACCCTTAGATTTAGATTCATGGTAAAAAAAATTTTTTAAAAAAGTTAACATAACTTAAACATTCCCGCAGTACTAAACAAACTTGTAACTAGCCAAGTAAAATAATAAGTAAGAATGAATGATGAGTAAGCCTACTTAGCTACAACTACAACATTATAAGTTAAAGATTATAATGTGAAATAATTTGGCTGAATATAATACTCATGCTTTAAAAATTAAACCATAACATATAATTACCACTCGAATAGTGCGTAAAACTGCAAAGATTGTCATCTTTTTTTCTAATCTATGCCTACTGCAAGATCTCCGTCGTGGTGCAGTCTGCGAGGTCAAAAGCCACTAGTCTAGTTAAGTGAACTATACCTCCAGAAGTCTAGCCAATCCGTAAGCTGAAAATCATCACACCTCCAACCTCCACGAAAGTTCAAGGTTAGACTTATACCTATGACTATGAGCCTTATGCACATATGAAAATAATTACAAACTAACAGTACTATCAGATACCCTTATATGCATATCTTCAGATTCATATTAAACTTTCTAAACTAATATAATTTTCTATAAGTTTCAGTGTCAGTGACAGTTTGAGACGATGGTAAAGATTAACGCTAGTTTTGTTCCGGAAGTAATTAAACTGAAACAATAAAATGGCCGCCAAGCCAACCAACAGTGTAGCAGTAGGAGGTAATTTCAAAACAATATAATAAACAAGAAAAACATAAGCTTTCATATGACTTATTCGATTGGAAGAAAAAAGGGTAACTGTTGAGAAAGTTACCCGGGGTTTCCGCCATCTTGGTTGACACAACCAGTAAATTATGTCACTAAACCTAAACTAAATTGATCCTTATACTTCTGCCATGCCTAACCTGAACCCTAATATCCCTGTCCCTATCATTGACTATCATGCCCTATGCCTAACCTGAACCCTAAATGGATCCCTAAACCTAACCTAAACCCTAATTCACTGCAACCATAATAAACACGCAAATGATGTCATGGGTATGATTCTCAACAATAGCCAAATTGGTGACTATTTTAATAAAATTAAATTATTTACTTTTACTGTTCATTAGTTCATTTAATTCATTACTCATTAAACTCTCATCTCCTTAAGAGTGACTAAGGCTAAAATGCATTTAGCAGCAGGGCTGGCGATGTCCTCAAAGTTTTATAAATAAGTCATGGAGATTACTCAGGTCAACTATCAGCCATAGTTCGGTTTCTTTCTCAAAATATTTAGAAATTTAGCTGTGTACTAAGTACAAAGTACAGTGTACTATTATACTTATAAAAGTTGTTTTTTTCTCCTTTAAAAATTTTTTACTTTAAAGAGAGGGGAGGCTCCCCTGCCCATATGATATTGAGACCCTCCCCGGAAATTTTTTTGTTTCTTATTTTTGTATTGAAATTGGGTGGAGGGGTATCCCCTCCTAAAAAAATTATGTTGAAATGTCCCATTAAATTGCAACATTATAATAATATAAAATAAATGAGTGGTTGTATTTCAACCAATAAATAAAACATCAGTTTTAACCATGGGTATGCCTTTTTTCTGGTGCTCATCTTGGGGTATCAGCAAGGATGATTTTCTCTTTTTATTTCTTTTGAAACATGTAAGTTGAAGTTTAATAAAAACCGAATGGAACCAATTCCATTTGAACTTTATTTCATGTTAACTGTATTGATAGTAAGATAAGTAAATAAAACTCAGTGAAGAGCAAGAAAGTTATCATTCTCATCGTTCAGGTCCAACTGTTGGTCCTGTCACCCGAAGTCCAGTGTTGGGATTCCCAACATGGTAAAATTAAAACCCACAGATTAATCGCTTATCCCGATTGTACTGTATGATCCAAATTTACCAAAAATTCAAATATCCTTATGAGGATCTAGTCCTGTAAGACTAGGAGTACAGGTATGGGACCTAGGTTATTTACTATTACAATATAGGCTATGCCTCATTATCTGAAAGAAAAATCGATTTAGTTTTTCATTTGTATCACAGATAAATATTTTAAAATAATATCTCTATCATAAAGCTAAATTAATTTTTTTTTCAAATTCCACAGAAGATGATAAGCTTTTGAGTCTAGAAAAATTAGACAGATTGTCACCTGATTTATGGCCAGAAAAGAGTAGGTATTCGATAGAATTATGTTCACATAAATGAACATTTTATCTGCTAATTAATTTTTTATTCTTGGAGTTCTTGAAACCCTATCCAATGTTCATCCTTGTAAAATTCTTAGATGAAAAAATTGATATTCATGAACCACTAGTAGTAGTACCTGGTAACACAAATAAATCCTGTAAGTTAAAATCTCATTGATAAAATTTAGTCTTGGCTATACTGGAATATATGAAACACTATATAATATTCATAATTAATGTACAAAAATAATTTTCTTTTTGGAACAGTTCCTGGTGTTACAGAGTATGAAGTTGGTAAAAATGTAAGTACTGGTGTGTGTGTGTGTGTGTATATATATATATATATATATATATATAATCCGCCAGCAAAGGTCAAACAAGACGAGTCAAATACCACGCAGGCTATTTATAGATAAGCCAGAGTGGGGTTCAATAATGAGTTCACTAGCGCGTAAAATATAATTCCCCATAATTATGCTAAAAGATATATATATATATTTTTTTAATAACGCAATTGCGTTGGGCATGTAATATTTTCTTTTCGGAAATGAAATCGTCTCAATTTCAGTATTATTTTAAAAATATTTGGTTTAAATTTTAAAAGTGGTTGGGACATGAGAATATTAAATAGTTTGGACAACTGTGTCTTTCACGAAGTCTTCACTCATCTATGAGTATGAGCAATTCTGCGACGTATGCTATGCCGCGGGTCGTCTAGTATGCATATATATATATATATATATATATATGTGTGTGTGTATATGAATAGTAGGATCATATTAAGTTAAAATATGCAGTTTCAGTTAGAAACACGTTTAAATTCCTTAATGAGTTATAAATAAGTCTCTATTCATAGAAAAATATTTAGCAAAAATGTTGATTCCCATTAAAAGTGACTTTAACTCATTATTTTATTAATGTCTTTCATAATGTCTTTAATTTACAAAAGTAAACTTAAATAAATTCATTTATAAAGTTATGGTATTATCTATTTGACTCAACATCAGACTTTGAAATAAATAATATATATTGGTATATTAACTACATTATTAGAACGCTGAGATCTGTACAGCAATAAAAGAAGAAAGTGAATGAATATTCTTATGAATGAAACTTTGATAATTCATTAGGTAAAGAAAAGGCAGTGAGAAGAGGGGTTTAAAAAATGTGAATGTGCACGAGTATGGTATGAAATGGGATGGAGGATATGGCATGTATATGAATGAGCCATGTTGGCATGTACTCAGCAAAAAAAATTATAATAGAGCAATTCAACTATACTATATGAGTCACATCAGTCGACAAATTAAATAAGTTTTTCATTGTATATTTAAAAAACTTTCAGTCAAAAACAGCTGGAACACCTAGATGGCTGGCTGATCTGGAAAAAGATGATATTAATCTTTTACAAGGTTGGTTCAAAATTTTGACCAATAATATGAGCTCATAATCATTATAATAATATAACAACAATCTTTCTATAGTTGGGGATAAAGTTTATTCATTAAAAATTAGAAGCATAAGAGAGTTGTAATCAAAATACAAATTATACAACAATCGTTTTTGTTTACTTGAATTGTCAAAAAAAATTGTGATTGTACCATAACCAAGTTTAAAAAAATGATTAAAAGAAAATATTATTAATTAATCCAAATTGTTATTAAATATGAAGCCATCAGATCAAGATATAAATTTGGCAAAATCAAGTGTAAACCTTTTTATTTTTGCTGTATTAATTCAAAAATATTTTAAACTTTCAAGTACAGGATAGTTTTAGATGATGTTTCTTTCTTCAGAGTTTGGTAGCCTGACTTTGTCACAGCTTATGGAAAAAGTTAGAGGATTGCAGAATTTAGCCTACCAGCTTGGGTTAGAAGAAGGTAATTAGAAAAGCAATGCAGTATCTATTCAGCATATTTATTTCCTTCAATCTTGGCAGATGTTTTTGTAAGAGAACATGATTGTGTGCAATTATCAGCATGACAATATGCCTACCTTATATTATTGTTTAGTTCTAGATAGGATTTCAAACTGTTATCCCATGACAGCAAAGTCCCAAGTTTAACACAATTTTTCTTGCTAAAACCAATTCTTTATCACCCCTTGAAAAAAGGCCTATGTTTTAGTTACTTAATGTTGCAAGAAAAATACTAGCATAAACAGTATTATAGTATGGGCAGGACTGCATTTTCAAAGGGATTTGACATTTTTTTCCTTCCTGCCATCAGTCATATAATTTTATTTGTAATTAATTGTTTGAACAGATAAGATATTTTTATTGATCCAAATACATGGAAATTTGTACATATTTTTTTCAGTCTTGAAAATTCTTTAGTTTTTCGCTGTTCCTTAAAATTAGTATGTAGCAAGACTTTTGTTAAATAATTGTGCAGTATGAAAAACTGTTGAGTTCTTGAGTGTGAGTTATAGTTTTGAACAGATTCTTGACTTTTTGTTGGAACAATTGTTTTTACCATCTGAATCTTAGTCAGAATGTGTTGTTTTTTTTCATTATCCAAGCCAAACCAAAAATTTGTTAAATTATACATCGTTGTTTACAGCAAGGGAGATGACCAGAGGCAAATTTCTCAACATTTTGGCCAAACCCAAGCAGCAGAGATAGCAAAGTGCTGTACAGAGTGAACTTTCTAAATTTTTTTGTTTATAGATTGTATGTGATCATCAATAATGGCTAAACATTTATTGTGTGTAAAAGTAAAAGCACACAGTGGTGAGACATTATACATAGAATGCCATTCAGAAATCAAGTAAATGATTTCAGCCTGATAAAAATTTGCAGTAATATAAGTACTGTACAATAATAGTGAATTTAAATGTTTTATTTGCTTATTTATTAGTTGTCTGTATTGCCTTTGAAAATACATTATGGTAAATTTAAATTTTGTTTTTCTTTTTTATTATATATTTATATCTGTCGATACATAGACTTGCAAAGTAATATCTGTTGACAGGACAATGATGTTTATTATATTGTTGTATTTTAACCTGTAAATCCAGTTATTTTAGAAACCTTTTTCCTACTGACAGTGCATATACAATCACTGAGTAAAGTTTAGAAATATATATATATAATTAATATATATAAAATTGTATAGCTTGTTTATTTATTAGCATACATTCCGTTACATAGAAACATCTGACATATATTCTGCCGGTTTGAAAGATTAACATGAACGGTCAAACTAAGCTGTGTAACAAATTTCAGATTTCAAGGATTAAATCAATTATAATTTTCATTTAGCTCAGAGATGCCCAAGACAATAAGCCATCAAAGATCATTATACAGCTCACAAAAAAAAAAAACCAACACTAAACTTGTAAAAATTCTAATTAATTTATTTAACTATTTAACATAGAGGACGCAGATCAACGCAGATCACAAAGCCCGTTTTATTCAAAAAAATGTTTTTGTCAAAACAGTATCACATGTGGATGAGTCCTTATTGGAAAGTTTTCCAATACCCTTGAATACCCTTAAATACCTTTGGTTCAGTACCAATAAAAGCTTGAAATTTCATGTCTAACACTTGACACCAGTTCATATGCATCACTCTCTGCATCAGGTCAATAAGTGCTATTTCAAGGTTTCATGTAACAAGTATGACATCCTGCAAGATTAGATAAGTGGATTATAATATATGGAGTGTTGATGTCACCTGTACTATCTTATGATATATAATGACCAAATAATTGTTAAAAAGTCTTGCATTCATGGAGACTTATACTGTAACACATCATCAGGAAGAACATTTGAGATGCTGTTTATACAGCTAGCTCTAAATTTATTTATTTAGGCATTTTTATATAGCGCTTATCTATTACTTCCAGTTCCAGCTTTATATTTAATTTTTAATGTCTGATTCTAATACAAATATGGATATTTATTGCTTCTTCCAGTACTGTCAATAATTACTTCTTCTTGTAGCAAAATGACAAGAAAATAGTTTAAACTAAGATTCTTTCATTTTTTTTACTTAGTAAATTTTCACAAGAGAGTGCTAAAAAGCTTTATTTGCAATATATTAAATTGGAACTAAATGTTTCCCATACTATTAGCCCAGACATTAGAAAAAAGGATACAAACTTAAGTTTTCGGGGGTTTAAATTCAAACATACTAAAAGTGTTATATTTGTAGTATTCCTCAGACATAGTAAATGTATGGTAATAAAAAATTCCTCTAACAAACATATTAAAGGAACAGTTGTATTCCTTCCAAATTGTCTCACCTCATCCACATCAGAATTTTTCTTGTCACAGGTAAAAGAGACCTGAAAAAATAGTAATAACCTCTCAGGTCTTTTGTTGTGTCTGAGGGCCAAGATATCAGATCATTTATATCTACCAAATTTGCATATAGTTAAGATTTAGAATAATCTGTATGTCCAATACTAGAGCACAATAAATGCATTCAGAAAAGAGTTGATCACCTCACTGAAAAATCAATCACAAGAAAGTTTTTACATTTTGCAACCTTTGACTCTAAACAGGCAGATGCAAGGAATGATATATATTGTAGGCATTGAATTTCAAATGTTCTATTTAGTGAAGAGTTTCGAAATACTGCAAATTGAAGTCAAAATTTTTTAAAAAGGACTTACCAAACAGTTAATGTTATTTGTGACTTTAGAGTCATTTGTGCAGATTTTCCTTGTATTTTTAATGCTGTTATAGTTCAAATCTGCATTCCATGAGTGTCTTATCATACTTGTTTCTCTACTCTCTGAATAGCTTGAATAGTTCAAACTCACAGTTTTACTGGCACTGCTGCACCCAAGATGACTTTGCTTTTGGAAAACAGAAACATTATTTTTTCGCCTGTGGCTTTTCTGCTTTGAAATTTTCATTTTTGAAACATTTGGTGAGCGCTTCTGTACCTCATATTCCAATGGACAAGAGTTTAAATCTTGTGCTTTTTGTCCAGAAGTCTCATTTTTTTCTTTGAACTCTCCCTGAGACTTAGCTAATTGGTGACACTTTGAATAGGAATTTCGCTGCTTTTCTTTATAATGAGAAAATGACCCGCGGTCCTTGTGGCACATGATGCTAGAATGATCTGCTACACCACAGTGATGATAGTGATCTGAGTCACACACTTGGACACTTCGGTTACTTTTCAATGACAATTGCTGTTGAGGAAATGTAGAATTTGTACAAGATTGATCTTTTCCAAAGTTTGCAAGTTTGATTTTGTCCCCGCTGGCACAGTTTATTCCCAATCTCAATTGTTCAGATTTTCTGGCTACCAAAGTCTTTAAATCTAATTCATGTGACATAACTATTTGTGCATGATTTCGATTGGTTAAGGTCCTTTTCTTATGTCTCCTTTTTTTTGTGTTCCTAAGATTCCTGCTTTTGGTTTTTGGTAATTGTTGGTTTTGCCCTGATTTTAGAGTAGAATCCTTGAATTCATAAGGATCTGTGTCATTGACACTCATTGGAGATAATCTTTGAAGAAGTCTTTTACCAACTTTGACAGAAGGGATATCTCTGTGACTGAATGAAAGATCTCCTCTATCCTCAGCATAAAAAGCAGTAGATGGTTTTGGTAATTTCTTTGTACTCCACAATGCTCTACGTACTAATTTTCTACTGTGCTGGTTTTGAACACCACAATGTGATCTGTGCTTGCCCGGGTTAGCATCAATTTGGCATTTAATAACAGAACGACTCATGTCCTTTTCACCTATTGTAAGCATAGCCCGAGTCCTAAAACTTTGGTTTTTGACACCCTTTTCAGTTTGATTGACAGGGTGAGTTTTTGTCTGACCAACACTGACAGGTTCAAATCTGTTGCCTGTGAATGCAGGAGGTAGGCAGGTTTTAGGAGGAAAATCAGCTATTTTTGAAAGACTGCGATTGTTTGTTTTAACTTTTTGAGGGGAGACTTTAGTGCGGGCCATAACATTTTTTACCTCCTCTGGCTCATCATAACCGGATGTACTCGCTGAGCTGTGAGATGCTCTCAGGCTAATGTCATGGTGTCTCAAGGTCATGACCTGTAGAGGTTTGAAACCTGCTGCCGTATGTCTAGCTACCGGACCGCTGGCCTCCGAATTGATGGTGATTAGAGTGGTATCATGCACATTCGTTCCCACACTCGTGTTGAGTTTGCTACTCATTTGCTTACCATCAGAACGAGAGTGTGACCAACTGTGGCATGCACCGCAGCTTTCAGGGCTGGAATTTTTCTCTCTCATACAAGCCTCATCTTTGCAGGAAGTATTTTCTTGAGCAATCTCATTATCATAAGTTTTATTTGCAGGGATTTTGACAGTTTTTCTGTTGCTTGTGACATGTACGTCACATATCACCCTAGGCCTTGGAGACTGGGCCACTTTTGGTTGCTTATTGTTTACCAATGCAGCAGTTGAAGTTTCATCACTAATGCAGTCAGTAAAATTTGTGTCATTCTTCCTCATGGTACTAGTAGTACGTTTGCTTTCACTCAAAGTACAAGAAAACATATTGTGTGACCTATTGATTAAACTACTTTCCTTGCATTGACAATAACCTGAGATATCCTGCCTGTCAATTGCAAAATGTGACTTAGAGGATGCACAAGAAGATGATGTACTTTCACATTTAACAAATGTTTCATGTGAATTTGATTCATCTTGTTTAAATATGGAACATTGTAAGTTTGTCAAGGGGTCTATAGACAGTCCAGAATATGTAGGTGGGATTGTCATAGACGGCAGTATTCTACCCTCATCCTGCACTAGAGCAGTCACTTGCCTTGTCCCACAATGCCCTTGTATCTGAGGTCCTTCCTTTGTGAAAGTTTCACTCAATTCATTCACATACTTTTCTTTCCCAGCTTTCTTTACGATGAGAGGGTTGAAATGAAAATTTATAGGCTTAAAACAAGAGTGTTCATCAACTGTAAATGTATGGTTCAAGTGTGAGTTTTTAAACTTTTCTTTGTGTACATTTTCCCTTTTGAAACTTGAACTAGAGATTTTAGAATTTTCCCCCTGCCATATCAAGTGAGGATTACTCTTTTCTCTAGATATGGGACAGGCAGAATTTGAAAAAACAGTTTGGGTTGCATAGCGGGGGCTTTTCCAATATTCTTTACTATCCTCAAAATTTTCAAATTGCCTCTTTCTCTGAGGACAGATATCTGGAATTTTCTCATGCCTGACTTCACTTGTTCCCTGTCCTGAGGAGCCCCTTTTAGTTCTAGTATGAAAAATTGTTTTAGGCTTTACTTGCCTGTGGACATTTGTTTTAGAATATGTTGTGGCACTACCAAGGGAAAGCATGGCATTCAAGTCGTGACCCTTCCTTCTGTTTGGATGTGTTTCTGGACACATTTCCATAATAGAAGAGGCAACTGATGGGCCAGTTATGATCGAGGCATGATCAGAAACATTAGATACTGAATTCTGATCGTCAGATATAAAATGTGTATTAGAATTTTTGAGTACATTCCCTGATGAATGCGATTGATCGTCTCCTACATCAGTCTGGTCTTGTAGCCATGATGTCACTTTTTCCTCAACGCTGTATCTGAATTCAGCGTCCTCATGTAGAGAAGAGATCTCAGTTTTAATAAACACATGTTGCAAGTCTGTGCTCTCATCATTTATTTTATTGTGCATTAGCAAGTCTCCCTGTGTGCAAGGACAGGCAGACACAATATGACGAGGATTTGCACTGTCAACATGTCCTGGATAGTCTTCAACATGACCAGTCTGGTTGTAAGAGTTTTTACTGGATGTTTCAGCATCACTCTCATCAAAACTATGAAGGCAGTTACTGTACTCAGAGAGTGACATCATTTCTGATTTCTCTCTGGCAATTCCAACCTTAACAGCCAAAGTCTTTATGTCTGGTAGAGTTTGGGAACCTGATGACTCACGCCTGTCATGCTGACTTTTTTCCATTAGTGCTTGCTTACATTTGTCTGCTGGTACTGGAACTTGCTTACATTTGTCTAAAGGTGCTTGCTTACATCTGTCAGTAGATGTTATAGGGCTATGCCTGTAACTTTCACCAGATGCACATAAATATTTCTCCTCAACATTTAGTAAGGCACTGGTTGTGGAAGGTTTTACTTGATTTGTGCTGGGAGACCTTGTTAAAGGTGGGTCACTTGTGCCAACTCGCAGGAGGTCAAAGGTCGATGGGTACATTCTCAGTATATTTTTTGATATCTTCTGCTTGTGTTGATAATCCGATTGCTTTAAAGTTAGGTTTGTCTCTGGAGAAAACGCTGAAGGGATAAGTTTATGAAATATTTAAAATTGTAAAAATGCTAAGGGAAATTTTTTTAAATATCAATATATGTAAATTCATGTAAAACATGTAAATTCTTAAGAGAAATATTACCCCCAAAAAATGAGAAAAAAAAACTGCCCACAACGCTGTTTTCACACATGCGCATGTGTTATATGAGTTTAATGCACAAGTGTTTGTATATAACTAGATTCTATATTGTAAAATTTTCAAGTAAGTGTACAACCAGATTCAATTTTTAAGAAGCCCATTGTCACATGCTGAGTTAGACTTTTTGCAAATTCTAAATAATTATTGCTATTATTATTATTATTGTTGAACAAAGCCCTTGCAACAAAAAGAGCCAAATTTAACCAGGAGTCAAGTTTCTCCTGTGAGAAATACAGTTGAGACTGCCATTCCAGGATTGGCCTCATAAGCGATTTGATGAAGAGTCAATAGATACTCCATCGTATCGCGAAGACGGAAGGATGCCATATATATTACTGCTATAAATGTTTTGTCAGACCCTAAGAGTTTGTGAGCTGATGACAGACTACTGGAATAATCCAGACAATAGTGACAAATATGATTCATTAGATTATATTTTCCTAAATATCAAAACTGACTTACTGTTTAAAAAATAAGGAATACAGATTTCTGCAGCCATGAAAGGGTGTTGCAAAGCTTCCCAAGGTGTCATCCTATGGTCTGTGGGCACAAATATTTCATCAAAAGATATTTAATTTATTATACAGTTAAACACAAACAAATATAATTAAAGAAATTGTACGTAAAGACTTCAGTAGTATTAACAGTTTTGTGACAGATTATTAAAATCCAATAGTGGAAAAAATAAGAACATTTATTAACTTCAACTTTCGGTTTTGTCAAATTTATGGAAACCTCAAATAATTTACAAAGTTTGTAATTTAAAAAATGTGTTAAGTAGGTAAATTTGAACATTATTTTTTGTCTCTTAACTTTTTCCCACCAATGCAGCTAAATATCCTTGAGGGGTAACTCGCTCATGGTTATTTTATAGTAGTACATGTTTCCCTTGAGACTTCCCTGGTGATGTGATTATTACATAAAATCATACTTTTTACAATTTTATCTTCCTTTTTATTCTATACCTGCATTAGTACTGTTGGTTTTACAGAGATGTTGTGTTGTTCTTATAGAAATGTTGTTTTAGTCTTAAAGAGATTTTGTGGTGGTCTCATAGAGATGTGTTGTTCTTAAAGAGATGTTTAGGTCTTGTAGAGATTTTGTGTTCTTATAGAGAAGTTGTGGTGGTCTTAAAGAGATTTTGTGGTGGTCTTAAACTTATAGAGAAGTTGTGGTGATCTTACAGAGATGTTGTGTTGTTTTCATAGAGATGTTGTTTCGGTCTTAAAGCTAAAAAGATTTTATGGTGGTCTTATAGTGATGTTGTGGTGGTCTACTTACAGAGATGTTGTGTTGTTCTTAAAGAAATGTTGTTTTGATATTAAAGAGATTTTGTGGTGGTCTTATAGAGATGTTGTGTTGGTCTTATAGAGATCTTTTGTGTTGGTCTTATAGAGATGTTGTATAGGTCTTATAGAGATGTGGTGGTCTTAAAGAAATGTTGTGTGAGCAAGATTCGCAAATATTGAGTTTTTTTGTCATTGCTCTTTATTTCATGGCAATTAAATGTTTTATTTTTCTTAAACTTTATCCATTTCTAGATGCATCTGTCTTTAGTTTGTTATGATTGATTAATATTTAGGAACTAAAAAAAATTAATTAAAATTGAAGTTCAATAGAAAATTGGAGTTAATTCATTTGGTAGGAAATACTGAATGTAAATCATGCATCAGGTGGGATTGAGCTAATATTGAAACTCGGATAACAAAATAAATAAACAGAAAGCACCAACATTTCACAAAATACTGGCACTGGCATATAATGAAAGAAATCCATAATATTATAACATGTGTATAGATGAGAGAGAGAATCATTTAATTTTTAATCTATTGAGGTAAATCGTATTATTTATAGACTGGAAACATCAATGCACACGCTTAAGTTATGTAGTTCAAATCAATTTTCTGTTGGTTCAAACCTTTGTTTGAAAGAGAAAAATTCAATCACCTGGATCATATGATAACAGTCCTGAAAGGAAGCTGGCAAACTGATAGTTTCTGAGAGAAGGATTAACAGACATCATTCGCAGAGCAACTGGAAGATGAGAATATGGTATAAATGTATTTGAAAAAAAGGTTAAGAATCAAATTTTTTTAATAAATCTGTATTCTGAAATTCTGTAAAATAAATGACTTTTGAAAATAAATGTAACTAAAGTTACTGAATGTTAAATTTTAAAAATAACACATTTAAAATCAAATAATGACTGACCACATTTTTGCTGACCAGAACTCACAGAGTCAGACTGCAGAATTTCTGCACACCTCCCCTGTGTATACAAATGAGTAGGTACCGGTCCCAACAGTGTAATTATCTGGGAAATTTCAGTCAGAAGTGGAAATCATGTTTACGTTGTCAACCTCATACTAATTTAGTGATTAGGTTATCATAATTATAAATCACTGGTGCAACCTACCTGTTGAAGTATATCAGTTTTGTTGGCTCCACTGAATAGGACCCGTCCAGCATAACACTCATACAGGACACATCCCAAGGACCACATGTCTATCTCAATACCAAATGGACTGCTACAAAGAACCTGATAACATAAGACACAACTAGCATTTTATTTATAACTAATTTTGTTCAATACAATTGAGATATAAGAAATTAATTTGAAAGTTCAAAATGCACTGAAATAATTTTTAAAAGTTCTCTTAAAAATGAATGAAGATACAAAACCTTGCAATGTCAAAATAATCAAGCTTGACTTTTTTCATAACTACGAATAACGTTGCAAAAGTTAGATTCTAAGATAAAAATAATATTTGACCACAAATGTATAACAATAAGGTCTGACTTATAGAAGATGGAAAATAATATAATCTTTCAATTTTTAAGTTCAAATAATCGATCAGTACAGACCTCAGGAGCCCTATACGGTAATGTTTGAAGCTCAAAATCTTCATAGTACATGGAGATCTCACTCTGTGAGTTATTCATGGCATTGCCAAAATCAATCAGAGTTACAGAGTCCAGATCACGCTCTGAGGGGATAAAAATATGTTTAATCTCCACATAATAAATTTATTTTAAACTAATCAAATTTGACCAACTTCCCTATTTTAAATATGTAAAAAGCAGGCTAGCTAACTAGAAAAAGAAAGTGTGTTTTTATAAGAGGCAAAGAGTTTATTGCTTTCAAATTTTACAGAATTGTTTCACCATTTATGAATGTGGTCTAGAGCAGAGGTTGTTTTTTTTCTTCTAGTGCTAGCCTTCACATGATGCCAAGGGATGAAAAATATGAATTGTATAAAAATAATGTTTAACTTTAGTAAAGAAAATTTTCCATTAGTTAGAAAATCAAGAACAATAAGTAAATCACCTTCATCCACAAGGATATTTTCAGGCTTGACATCTGCATGTATAATGTTCTGAGTCCTCAGAAATGCCAAAGCTGTCAAAAGATGCCTGCTGATCTTTCTTATAGCAGACCATGTCTGAAAAATAATTTATTTTAATCTGCTGGAATAAATAATTTTTGAACAAATGAACATAGTTACATGATGAGTATGATGAGTTATTTTTTAAAACATTGATGCAATTCAAGATAAAAACAAAAATTAATTAAAACAATATAATTTTTTTTTTTAAAACATAATTTATGTGATCATTTAATACAATCTTATTTAAAACTAAAAGTAACTTTCTAACATTTTTCTCATTCAAGGACTTTTCAGCAATAACTTTTGTGAGAGGCTGAACATCAAGTGCTGGAAACACTAAGCAAACATGTTCGTTAAATATGAAAGCATTCTGAAATAAACAGAAACAATTAGCCCATTAGTGATTCAATTTAATAAGTTGATTAAAAATCTTTCGAAATAAACATTATATATAATTAATTAATTATAATATATACAAAACATGTTTAAAGACTTTTAAAAAGTAGAAATTAAGACACCATTTTGAGACTGCTAAATTTATCCTAACAAGACATAATTTATTATTTGAATGTCACCACAGCATTGCATAATAATAAGAAAAATATTAATCAAACTTAACTAGAAAGTAATCAAAATAATATTTTAGAAATTTATGTTTACCAAAAGTGCCATTGTATGTGATAGATGGCATGGATCAGCAGTTTTAAGTCTACGTAAAGTTTGGACTTCTTGAAGGCCAGCAAATCTGTACATCAGATGAACTACCTTGATTACTACTGGATGGAACTTATGAAAACAATCCTAAATTTTGAAAAATAAAATTGCTAATTAATTTCAAATTAAATATACTAAATCATTGGAATTTTGTTAATAAATAGATGTTCAGTCACTCCTAGATGTGAACATTTTAAAATTTGTTTTAAAGGTTTTTATTAAAAACTTATTACTATAAATAGTGTAAAGAGACAAACTAAAGTGTCCATGGCATCTGTATAAAAGTTAAATATTATTATACTAAAAAATAACTCTTACAATAAATATGTGTTGAAAACCACATCACCTTAGTGAGCAGAAAGTAAATATACTTTTTTTTATAAAAATAAATTATTTTCTTTCAATTGAAACAATTTCTTCCACCATCAGTATTTCAAATTGATTTGTACCCTTTTAACTTAAAAATTTAATTGACTGGGCGCATATATAAAATTAACTGAACAAATTCATAAAGCTATAAATGTTTAATGTAATTACACAAACCTTGGCTTTTAACAACACTGCTGTTTCTCCGTTAGTCTCAATATGACTAATGATAATGTAGCGACCACCTAACATATAGTTAATTTCCGCAATGAAATGTCCTTTTCTATTGGTGTACTTTTTTGCTAAATTTGAAATATAAGATATTACTTTTAGACTAAGTTAAGGCTAATGTTTTTTAAATAAAAATGTATTCACTATGGAAAATTTAGAAGCTTTTCTAATATTAAGGGTGTTTGAGGGGCAAATTATAAACCTAAAAATTAATAATTCATGCAACAGTTATACTTTTTTTAACTAAAGCAAAATATATATATATATATTTTTTTTTTTAAATTTTGCAATAAATTGTATCCTTGTCTAAATTACAATTATTTTTCATAACTAAGCAGTAGTAGTAGTAGGCCTACCCTTTGAAGTTAAAAAAAACCCATATATTCCTGCATCTTAATAGATATTATAAGGTCTGGGCCTAAAATTCCAAAAGAACTTTGAAATGATTATGTACAACTTTAAAATAAAAGGTTTATTTTAATCTTTATAAAAAATTTGTAAAAAAAAAAACAATGACAATCTTACTTTTCACTACAGCTGTTCCTCTATTGATTTGTTCATATAACAACTTCAGTCCTCCTGTCATCTGGGATAACATGTTGACTTTCGGTAACACAGCCTGACCCATGCTTTCTTGGTGAATTGGTGACCTAACATTTAATATGTGCAAATAATTATACTTAGTAACTTGTATCAGGCCTCTAGTCATTAATTTTATTTCCCATTTATGAAGTCGTGAGAAAAGAGCTTGAAACTATGTAAACAATTTGTGGTGCGCCCCCTCCCCCCCCTCCAAACAAAATTTCAAGGCACAATAAACTCAGCATTCGTTGGAAAACTATCTATGGTTACTTGCATACACAATTCCGATAATGTTTTGTAAGCAAATTTGAAATTTAATTTTTCAAATTCTTTATTAGCTTTTGAACCTTCTGAAAACATTTTTTTCTTCAGAAAATGATTATTGCCACAATAACTTTTTGATACATCAGATTTCTATCCAGTCCACCATCCACAGACATAATAATAAAAACAGGTTTCACAATCTTCATGCTTTCATATTTTGAAAGAAGATGATTTTGAAGTCTTAAATTGCAAGCAGTTTTTCATAGTTCAGTCCATGAGCATAGGCTAACAATTATGAATGCTTGCCTGACCTGATGCAGTCAGCTATGTATGCTGGACCTGAATAATGTTACCCACATTACATACCCTTGATTCTCAGAATATTGTATTCTTACACTATAAACATTATCAAACCTGACTGTCTATGTCACACCACCCTCACCATCAAGTTGCAACTTTATCATTCACCCACACACACATTCATTTGCAACAGACAGATTCTGTAAGTGGAAAGAGCACATATTTGACCTAAAATTCACTACTAACAAAGTGCACAAGTTCTCCAAATATTGATATTTTAACCATATTCATTTTAATAATTTTAAATTATATTATTTTAATATATGCAAAACACAGTAGAGCCTACATAAAACCTGCAAGTAATAAACTATCCCTCTACTATATGTGTCATCTGGATATGACTTAGCTTATTAACATTAGGATTAGGTGGTGCTAATGGTCTGATGAACCATTCACAGAACAACAATGTTAAATTTTAAGAGGTTCATTAAAAGCTTTGTAATAGAAGTAGGACTGTTTACCATTTTTAAAAACAATTAATTACGGATTAATTAGAGCCAAGGCCAAGGCTCATAATTTAGATTTTTAAAGAGTTATTTATTTAATAGGCCTACAGTTACAGAAAATTAGCATATTTGAGTCAACTAATCATGAACCCCATCTTTGTCAAATTTTCCCAACTTACCACCCCCCCCCCCCCCCTAGACATAATTTAAAGATGTCCCCNTTTTTTTAAAAGTATGACTAGCATTGTCATTGGGGAGGGGGGGGGGGTTGTTGAGGTAAATGTTTTGAAATGGAGATGGGGGGGGGGGGGGCTGCAAATGTTTTGACATTTGAAATCAAGAGGGGGCATGCTGCTAATGTTTTGAAATCAAGAGGGGCGTGCTGCATTTGCAAATCAATGATTTGAAATCAAGATTGTGTGCTGCAAAAATGTTAAGAACCCCTGATTTTGAGCCTTTGTCTATAAAATTATACTCATCAATATTCAATAGGCCCTATCTAACTATCTATCAATATCATAATTTGAAATTTCTTTCATATTAATTTAATCATATTCATATAAAATATAATAAATAATAATAATAATACATTCACATGTTCTTTTAAAAAATGATTAGCCTACCCTCTAGTTCTTGAAAATGAACTAAGATGTGTCTTCATGATGTATGTTTTTATTTTACGCTGCTTATCTTAATTAATTAATGAAAAGTTGTATTTTCAAGCCTATGTCAGTATGTCAACAATAGAATTTTAAATTATTTTATTTGTTGATATGCAACTTTGGCGGAATTTGTTTTGAAACGTTAACTCCGATCCTGTTATTAGGGGTGTTAGTGTTATCAAGACTAAGTGGCATTAAAAATTAAATTATTTGTAACGTTTAAAATTCTTCACTAGGTTAAAAAATTAGCCATATTTTTATATATGTTACATATAGTAAATTTCGGTAATTTTTAATTACAATATTTTATAGATGCTTAAATTGCTTTAAACACTTTTAATTTCAAGTTCTGCATGGAATGCACCTTGACTACCACTCGCGAGTTGTTTTCAACTTTTTTATATGTGGTTTGGAGTCAAGATCGAGTGTTGATTTCACGTAATTTCTCACACACGTAGAATATTTATCTATAAAAGAAATTTCTTAATTTAAAAAATGGTAAATAATTAATAAACTCTTTTTGGTTTTTCATTTTAAAATATGCTTGGTAAATTTTAAAATTTAAATACCTAAAGTTAAAGTGCCTAAATTTATTATCAATATATCTTATTTTGTGATTAGACCAAAATTACCGTAATGATCCTAATGCCATTTATTTAGCAAGTAATATAATTTAATATAAAATTATAGTTATAAATTAATAATTGCTGAATGCTCTCTATTTACTTTCTTAGTCTAAGGGTACAACAATCAAAGAAGCATTGGCAAAATTTGTAAGTATCTTAAAAAATTTCAATTTTTCTAAGTCAGTTAAAGACATTAAGTCATTAAGGTTAAGTGGTTGTCAATTTTAGATGGGATTTTACTTTTACACTAGAGAATGGGCTGAAAAAAAGCAATAATAAAATTTGAGTGCTGTATAAAGCAATAGTAATAGTCAGAGTTGTTAGAGTGCTACCCAAAGGGGATTTAAACATGCACAGTGAGTGAGTCAGGTAAAATATAAACAGTATTTCTTACAGCCATTTCTCTGTGGGGGCATCCCCCCCCCCCCCCAAGCAAGTCAAGTGCCCCCCCCTTGGAGAAAATATGTTTGATAAAAAAAAACAACAACTAAATTGTGTCATGTTTAAAAAGAAAAGTAACCAGTGCCTTAAGCCCATAACAATGAGTAGAACCTATGAAAATCAATACACTCTATACATTTTTTATTTTAAAAAATGTTTATCTTTTTACTTGGAATTGACAGGATTGCTTATACTTAAAAAAACAAGCTAGTCTTTTGCAGTGTTATGCATTAACGATATTATTTTTTATGGCTGAAATTTGTGGGATGTTTTGTTTCTAGTCAAGACAGTTCATATCTGAAATTCAATAAACATCTTAAGTCAAGTCTTAAGAACTTGGTTATCAAAGACAGAATGTTTTTTAATACTTCAATAAATAAATTTTGTGGCAATAACATTCGCTACTTTGTTAATTTATTCTGCTTAAAACATAAAAACACCATAATTCAGTTATTGTGTATTTTCACACAAATGAAACAGGAAGAAAAGAATGGCAAAGCTAGTGAATGCAAAGAGGTTAAACTAATTGGCATTTGTCCTCCTATTGAGAAAATGGATGCTTCTTTATCAACTCTCACAAACTGCGAGTAAGTAAGATTAATAAAAGGCTTAAATATCTAGTGACAAAAATCAGGTAGCCATAAATAACCAGTTTATTTATTTGCAATCTATAATAATTTAACTTATGGTCAATAAATGAGCATTTGTACAAATTCACAAAGTATTTTTTCCAGCTGCTGCAACTTATTTCTGTGAATAACAGCCATTTTGTATAGTAGGCTTACCATGTTTTGCAGTTACATGGAGAAGAACCTCATACCTCAGCAATCTATTTTTTTCCAGTGCATTACTCAATTACATTTTCTCTTTTTTTATAAAAGAAAAAACAAATTAAATGAAATTGAAGTTTTAACTTAAATGGTTATTCTAAGCTTTACCTTTGAATTTGTATGTAACTGATGATTCAATGTTTTCACTATGTTTCAAATAGGAGGTTGTCATTGTCAACAAATGCAATTGAGAAAATTGCCAACCTCAATGGTCTAAGTAAGTGTATACTATTGTTAAGACATAAGTGTAGGCCTAATTTAGCCACTACCACTTGTCTCCCCTTTGCTTTGATATTGTCATCACCAATTAAATGTGCAGTGCCACTCCTTTTATCCACCCCTCCTTTCTTGAGAAAAGGTTGTTTACTTTCGAAACATTCTACTTGTGTTGTCAGGTGATGCAATTTCTAAATTTTCTTATTTCTATAGTGTTCTGATTTAATTCATATATATACATAGGCCTGCAACTTTTCTAGCTGTATTTCCTTTACGTTTACGAGACGTTATATAATTGCAATATTTTATGTTTGTGTGTAAATTAATATTTGTATTTTTTGAGGAGTGTAACTTTTCTCTTGCTGTGGTGTAAATTCGTACAGTTTTTTTGTTTCTGTATTTGAATTTGTATTTTTATAGAAATTTAGTTGTGTAATCGAAATGAACTAACTTTGATATTGTTTTCATTTGTATATTAGTTTTTAATTCTTTTGTTACATATGGTTCATTCTACTAGCCAAATCTTAAAGCAGATTTAATTTTCAAAACCATATAATTTTAAATGGTACATAACAGTACTCATGGAATTGTCTAAATAGGTTCAATAGGGCTTGTCATTTAATGGCGGAAATCTATTAATAGAACTGATGTCACCATTACTGATCATCCGGGTACTCAGCGCTGACAAAATGTCAACACTGTTCAGTATTACTATGTTAGCGAAGTGTCCCTGAAACTTGTTTACAACTCTATTTTACGAAATATTTTATACATTTTTTTTTTACTTCTGTTTTCTCAAATGTGACTTCATTGCGTGAACGTCATATGTAACAGTAACTCTAGATACAAGGATCGCCCGAACACACTATAAGATGCCATGTTTTAAGCAATATTTGTCCGCGGACCTTCTAAAAATAGTACGCTATGACGTTTTCCGGTCTTAGAAATGACAAAGCCTATTGCTTATTTTGCCATCTACTGCAAGTGCAACAACCTAATTAAATTTAGTAACTAATTTTAAAAGTTTGAAATAAAAAAAAGGATACAATATTTACTCGTAGCACTGGTGTTAGAAAACATGTTGTACTCCAGCAGACTGAAGTAACCCTAATAGTGGGCATCAAAATATTCTAAAATATTGAGCAGCATTCATGTTTTTGAAAAAAGAGTACAAAACTAAGTCTGATATCCTGTGCTCTGTCTTGTAAAACAGATTTTATCCTATTATTTAAATATTCAATTTTCACTATTTTTACAGAAAATTTGAAAATATTGTCTTTGGGCAGGAATAACATAAAAAGTTTGACAGGATTGGTAAGCACATTTTTAAAATAAAATTGTGCTAAAAATTTAACTTTAAAAAAAAAATTGTTACCAGCATTAGTGTTTTTATCAATAAACATCAACTTCATTAAAATTCTACTTTGTTATTATTATTATTATTCATCTTCCATACAGTAAATTTAATGCAAATATTTTGAATAATGTGTTTGATGAAATATATGCCAATGAGTATTTAATAAACAAGTAATTGAGATGTTCATATGATTATGAGTTTTGCAGCAGTTTATAAGACTAAGGTTTGTAAATGTTTATTTGGAATGTCTTTCCACAGGAAGCAGTGGGAGACACATTAGAACAGCTTTGGATCTCCTACAATTTAATAGAGAAACTAAAAGGCATCAATGTTTTAAAGAAGTTGAAGGTTTTCTACAGTTGTCTTTTTTTATATATTCATATTTTATTTCTTGATGAGCTTCAAGAGCTACATAATTTATTTAACTAATTAGCTTATTCCCATTTCTCTCAAGAAACAACATTAGGGTACTCAAATTCTTATCATCATAACCTAAAAGTAAGATTTTAAGACAGATGAATAATGTCATGGTTGCTCATAGATTGTTGTTCGTCCGTCGAAGTCGACAAGTACCATCGAATCATCCGGTTAGGGGCGGGCGGAGGGGTTGGGATTACGGTGAGCTCTTAGGTGGCTTGTTAGACCGATCCTTGCTCGGAATAATCTATGACACCGTGGGCATGGAATAGTTGCTTCATAGATAGATAGATGATGTCATGTCTGGTCATATAAAATTACATGATTTCATGGCTGTTCATAGACATAAATCATGAGGTGGCGGCTCATATACAGATACATGAAACAACACTGAATCCCACATGACTGCTAATTTTTCCTAGCCTTGCTAAAGCTTAAAAACAAAGTTGAAAAACTGATTGTGAAATAATAATCCACATACGTTTTTCAATTATTAATCAATACTATTTTTTAAAGTCTTATATTCGTGAATGACTTCAAACATATATAGTCATACAAAGTAATTTGTTATCGTAAATTCTTTTCTTAAATTTTTAAAATTAGTTACAATTTATTTATTTTAAAATTTGGTTTTTTTTAGCATTTTAAATTAAAACTATATTTTTTTTTTAATATAGATCTTCATAATATAAACACTCAATAAAGTTGCTAAAATTTCTTTACAATGCTACACATGAAAAGTCAAATTTGTTTTTATTTAAGATTCTGTGGATGTCCAATAACAAAGTTGGTGAATGGTCAGAGTTCAACAAATTGGTGAGTTGACCCATGTAGATCGGTCATGTAGGTGGCTGTAGAAGATGGATCATATGTTTTTCCTTTGAATGTCAAAAAAATGTGTAACACTGGTAATCAAGAAATATCAAAATTTCTGAATATATTACAATAACCACAATATAGTCTATATTTTATTAAAACGGTTTTTTTTGTTTTTGTTTTTTTTAAGGCCGAGATGCCTTGTCTTGAAGATCTTCTTTTTGTTGGTAAGTTGCTTGAAGGTGAATTTACAAAGCTTAACAATAATACAATATACTTATTAAATGCACATGATGTATCCAATCTTACAAGATTGAATATAAAACTTTATTTACGAGAGAATAATTGACTAGCATTAAAAAATCAAAACGTTATCTGAGTGCTACTGTGTGTTGCATTGTACAACTGTTGAAATTATTGCATGCTCATTGCTTTCTGTTTTATCTATTAAATTTATTGTTGACCCAATTAATGTTCAGCTAATCATCAACACAATTAATGTTAGTAATCTTTAACTCCTTTAATGTTCAGTTTATCAATGATTCCATTAATGTGCAGGTAATCCCCTTGAGGAAAAACATTCATCTGATGGAACATGGAAAGATGAGGTAGCTAAGAAACTCCCTAAATTGAAGAAATTGGATGGTAAGCTAAGAGTTTTTTTTTTTACATGCTATAAAAGTAGATTATATTATCATATTTTTCAAATACATTTATTGTTTCCAGTTATTAGATCAAATCAGTGACATAGTTTTCAAGCACTTGTGTTTTTTCAAGAAACTTTATCTGCCACTAAATTTGAAAAATGGGAAACTGAAACTATTATCATGGGTTGAACAGTTCTTTAAGGAATGTTTTTGAAATCGTTAAATTAAATTTAGAAGTTTGTTAGGTTCGTTCCACATTGAGACATACCAGGTGCATCAATTTCCTTTTTTCTTCCCAGGTGTCCCCATTGTACGGCAAGAGGAGGAGGAATAACTAAACTAAATATTGGTTGGATTAACAGAGAGTATCACTTGCCATGAATACATTTAAATGATTTGTGATTGTGATCAGAAATTTAAATTTGTTTGAATGATATGAAGCTGGCATGCAGAATAACTGTAAAAAGAATGTGAAATTGAGAGCTTCGTTTGAATGGAAATTATAGTGAAATTTAATTGCAGATGTTATGGGAAAATAATTGCTTGTAAACATTTTACAATTCATCGCTTGGTGGATATTGACTGTTTTTGTTAGAAACTGTAAATTAAAGTCATTCTTAAAATAATATTTGTAAAAATACCATTTACCGGTTCATAATAATTCTGAGAAATGAAATGGACAGCAGTCTTGATTTGCCAGAACAAAGGTTTTTATAGTAACTAAAGATCTCTTTATACCATTGTCTAAAATATTGGTCCCAAATCCTTACTCTTGCTGCACTTGCATGCAACTATTGTCAATTATATATATTTTCATTATATCCATTAAAGACATTTTGCTCCAGTTAACAATTGTAAAAAATTTATGCATTTGGTCATATCATTTCACATCATCTCATCAGTATTTTTAGCATAGCCTGATGTTAAAATGCCCGAAAGATTTTCTGTGAATTATATTTTCCCCTTTCAGAACTATTAATTATGACAGTTTGGTTCATTGCATAAATGTGTTAATGATTAAAAGTCAGCTCTATTCATTATTCATACTTTGATTTATTTTTAATTTTTTAATCAAAGTATATATTTTTTTGTATGAAAGAATTCATGACAAAAAAAATTCTGTTAAAAATTTGTTCAGGCTTTGCTCTCATTAAATAGTTTAGATGCCTCTAAAAATATGCCCTTTTTAAACGACCTTTTCTATTAAAGAAACATCTGCACTTCAAAATGTTACAGCCTCTTACAAATATTAATTTACACACACACATATAAAATATTTCTCTCATATACTCATGATCAACAACTTTCATAAACAAACTATCGCACTCCCAAATCCAGTTCATAACACCTTTAAGAGGATAAAAGTCAGTAAGTTGGAGTCATAAAATTTAGAGAATTAGTCATTCTTCAATGCCTAGCAGCATATGCCCTGTAAACTTTTCACAAAAATAAACTCAAAACAGCTCATTGATAATACTTTATTTTTAAAAAGCAATAAATAGACATTACATCACTTGATTTGTTTAAAACACTGCACTCTCAAACCCAGCATTTAGTACTGTTTTTGTAACAAATCATTGATATGAACTGCTTTTACCACTGGTTGGTTACAGTTACGCAAATTTCAAAGCTAGCTAGTGAGAAATCAAATTAGAGACTCTCAGAATCTCTTAGTTAACATCATCTGTCAAGATTATATTATTCTGTCAGTTAAACATACAAATATATAATGAACTTAAACAATACACTCAAAAATGTGTTAACCTGAATGAACAAAGCATATGTGGAATCTAAAATACTTTTTCATAAATACTGGGTAGTAATATACTCAGAATAAAACATTGACTTAAGTTATTTTGTTATTTTAAAAAAAAATTGTTGAAGGAATATAGGCCCACCCCCCAATCAAAATAGTCTTTTGTAACATGTGAAGTATTGATTAAAAAGTGATTGAACAAGAAATATAAATCATGGTACAGTGTTGAAACTCCAGAAAAAGTAATGGAAATTTTAGAAGAGTTTGTGTTTACAATTTTCAATTAAAAACTAGATATAACCAGTTAACTTCCTGATATGATGTTTTAAAGAAAATTAGTTGTGTTTTTAAAAAAGATGCTCAGTCACTTAGTTGAAAGTAGTGGGAGTCATTTAAAGTCACACTGTCATTTTAATGTTTTATTCCATAACAAAATTAAAAAGTTATTAATTTCATCAATAGCTTTAAGTAATTATTTTTAAACGGAAAAAAAAGCATTGATTTTTTTTTTATTTTTGCAATAAACCTTTCAATATCCTTGTTAGTGTGCTAAGTCACCAAAGGGCTAATACTTATTACCTAACAGTCATAAGTGTTACAGAAATGCTTATTTATCTATGTAGGTTATATATAAAAACTAGTTGTGTTTTAAATTTTTGTAAATAATATGGTCTTCGGTAATCTTGAAAGTCAAAAGATTATGATAATAAAAGTCAAAAGACTATGATATTTTAAAGTCATAGGAACATGTAACAAAGTTATAATCAGTCATTGGAACAGGCTTTACTAATGTCGTAGTACTAAGGTCTTCAAAATTGGTTATACTATTGTCACTGGCACGGGTTACCCACAGTAATAAAAATATTTTTCATTTAAACTATAATTATAAAAGACTATTTAAATCCAAAACTTGAATTTGAAAAATGCTTGCATGTCTGGATCATCCACTGGTTTATTGTTGATGCCTGCATATACTTTCCTCAAGACAGCATTCTTATTTTTTTGCTCTAGAATTTTGGTGTATCTGTCTAAGACTCCTAAAAATAAAAAAACTATAAAATGAAATTATCCATACCAATGTTGTGCTGCATTATAATGAATATTTTTCTCTAAAATTGACTTAAGTAAATCTCAAGATTATTAGCTTATTCTCATTTGAAATTATAATTAATGACACCATTTTGTTATGAGCACTCATTTTTATAATGATTTTATCCCTTCATAAAATGACAACTACAAATATTTTCATCATAAGGATTTCAATGTTTTTAAAAACTTTTCATTCTTACCTACTCCTAGTACTTTCCCATAAGCAATCATGTTTTTGGCTAGTCTTTCATCATCAAATTTTTCATTTTTCATTAAAATGCCAACAATTTCACCAAAAATATAAGCATCATCAAATGATGGATTAGCAGAGATTGGGAATCTGGCATAGACATCTACAGCTTCAAGAGGGCTGGATTTGGCTAGCATTTCAGCACTTTCAATGTAAGCATCATGGATCTTAATGGAGGATATTTATTAAAATAATTATTTTTAAAAAAAAATTTGGGCTAAAAATATAGTGTAAAATCTCGTTATGTGGATCATTTATTAGGTTCAAGATAAATCGAGATTTTTCATGAGAAATAAAGACATGAGGGTGGATCAGCCTTGTGTGAAAAAAGAGAGAAAAAGATAGATCTAAGAGTCAGAATGTATTAAGTGTACTTTTCATATGTATCAATAATATCATTAATTGTGTGTGATTATTACCAAAAGAATAATTATTAAATTACAAGGAATATTGTATTGTGATTTGTGATGATTTTGTGTATCAATAAAGTGATGACTGTAAAACATGGACTAATCAGTATTTATTGTGAGTGAAGAAAATACGGTGTTGACATTGAAAGATTTGATATTTAATAACAGTGCATGCAACGCACTCAGGTTACAATAACTACATAGGTTACATACAGGATATTAAATTAAAATGATTACATTTTTATTTGGACTCTGTTTTGTTTGGAAAATATTAAAGCTGTTTTTAAGTTTTAAACAAAAATTATTAATTGTTCATGATAAAAATCAAATATTATTTCTATTTTTACCTCAGGAGCCATATCTATAACCTCTGCATAATATTTCTTGGCCTCATTAGGATCATCAGCAGCTCGTAGTGCTCTAGCCAGGCCAAGGCGAGCTTGGTATGACTCCACATTTTTTATCACAATCTTTGGAGCATCATTCTTTTCATCCTTTTCTGGTTCTGTCACAATGGGTTATCAAAGATTATAAGGCTTCATTTTTATCAACCATGGCATTTTGGGAAAAGTATTCTAAGAATATATCATCACTTACAAAAATAAAGAACTATCTTCCATTTTAAGTTCTAAATAAAATTAATATATACATTACAGCAGGCCTGCACAACTCAAAATGTAAGGCGGGTCGTAATACTTAGTGAAAAACGTGTGCGGGCCAAACAAAAATAAGACAGGACTTGTGCGGGCCAAAAAAAAAAATGTCATGGAGAAAGCTATTAAGAAAAGAATAAGAATAAATATTATTTCGTTAATTCGCGGGCCACAAAGTAGGAAAAATATGTTTGCACTTATATAAAATATGAGTTGAAAATTCCTGAGAACTGAAAACAAAATAACTCACGTTGGTTGGCTGAAGTCTGAGGATCTTCTTTAGCAGCTGTAGGAGCTACCTGTACCTTCCCACCCTGAAGATCACCAATATAATAGTTTATCCAACCATCAAACTCATGAATTGACTATGGTACAACAGTCAGTTTTTTTAATGCTAAAAACACAAGTAGCCTACTTAAATTAAGGCAAATATTAAATTTGAAAGTAGCTTACCCTAGCACCACCACGCTGGGCTGGAGCCCCTCTGGCTGTGGCACCACCCCTAACTGCTGGTCTTAAAAAAGTTAATGTTAATAACTAATCAGTACACTTATTTTAGATTTTTTTTTGGATCAATATTTTTCTTGATAACAATTGAAAATAAAGGATGCACAATATGTTAATTCTTAAGGCAATATAATTTAAGAGTTACTGCCCTCTATTAACTAGGATTTTAAAGAAATATTTTTTACATGAGAAAAATACAAATTAATCAAAATATTTCAGCTTTAGGCTCCTTGATAAATGTTTTTGCCTTAAAATATTTAAGACCATCTCAGAAGTTACACATTCTATCTATTTTACAATACTGATGTTTAAGATTGGATTTAAGATTTATGTTAGTAGTAAAGATGGAAAAGGAAATACAAATATGATACTAAATATTTTATTAATTTTAAGTAATATTGTTCTCAACTTTAAGGAAATAAGAAAAATTAAACCATTTGATAAGCATCACATAAGTGTGTGCTAAATCAGACCATATTTTAAATATGAAGTATTTCTTTTAAATAATTGATATTAAAAGAATCTAATAAATTCTGAGTAAAAAAAAACTTGGGAAAAAAAATTTAATCAAAATAAACAAAATGATTAAATAAGGTAAAAATTTTCTATTAACTTTGTTACTGGAAGATCTAAATCATTTGCGAGGCATGCTAAGAAATGACTGTGACATAAACAAGAGAGAAATATACAGGATAAAAAAAAAAGATAGAAATCTACTTGGATAGAAACAAGATAGAAATATGATAACAAGACTTAATCTAGTGGGTTAGAAAAACAATATAGTAAACCAATTTTACAGGGATGGAAAAATAGATAAGAGTAAAAGATCTAGACTCAACATCTAGAAAACATTAGGAAAGATTGACTTGTGCCTTTTATTTTTTTCTGGAACACAGTGTTTGGACTTATCTCCCTGAACCTGTGTGCCTGCACCTCGACCTGCTGCTGCAGCACCCCCTCTAACAGCTGGCTTTGTGGATGATGGAACAGTTGCTGGAGTGGATGTTGTAGCTGCTGTTGCTTTCTTTTCAGTGCCATTTTTCTTTTTTATTTCTGACCACCACTTCTGCTCTGTGAATAAAAACACCATAACAAAATTAAACAGTTTGTATTAATATAACTTTGTTGTTGCTATATTATCTATTTTTTGTGGCACAAAAGGGTTATTTGCCTATTGCTTAACTTAAAATAGAATTTATCATGTCTAAAATATAAATAATGTTTGAGTGTTTCAAAATGAATAGCATTTAAGTAGCACATCTTCTGAAAACTAAATGGAGATGAAATTGGCCACTAATGGAATGGAGTCACTACCCAGCCATCATCAATCAAAGAAGTTTCAATAAAACTTGTGTACTACACATATGATAAGGAATTCTTAATAAACTGGGGCACTACACAGATGATAAGGAATTCTTAATAAACTTGAGCACTACACAGATGATAAGGAATTCTTAATAAACTGGGGCACTACACAGAGGATAAGGAATTCTTAATAAACTGGGGAACTACACAGATGATAAGGAATTCTTAATAAACTGGGGCACTACACAGATGATGAGGAATTCTTAATAAACTGGGGTACTAAACAGCACATCTAATCCCAAACACAGATGGTTCCAACAGAGAGCTGCTTTGAGGTTGAAAATTAATGAACAGGAAAAAAGATTTAAAGCCATTGACTCACCAGTGACCAGCTTGGGAGCTTCCCCAATGCTTGGCTTTCCCTCCAGTTCTATACTGGCTCTGAATGAAGCCTGTGCATCTTGTAGTAGCTGCTTTGCTGAGTCACCATCTGGAGTGTTCTCATACAGAGCATACTGAGCAGAGCCCAGCAGAAACAAGGAGTAACTAACACATGGTTGGATTCTCACCAGCTTCTGACATGTCTGAAATGATATCAAACCTGAACATAGAAAATATATAAACTGAAAGATGAGTGCAGTCTTAAAGCAATGAAAACCTGTCCATGAAATGATATCAAACCTGAACATAGAAAGTATATAAACTGAATGATGAGTGCAGTCTTCAAGCAATGGAAACCTGTCCATGAAATGATATCAAACCTGAACATAGAAAATATATAAACTGAAAGATGAGTGCAGTTTTAAAGCAATGAAAACCTGTCCATGAAATGATATCAAACCTGAACATAGAAAGTATATAAACTGAATGATGAGTGCAGTCTTAACGCAATGAAAACCTGTCCAGGCAGACATTTTATGTGATTTTTGTTTTTTGAATCTTTGACAACAAAATAATAGAGGAAAAATGACCAAGCATAAATGACTAAAGATGTTAACTTTAAAATGTACAACTTATGGCTATATAAAAATCTATTCTATGATTGTATACTGTACTAGAAATTTCCTCACAGAATCTCAGCAAACTTTCTATACATGTTTCTAATGGTTGTTGGGCTCTTATTCCTAGTTTTAAATCTTTCTTAAATAGCTGAAAGATTTACCAAATAGCATTGAGAGAGAATGTGCAACCTATAAATAAAATAATCCAAAGTGTTTATGCATATGTCCAATTTTCAAACCATGAACTTAATAACATAGCCCACTTTTCCGCCTTGAACCGAGCAAGAATTTTACCCATCAAGAGTTCAATAATAAGGTCTTAAATCTTTAAAGGGTTTAAATATAGGAGATCTGCAGTGGAATATGAATTAGCTGTCCAACTATAAATTATCTTAATACTAAAAATTTACCCTCTCTTGTAGTTCAAGCAGTTTAGAATTTCCAGATATTGATGAGTTGAATATAAGAGCAGATAATCTCTGACATCGTGCAGCAATGAAATCTTCCTTTCCTGTCTGCTGTTGGGTGAGCAGCTCCAATAATTGTGTGTGAGCATCCACTAAGACCCATTCAATCTGTTTGTACAGGTCACCACGGCAGATTTTTGGCAAGACTTGTGAGGCCAGCAAAGCTGCTCTGAATAAAAATTTTTAAAAATAAAATAAGGGGAACCCAATGACTTCTTACTATCTTTCACCCCAAGTAGTGGTAGATGGCGTCCAATCAGGGAAAGCCACAGTAGACTCAGGAGTTGCACAAGGCACAGTGCTGGGCCCCCTTCTCTTCTTGTGTCACATAAATGACCTCCCCGATAGAGTAAAATCTAAAGTGAGGCTATTTGCAGATGACTGTCTTGTCTACAGGGAGATAAATGGCTACGATGACCACAACCACCTCCAAAAAAGATTTGAAGAGCCTTATGAATTGGGCGGACAAATGGGGCATGAAATTTAATGAAACCAAATGCTACACAATGACCATCTCAAGGAAAAAACCATCAACCTATATGTACTCACTAAACGAGACAATTCTCCAACAAGTAGCAAATAATCCATACCTTGGAATTTTCTACTCAAATAAACTAAAATGACACCCCATATAAACAAAATTTCAAAAAAAGCCAACTCCACCCTAGGTTTCATCAGCAGAAATCTGCGCCACTGCCCAACTTCCTGCAACGAAATGCCTATCTCGCACTCGTCCGTCCACTACTAGAATATGGTGTGATCATCTGGTACCCACACCTTAAGCAAGACGTGGACAAGATAGAGCGAATTCAACGTAGCGCGGTGCATTTTATCACCACAATCACCACTTCTGGCTTCGTCACTGGCCTCTTAAAAAGATTTGACATTCCCCCCCCCCCACCCCTTTAAAGACAGATGAGAGGGACTCCGCCTGATATTCTTATATAAAGTGGTCATGGGACTGGTGCTGGCCATCCCAGCAGACATGTACAGAAGCCCACAGAAGCCGGGTAGACTGATCAGAGCAAAATGCTCACTGAACACTGACTTCACCACTGACAATCCCATAAACAATTACACCCGAAACAATATCAAATGCTTCAAAGAGCCTCAGGGCAACACAGTGTAGTATAAACAATCTTTCTTCCCACGCACAATAATAGCATGGAACCACCTGGACAATGCCACTGTGAACTCGACGTCGGTCGAAAGCTTCAAGGCTGCCCTGGCATCAGCCAGGAGCTGTTAGAATAGCAACATCATACTCCCAACCGTTGCACAGATGCCAGTACATGGATGCAGCAACAAACACTACCAGAACCAGAACCAACCCCAACATTGTTTTCATGCATTGACTTTTTTATTTTCTATATATTTTGAACATCACTGATAGATATATCACCAATATGAAACTGATATATCAGCAATCTGAAAGCTAGTATATCATCAATCTGAAAGCTGATATGTCATCAATCAGTTTGGTGAAGAAAAAATATTTTTATCATTATTTTAAAACATGACCTATTAACTCATACTACTACTAAAAGGCTATCAGCTTGTAACACTGACATGGTTTTAAGGTTAGATGTGAAAACATTTTTAAAGAAATGATATTTCATTTAGCACTGTACACAGCAACCAAATATATCAGATATATTTCTCAAAGTAAAAAACAAAACAATTCAGAGTTCTTCATCTTCTTTGCCTTTTCAACTCTCAGTGGAGCATAGGCCATTAAACATTTATTCCCAAGCCTTCTGGTCTCTAGCTATCCTCTCTAAATCTTTCCAACTCTTTCCAGTCCTTGTTACATCTACATTGAAATCTCTTCTCTGAGTGTTTTTTGGTCCTCCTTGTCCTCTTGATCCTTGTGAGTTCTGTGCCAGTGCTTGACTTGCTATATTTAGCATGGGTTTTCTCATGGTATGACCTATCCATCTGTACCTACTTTTCCAGATTTCTTGCTCCACTAAGATTTAGGCTGTTTGGGATTTTGTGGAACCACTTGATGTTGAGGATTTTAAAAAGGCAACTATTCACAAAGGTTTGCAGACTTTTCCAATCTTTCTTGGTATACCTCCAGGTTTCTGAGCCACACAGCAGACAGACTTAACGTTTTAGTTAAAAATTCTAATTTTTCTCTTTCTCCTTATTTGCCTAAAGTTTCAAATATTTTTCAAATAAGATAACAACTCCTCTTGTCATCTATATTCTTGTCTTGACATCTGCCTCCTAGACCCCATCCTTAACTAATTATAATTCCTAGATAGGGAAAATGATCTACTGTTTTCCCCTCTTCCTGCTACACTCCTGTGATATTTGAATCTATTCTCTTCATTTTAGTTTTGTCTTGATTTATTGCCATTCCAATATTTCTGGAAATTGAATCAAGCTTTGCAGTTTTGTCTTGAATTTGTTTACGGCTTTGTGACAATAGAGTGATGTCATCTGCAAAATCCATGTCTTCTAATTGCTAAAAAGTCTCATTGTATTCCATTTCCCCACCTGCTCTTGTCCTTCTCATTATTTAATCTATGACTTTAAGAAAAATGGTGATAGTAGACATCCTGAAAGACTCTGTTAATTTCCCCTCACGAATAACACTGCAGCTCATATTGTGATAAGTGTTTTTAATTATATCTGTTATTTTTCAAGGGATATCATTGTGATGCAATATATCAAAGGCTTTAAAAAAAATCTAAAAATGAATGAAGATACTGGAACTCCATTCATTGAACTGTTAATTAAAATTCCAAGAGTGGCTATTGGGTCCAGACGATTTATTTTGTCTAAAACCTGCTTGTTTGTCTCCTGATTGGCCATCATCTGCTTTTAAAGAATTTTTTTTCCAGTTTTGCTCTAAAAACTTTTCCAGATAAGTAACAGCATGATGCCTCTGTTGTTCAAAACATCTGGTAGATTCCCTTACTTTGGAAGCTTTACAAGATGCCTATTTCTCCAGGCTTTATGTATTTCTCGTTTTCCCCCATATAATTCCAATCATGTTGTAGAGTATGTTGGTTGATAGATCAATGTCAGCTTTAATTGCCCCAACAGGTATTCCATACAGTCCTGCAGCTTTAAATTTTTTTTAGCATTTATTGCACCTTCAGATCAAGTGCAGTCAATATCAGATCTCTCTGCGCTATCTGAAAATCTGGTATGAGAGAAGCGGATCTTTTTAAAAGCTTCTTGAAATATTCCACCCCTTTTCCTGCTCCTTAGCTTTTGTTAGCATTTTGCCTTTTTTTCAGAAATAGAAATGAAAATACATTTTTTTGCATTGTCTTAAAAATAATGTACTGGAATTAGTGAGTTCTTTTTATTTACTTACGTATGAAAGACATCAGAAGGTGCCAGGGCATCTTTCACATTGCTAGAAATAAGCAGTGTGCCAAGTTGGATCAGTCCTCTCAAGAAATGTACATTGCTTGATCTGACCAGATTTTCAGCAATCAGACAAGACTTGCCACTAGAAATATTATATTTTTAAAAGATCTAAATTGATTATTGAAACAGTAATACTATACAACAAGATTTAATGATATCCTTGATAAACAGCTTATTAATTTAAATCATCACATTGTAAAAGTTATATCACAAAAACAGCTGTGATATGGACCAAAACAATACAATTGCCCCAGCATGACAAGTTTTTCAAAAATCAAGTGTGACCTTACAAGACAGGGGGTGACAAAACAGGATGGAGCTAGCACAAAGAGTAAAATGTTGTTTGGCTTGGAAATAAAAATTTTCATATATAATTTTTATCTTCATACTAGCTGGTGCAACACACTTTTTTAAAAATTGTAATTAATTCTCCATCATTGCTCTCACACATTTGAGGTCTGGCTGGTATTCATTATTTTTTGTCTTTTATTTTCATGTACATTCCTCTAATGTTTCCCTCTCTTGATTACGAAAAATAGTAAAGTACTAGGAGGTGGCAATCACCGCATGGAGGACCAGAACTTTAATAAACTCCCAAACTTTGGAAGAAACTACACAGGTTAATCAATCCTATGAAAAATCACAAAGCCTCTGGAGAAGACCTCATCACAGCAGAACTTATTAAATATGGAGGAAGAGAACTACACACTCAGACCCATAAACTTATTAATTAAATTAAAATTTGGCAAGAAGAGAAAATTCCAACAGAATGGGAAAAAGAACTAATAACCCCAATACACAAGAAAGTTTCCAAACTTCAATGCACAAACTACAGAGGAATTTCCCTATAAATGTTACACACAAAATACTGACAAAACTAACAGCCAAAAGACTACAACCCAACACTGAAGAAATAGTAGGTGCCTACCAATGTGGATTCAGGAAAAACAGATCAACGACTGATCAGATTTTCATCATCAGATGCCTATTAGAGAAATATTATGAATATTTTATCCCAGTACATCAGTTCTATGTGAACAATAAAATGGCCTATGACAGCATCAAAAGATAATATTTACTCTGTACCCAACAAACTGACAAGACTGATACATAAAACATATAAGAACTAAAAAAGCAAAATCAAGGTTCAGGGAGAATATTCAAAGGAATTTCAGATTAGACGAGGCCTAAGACAAGGAGACTCATTGGCTTGTATGCCATTTAACCTAAACTTAGAAAGAGTAATAAGAAGCATACATGTTGACATCCGAGGAACAATAATAGTATACTTTTTGAGGGAAGACCCAAGACCCACAACCAATAGGCACTCTCAGTAACCAATCCCTTCAGTACCTTGCATATAGCTGATGACAAAGCATTGTTAGGGAAAAGTAGTAAAGACATATCAAAATCTTTTATTGAAGTTGAAGACACAATACAACAAGCAGGGCTGGAAGTTAACCAAAAAACTAAATACATGACTATGTTAAGAGAAGAAAAGACAGATGAAACCATTAAAATTAGAAACCACAATTTTGAAAAAGTAAATCAATTCAAATGATCCTTTATAAATGAAAGAAATGAATTACTAACAGAAATAGAAGAGAGAATATTTGCTGGAAACAGGACATACTTCAATAACCACAAAATACTAAAAAAGCACAATTTATAAAACTGTATTGAAACCAGTTATAACATACCGACCAGTTATAACATATGCAAGTGAAACTTGGAACCTAACAAAAATGCCAGAAAATCTATTAAACACATAAGAGAGAACATTTTTCTCAAGAAAATATACAGATTAACAAAGGATGTCAATAGATGGAGAATACACACCAGCCGGGAATTGTATAGTCTATTTCAGGATCCAACACTAGTAGCAGAAATAAAAATGGGCAGGCTACGCTGGGCGGGACACTAAGAAAGAAATCAAAATGACAGAGAAAAGAAGAGGGTGCACCACCAAAACCCCAGAGGAAAACGGCTCAAAGAAAGACCTACGCATAAATGGATGGATAATGTGGAAAAAGATCAACAGTAGCAAGCAATCCAAAAGAAAAGCATCAGTTAGGTCCGAGTGGAAGAAAGTGGTGAGGCAGGGCAAAGCCCCACATGGGCTGTAGCACCACAGGGATCGATGGATGGATGGGGTAACACAACCATGTTGAGATGTAAAATACAGGAAGAGGTGCAAAATCTATAATAATAATTCCTTATGGTGCTCCATTTATCCACCAATGCTTAGTTGTATTGACTATATATAGAGTGGGTAGTGAAGGGTGCTGATGCTATTTTTGATGGCTTTGTAAGTTGTCAATGAGCGTAGCAATGTGTTTATGAAATCAATAACCATAGGAAATTAATTACTTTTGTAGCAATGTGTATATGAAATCAATAAGCATAGGAAATTAATTACCTTTATAACATGAATACCCTGTGACTGTTCAAAAACCCTTCCAATAAGTGTACAAAATCAATAATGTAATGCAATACCAGTCAGAACTCAGAGCATCCTAAAAACCCTAATTCAGTAAGCATCCGAAATGTAGAGCAACCACAAGATGGTTTCCAGTTCTATGTTAAGTTAAAAAAATAATTTTGATGCCAAATTTCAAGGGATTTAATATATTTCAATCACTGTTACATATGTTTTACTCCTTAACTCCCTTGGAGCGGACAAGATCTGCTCCTGAAATATTGTTATATTGTCAAAGTACAAATTAACATTGTATATAACCTACACAGTTTCATCAGCTTTGGTTGCTTCTTTGGATAATTCTGTTAACAAAAGTTCCATTCCAGCCAGAAGAAAAGTAACAGCTTCATTTCCCCTTTTCTTCCGTTCCTCCTTGCTTAGGCTGATGGCCAGGCCTAAGTAAAACCTGGGGGTTGAAAAATGTAATTCTTAGAAATAAGGTAAAATGAATTCTAGGAAATAAGGTAAAAAGATTTCTTAGAAATCAGGGCAAATATTTATTTTTTAAAAATGAGGGCTGTTGTACAATTCTTTGAAATAAGAGCTATTGCATATAAATGAAGCTCACAAATTAGTTGTTTTTTGGGGAGTATGGATACCTATGCAGACTGTAAAGGTAAACTGATAATGTCCACAGTGACACAAGATGATATAGATTTCCTGTCAGATTTATGTTGTTCGCCTTAATAAAGCAGACAATCAGAGAATTTAAATGAATCTTCAGATTCACATAGCCACCTTGATGTCATGCACTAAAGACACTTGTGATATGAATACTGACCTGGCCATTTCATGAGCAGAGTTCCAACACAGGGCTGCCTCCAGTCTTTTAATAGCATCTTCATAGTTACCCATAATGACCAGCATCCTGCCCACGTGAAAGTTGTAGACAGCCTTACTTTCATCAAGACATAGGGCGTCCAGGTATTTCTGGTAGGCCTGACCAAGTGGAGAATGGTGATCTTCTGCTTTATGGGCTGCTGCACCTTCCTGAGAAACACATGTCCAAGCAACATTTAAAGACATAATATTGACATTTAAAACAGAGACAGAGAACTACATTGAGATCTTCGAACAAATACGTTTGTAATTTCTAATTATTTGTTGTTCATTGTTTTGTCTTGTCTGCTTAAGCAGGCATTTAGCCGAAATGTCCTTTTAATTGTCCTTTTTTTTTTAAAAGCTTAAAAAAATCTCGTTCCACCATTTATTTTAGATGCTTGAAAAAAAAAAAAAAATTTGAACATATTTTCAATCATGATTAGAAATCAATATTTAATTATTGTTTCATTTTGTTACAAAATTTGCAAACATGATGATTAGACAACTTTCTATAGCAGTGCTCTACAACCTTTTTCCCTCATGGCACACTTAGACCCTTACCAGATTTCAGTGCAACACCAAAATTAAAACATGAAAAAAAACTTTTTTACCATTGTTTACAAGTTCCAACACATTAAATTTGCGTTTCCTTTTTAAAAATTTTCTAGACGGGGAAATTAACGCAAGCCACTAGATTTCTTTGTTTTTTGTATGAAGTAGTGTAAAACATTTAAGGGTGTAGGTTCTCACGCTTTTTTTTTTGGCCACGGCCCCCTTTGGAACCATACACTCAAACCAAACCCCACCACTGGGAAATGGAATCCCATCATGGAACAGAAAGTCATTATGGAATGGAATCCCATTGTGGTACAGGATTCCATCTGGGATGTAGCACTTCAAAAAGGTTAATAATCCCTTCCCTAGAACATTTAACTATGATAATTCCCCTCCCTTGTCAACCATTTTTCAATCCATCCCACTTCACATTAAAGCCCTAATTCTATGACTCCTTTCTCCACATTTTGACAAAAATTCTCACAACTTTCAATGTCATTACATCCCGATTCTCCTGCTCTGAATTGTAATTGTTTTAGAAAAGAATAATGTTAATATGTGCGTAGTTTAGTGTTATTCGGTGCAATTTTTTAAAGTAATAGTCTGCTTTTTTATGTCATGTCACATTGCTTAAACAACCCTCCCCCCTTGTCACACATTGCCACAAAAATGTGGACCCCCCCCCCCTTTCCAATGTGTGACACCATTTATGGAGGATCTAAGAATTATTAAACAACCAGCAATCAACAGTCAACACCAAGTTAAAGTATTACACAGTACAGGCGTGAAAAGCATGCGATCAAAGGCTAAGCCACAGAGATGCATTTTACTAGTTGCTTTAGACAATTTTATATTGTAAATTGTGATGTGACCTGCCATATTTAACCATGCAGATGTGCTGTGTTATTTGATTTCAAATGTTAGACACCCTGTTAATTAACCAATCATTGGCCCTTTTATATCAACTAATTTATATAATATAATATAATTTTCAGGGTTTTTTTTATCCCCTCTGGAGGAATCTTGCCATGGCACACATAGCATATACTTGCGGCACACCAGTGCGCAGCAGTCCACTGGATGCGGAGTTCTGCTATATAGCATTAGACTCATTCTGTTGCTTACAGGAGTGGGGGGGGATTATGTGATACTTAATTAATTTAAGCTAGGATATGTCTCTTGAAATTTGTATTTATTATATAACTGATTAGGAATTATTAATAATTTATTTTACAATATAGGTATTTAGATATATAAATCTACATCTTTCCTAATCCAAAGATGATATGACTTTGTACCAAAAATATGTCTTGAAAAGCAACTAGAAAATAATACTTTGAGCTAAAAAAAAAACAATCAAAAAAAGTTATTTGAAAAATGTGAACTTGTTTTGTGTTGGCTTACCTGAGAGACCTTTTTGCTGTACCAGACAAAGAGAGACATGACATGGTCAGCCTTAGCACTCTGGCCATTGTTGATCAGGTGGTGGTACTCACTGTCCAAGGCCTTTAGGTGATGACTGACAGGAGCAGATGGATCCACTCCTTTTAGTTTACAGATGGCCATGACCTCTTCTTCCTTGGAACTCTCCTTGGCTTGGAGGTTTAAAGAAGGAGCTTCTTCTTTCTCCTTTGATAAACAGAGATAAGAATCATGAATAGTTAAAAAAACATCCATGTGTACTGCTGACAAAATTAAAATGCCAAATATTGATCTGATTGATCTGAATTTGGAAGCATTTTGCTTAAAGGAACATTTTTCTAAATTAGTAATATTATGTTGTAAATTTAATATGAAATTTGGTTTCAATAAATTTATGGCATATATTTGGTTTTTAAATCTATTAGGTCTGATGATATGATTACAATCTTTGTGGTATAGTTGCTACTCTAAAAATCCTTTCAGTTTTTAACATTCTAAAATTGAAAGATTTTGAGAATATTGAAAATCATCAGTAGATAATGTTACTAAAAAAGAGTGCTTGAAATTCTGCATAAATATAAAATTAGAACTCAATGCAAAAGAAAGAAGTAGCTCAATGTATTAAGGGAGAACATTCTCTATGACATAAAATTTGCAAATGAAATAAGGGAGGTGAGGAATCTTTTGATAAGCTAAAATTAAAATAAGTTAAACAAATGAGACTTTTTTGTCTCCTATTTTTTAAAATATTATTGTTTAAAGCTAATTCTTATCCAATTAGGGAGCAAAATGGCCACTAACTAGTTTTTTCAAACCAAACATGTCCTCTGCATAATATTTCTCTTCTAAGGTCATGGCCAACTTAAGGTGAATTTCTGCATCTTTAGGCTTGAATTTAAGAGCTGTAGCCAGACAGTAAATGGCTTGTTGCAGCATGTCAAGGGGAGATTCACCTTCTCTATACTGTTGATGAAACTGACCTGGCCAGAAAGTATATTTCTAAACTATGAATGACTTGGTAATCATGGCAATACACTAATCTCTGAGACCTGTTAAAAATATTTAAATTAATCCAATAAAATCATTTTAAAAAATGTTCATGCATCCATTAGATTCTTTTATTGATCCAAAAAAATGGAAATTTTTTTGGATTAAATTGTACATATTCATTTTCAGCGCATAAATAAATAAAAATTTTAACCAAGAAATTTTTTTACAATTATAACAATTTAAACACAAGACATCTAAAGTATTTCTCTAGCATAAAAATCATCTATCAATGAACTACCTAAGTGACAGTAATGACTAAATAAGTAATCATTTAAATTTTTTAACCACTGGTTATTTTGATTGTCGCTATGACGCTCATACAATTTATCACCCCTAACACCATTATTTGTCACCAGTTCCTATCATCTTTATGCTGGCCTGCTGTTGATGTCCGCCACGTTATTAGAACTAAACTGTGCCTGTCAGCAAGATGTTATGTCAATTCAGGTCATCACCCTTAGCATCAATTGTCATCACCAGTTCCACTCATCCTGCCAGCTCGTTGTTGATGCCTACCCTGTCACCAGAACTGCACTGTGCTTGTCATCTTGGTGTGATGTCCATTCATGTCATCCCTACTGTCATCAGTTGTCATCATCAGTCCCAGTCATCATCGTGTCAGCCCTCTGTTGACATCCGTCTTGGTCATCACTTGACTATCACCGGTAAATAGACAGTACTTGTCAACCACTGTTGACGTCTAGCCCTGTAATCATTTTACTGTAACCAGCCTGACAGCCAATGTTTATTACATCTGAGCAAAATGAACAGGGTGAGACATTGCTGACATTCTAGGGTGATGTAATGAGGCGTCCGTAAAAAAATAACAATTATATTAGGATTAAGAAGTCATGTAAGTTCAAGATCAAAATACATCAACTCTCCTTGGTCAAGTATCATATCACTGTGTGAAGTTTCTTGGCCCGTTAAAAACCAGGAAAAAGTTTATTTGTCAACTAAATGATGGTATATCAATTTTCTATCTGATTAACAACACTGTGTTTATAATTCAAGTTTTTATTACCAGGTTTTGGTATTCTGATGTAGTATTCTTTAAGGTTAGTTTCAGCTGATTTTAGTAACTGGTCTGGATTTGTTTCATCAAAAATTTGCTGAAGAGATTTTAGCCATTTATGTTCCTGTCAGTATATAAAATAAACCATATATTATTATAAATATATCTGCATGACACATGTCAGAAAAATATGTTTAAAATATATAGATAAACAACCAAAATGCAAATTTGTATAATTTCAAAAATTTTAAATTAACACATTTTTCATTATAATTATGTTAAAAGTTTCTTTCAAAGAAAATTTTCAATAAAAACTGAACTTAATGTGATGTTTTGGAGCATTTAAAAAAGAAGTTAAACAGAAAACACAATTAAAAAAATAATGATGATATATTTAAAAAATTATGAACAAACAACAATTTCTCTTAATTACTTCAGGTATTTAAATAAAAGCCCCATATAACACACATTAGCAGTCATGATTCTGTACATTTGTTACATACTTAGCATAAAATTTATAAACTTTAGGAAGACACATATAGATCAGATGAGACCAATTTGGGACCAATTTTATTTTATGAATTTAACATGCAGCTATAATGAATGCATTATATATTGAATGTGTCATTTACAGAGGAACCATTCAATAGATCCCTGAAACTACATCCATAAAATATGAATATAAAATAGAACTGTTAGGTCAGATAGAAGTGTTGCAAGCCTGTAGAATATTGTAAGATATGCCTTGAACACTCTAGCTTAGCTCTTTTAAATTACAATAATCTATAGTGAGCTAATATATTTGAGATTACCTCCCCTTCTCTTCAATACAAGAATCCACACTTATGTCACCGTAATGCAATGCTTACCTCAAGTTTTCTAGATAAAGTTATGGCTGAATTGCTAAAGACCCCAGACAAGTCCTGTTAATATAATCAAAAGCCAATATTAGGAGAATGTGATGTTATCTCATTTCAAATATCACAACTGTATTAATGTTGGTGAACTTTAACTCACATAAAGTTTCCATTCTCTTCATATTTCAAAAAAACTGCCATGACCAATTTTTTAAATTTAAAAAAAAATTCAAATAAAATTTATATTTTGAGGCAACTCTGATTTAAAATTGTGAACTTCATCATCATTATGCTTATCTTACCAGAGCAGGAGGTGTCTTGTTACATTCAGCCAAGATACCCGCCAATTCCCCAAATTTCTTAGGAGCAGTTGCACCTGTTAGATCAAAAGGATTATAAGTAAGTTTTCTTTTTTGTTTGTTTTATTTGTGGGTGTGGGGGGGGGGGGGAAGGAGAAATAATTAGTGAATTAGGAGGGTTTTTTTCCCTGGATTCCCCAAATTTCTTAGGAGCAGTTGCACCTGTTAGATCAAAAGGATTATAAGTAAGTTTTCTTTTTTGTTTGTTTTATTTGTGGGTGTGGGGGGGGGGGGAAGGAGAAATAATTAGTGAATTAGTAGTGTTTGTTTCCCTGGGGATCTGGATGATGAACAAGTCTATAAAGTGTTGTCATCATGCTCACCAAGGAACATAGAAAATTCCTTAGGATGTTCTTACATATATGAAATCCTTTCTGTTAGAAACTTGTACACATGCCACTGAACATTCACAAAATTAAGAACAGGTTAGGGACCATGATTAAAGCTGCAAGTAAATGATTAGTGTGTGAGTATTTTTTATGTACAGCTCGGTGAGCCCAGCCCTAGGCTTGGGTACCGCGCTATATAAGACGTCTTATTATTATTACTATTATTGTAATAAAACAGTATATAATCTCTCAAGGAAGTATATTTTTAAGCAGCTGTTCTATCCCAGGCATTTTTATATTAGTTGGTGATAACCAGAAATCACTCTCAAAGGATCACAACCTGTGCCCAAGATGAGAAGTGGGGAGGTTTTAATATCATAAATGTATCCACCACAAATCCCTGAGGACTTAAACACTTCTAGGACCTAAATGGGAGAGCACCTGGGATGGTTGCCTATGTAAGTAAAAGTTTATGATCAATATCTCAGGAGTTATTTCTGTGTATGCTAATTAACAATAAAATTTCTTAGGTTTCTAAACCTCCCCTTGACTACCTGAGAAAGTGAAGGGAATGACTGCCATTTGACTGGCCATATTTTGGTCCAACTGAATGTCCTGAATTTTCCATCCTGGGTGAAGTGGTTCTCCGGTGAGAGGATCAACCTTTGATGTTTTAGTGAGTTCACTGATAGATGGCCCTGAATAAGTTCGTCTTGGATCACTGTCTTTAACAGTTATGGGGCAGTAGAAAGGACTCAGGGAAATAGGACACTCAAACTCTGCTGCCACTTTTGGATCAACAAACTTAACATATCTGGGAATTTGCTTCCTTGCTACCTCCACAGCATAGGTCTGGAAAAAAGAAGTAAGCCATTTAGTCAATTTAATTTAGTTACATAATTTGTTTTTAAAGAAAAAAGATATTCATATTATAAATATTGCTTTTCACATTTAAACTAAATTAAACAATCTTAAAGACTAGTTTTTGCTGACTTGCTAAAATCATAAATAGTTAATTACAAAGGTTTGATATTATTATGTATTTTGTCATGTATTTTGCTTGCTGGCTCTAGCTTTTAATTTAATCAGATACAAGCCTTGATCTTTTGGCTTTGATATTCATAGATTACATTTTAAATCTTCTTTTGGATCATATTTTCATTCATTGATGTGATTTAACATAATAATAAAAGCTTTATTAAAGTCTTGGAATTTGGGAATAAGATTTACAATTTTAGTGACTTAATCAGCACTTCTCAGTCCTTTTTGTCTCACGACCCACTTTAATATTTTATTTAGTTTCATGATTCTCCTTTCCTCTTATTATAGCCAAAAAAAGTTGTTTTTGTGCCTACTCCCCCAAAGAAATAAGTTATGGCCATATGGCACATGTTGAAAAATGCTGGCTTTGGTCATGGTTTGGTATTCAAAATTGTTAGCTGGAGTCAGAACGTTTAGGTTTTCAAAAACTCAATTTTAATTTCCTTTAATAATGCTTTGAAATTTTTTTAAAAATCTCCTTTTTTGTGGCTTTGTAAAATGCATAATTTCTTAGAATAATATAGTTGTCCATATAAACTAGACAAAGTTTATTGCAAGTAAAGGATAACATGGGGCCAATTATGTATGTATCTTTGAGTGATTATTTATCATCTCTTTTTTTAAAAGCTTTAGACATTTCTAAAACTTTACCTTCTTGTTGGATCCATCAGGTGAGGTTATTTCTACTTCAATATTTGTCAGACCTGGGTTGAGGGGTATGGGAGGGCCAGGTGGACTGCCACATACCACAACAACATTTTTAGGGTCGGGGGCAAGGGCTACTACTACTGCAGATGTGGCATTACAAGGCAAAAGACCTGAATTTACAAACAGAAGAAAACGGAATTTACTAATATCTCTTCTTCACAATATTAATATTAGTAATAAAATGTTATGCCAAAATAAATTTAAATAAAACTGTACACAGATATTGCATTGTTATTTAAGCTGCAACATACCTTGTTTTCAATATTTCTCTCCACACTGCTTGAGCTATATAACCCAATTATCATTTAAATAAGAATAATAACATATTGTTGGGGAGAAAGACCTTTTTGATTGAACCCAACCATACTCTGGTATAAATATTTTCTTCTTTTTAAATTTCTTTAATAGTTTGAATTACCATAATTTTTCGCTAATATGGGTTGACAGCAAGAAATCAAGAGAAAATATGCATTATGTTAGAATGTTGCTTACAATAATATAAACATTGGAGAGGGTTGAACTCCGGTTCCAGGTTTCCATTCTGAATGACAAGGCTAGACAACAATGCTTCTTTTGAAGAAAGTCGTTTAACATTAACCATGTAAACCTTCACATGACCATCTTCTGATGTCACTTCTATTTTAATTGAAGAAATGACCCCCTCTGTTAAGGGTACGTCCCGTGAACCACCACTACCCTGTTGGAATAGCAAAGATACATTTTTTTTTAGATTTTGTTGCATGCACAAACCTTGTCCTAACTATATTAACAGTGGCTCCAAATTTATCAAGATTATCAAGTCTATTTTGTTTAGTTGTAAATTTAGTACAGCCAGTGCCAGGTAGCTGGGTGGGTGAGTGTTTTAAACTGAGGCAATCCCAAGATTGTGGACTGGAGTTCAAACCCTGGGAAAAAGCCTAGGCAAGCAAAGACAAACTCAGCACCCTGGGTGGATGGGACTTGCCATCATTGGATGGTAACTAATCTAAGAGAAGGCAAATTCTTAATTTAAACCTGGAGATGGATTCCCATAGGCACTATCACATTGACACAATGAAATTTACGACAATGCTGCGATGTGGAATGCATAAGAGCACAGTAAGACACAAGAAACACTGCTGGTCATCCAATGCATCCTGGTCTATTTTCAGTCAATTTGACTATGTCTTGCCATTGGAACAAATAGGCAAGGCAAAGAGAGTGAGGCTGATGAATTAAGCAGCTTTCCAACCCTCAAATCAACACTACTACATAAGTCAAAGCCTTGGCCATCTTCACATGCAAAAGACTGAACAATACACTCAGTGCCACATTAAATCCTGCAGAGGCCCCTTAGCAATCAAAATTTTGCCTCTCCTCAATGATGTACCATCAAATGACTGCAACAGTTTCTCAAAATCCTTTATTTGATGATTCCTGTCTTTTTTTTTATACCTTTGTTATTTTTTAATTTTTGTCCCCTACTATAATTAGTTGTTTACGTCCAGATATTCAGGATGCCCATCACCACTAATTCTACTACTATACAATAGGGCCCATATGTCCTGCTACTTTGGCCAATAATGTCACAAGCCTATCATTTAAAATTAGTCACAAAATTTAGAGAAACTCATTAACACATCTCACAAATTCATGCGCCCCCCCCCCCCTTTTTTTTTCTTTCTTGGTGGTTGATGTCATTTATGGATGACCTCTTACCAACTTATGTCATTACACTACAATTATAATTAAGATCATATCAAGTCCCCACCTCCAAACAAAACTGAATCCCTCATGTATGTCCTTAAAAGGCACTTGTGCCTTATTTGCATTTAAGTTAATCTGGCACTGACTATAGTAACCCAGTAGGCAAGCGAGTAGCATGTTAATAATTTGTTAATGTTACTGATTGTCACGTATACCTTATAATATAGTTGATATTCTCTGACTTTATTATTTATGAATATCTGAATTATGTCTTAAACTTAAAATTGACTTAAAGTAAGTAAGTAAGTAGTTAATAAAGCTTAATGGCAGGACAGGATCCCAGACACTGAGGTGCTCACACGGGCAGGTCTCCCCAGCATCTTCACAATCTTGATGAAGTCACAGCTTCGCTGGGTGGGACATGTTGTGAGAATGTCAGATGACCGTCTTCCCAAAAGAATTTTCTATGGTGAGCTTGAACAAGGAAAGTGGTCTGCTGGCGGACAGAAAGACAACATAAAAGCCTCACTGAAAGCGTTCAACATAAACCCACACATGTGGGAGGAACAAGCAAAGGCAAAGGATCGAACTTCATGGCCTTCCTCTTTGCCCAGGAGCTCCATGCAACATGAAGTTGGCAGAACAGCAGCTGCAGAGTGCAAGAGACATGCAAGGAAGGCCCGGTCTGGCTCTGCTCCCGGAGATGCGCCCATCATTCCCATGCACCTACTGCACACGAGAATTTCGTGCCAGAATCGACCTCATTAGCCATCTGTGGTCATGGTCGACTCCCGACCGACGAACAATTCAATAAAGTAAAGCTTAAGATGCTAACCGATATGGAGAATGAAGCTCCATTATCACTTGTTAAAAGATCAAATGTTATTTTATCCACCGCACTGGGAACTGTCACACTATATTCAGTTAATTCCTTTTTGAATGGCGGGGACAACTTCCAAGGTGTTACAGCAAGTTTTGATAGATTGCAGTCGTCCATCTTGAATCATAGGACGCTAATACTTGTCAACCGAACTCTTTATTATATTTCACCGTTTAACTATTTACAAAGTCTTAACATTTTAATTGTTTTACTCAAAAATGCCATGTAGATTGAAATAATCGAATTCATTTAACATAAATAAAATTAAAATAAGTTATGCTAATCAATTAAAAATATTTTAAAAGCGTTAAAAATTGTTATTTGTTAAATTTGGAAATGTACGGACGGTAAAAATGTTTTTTTTCGTACATTGGTGTAAACATTGTTGCGCTCAAAATTAAAATAAATCCTACATTCCTTTTGGTTTAGTTAAATTATAAGTTTCAATGTGAAACGACATTACATTTATATTGTTAAAATGTTCATTACCAGTATATAATATAACAATTAACTACCAAATATTAAAAAGAAATGTCTGCAGGGCACTCCAAAGTACATAAAAGTAGCATTCCTGTTTCTAAAAAATCACAAAAGGACCCTAAATTGCCTAAATCTGCCAGTGTGAGTACTGGAGGAAGACCAGCTAGTAGTAGTAGTGGCACTAGTGCAACTAGTAGTGCTACTGGTAACGATGTCGAGAATGATCCTATTGCCAACAATGAAAATGTGAATCTTAATGCTCAGAATTCAGACTCACTTGTAAGCTCGATGAGAGGAACCAACGACGAAGCTCCACGATCGACCACTGCTTTATCTACATCTTCGGACTCTTCCTCATCATCATCAGTGACCACTAGTACTACTACAACTACAGCACGCAATGACTCTATCTCTGTGAAATTAAAGTCTAAGAATAAAAACCTACAAGCTACTAAAGTTAACAAACCAAGAAAACACATAACTCAAAATGCATCTAGAACTACAGCTTCTAGGTAGGCTTTTACTAACTTTTAATAAGACTCTAGGCCTAGGACTATAGACTATAGACTATACATAATTTATAAAATTTTATTTAGACCTAGAATTAGAAACACGAAACCTGATTATTATTAATTTATTATGCCTATATATATTATTTTATATTTATATAATTATTAGTAATTTGGTAATGTTGGCCTAGCCTACAAATTATGTACTACACAGTCACAAGGACAACACACTCAAAGTCAAGTATTAATCATAATTAATGTTATTAAAACATACACTACACTACTATGGGCTTGGCCTTGGCTATTTCTTAAACTTTCTAGTTTATGCCAGCGGTCGGCAAACTCATTAGTCAAAAGAGCCAAATATCAGCAACGGGACGATTAAAAAATTTTTGAGACCCAAATTTCTTTTTGAGAACCTGTCAACCATATTTTTCGGAGTCAAAACAGATTAATGGCTGAGCCAGATTCAGGTCGCAAATTTCTGACCACTGGTTTATACTATACTATTTGAAATACATTAGGCATTTGACTATCTATTAAATATATAAAAGCCACCTAAGAGCTCACCGTAATCCCAACCCCCCCGCCCGCCCCTAACCGGATGATTCAATGGTCCTTGTCGACTTCGACGGACGAACAAAAACAACAAATATATAATATATGATCAGAAGATAAACATTTGAATTAGAAAATCATGAAAAAAGCTTGGCTAAATAATAATAGTAGCATTGTTCATTGTTACATTTAAAAATCATTAAATTGATCACATATCAAGCTCCCCATTACATTAAGATTCAACAGTTGCTGAGGCAAAGAACCGCAATCTTAATTACAGCTTGAAAATGTGTTGTAAAATTTATCAGCAGAAAATTAAATGACCATATTTAATTTTATAGCTAAGAATAAAAGGGAGAAAGCCTACTATATATTATATAGCCACCATTAATCATACTGATCATGTCACCAGATCAACATAATTAATAATTATAAAATACTGGTACAAACTTAAAATTATATGGATATCTGTATAGGAATGAAAGGGTTACATGAAATCTTTATTGATTTGACTGTTATCTTTGTTTCATTTTATTATTTTACATATTCTGAAGTTATATAAATTTAAAATGTACCATATATTTACTTTCTCCATATTCATGAAATAATGAATAATATCAAGCTTATTATTTAATTCTTTCTAAAAATGGAATGTCAAGCAAAATTTTAGAATGCAAAGCTGCACACTTTTATTTGATTTATCTTAATATCATATCATTGTTTAAATCTCTATGAATAATTTAGTGCTGAAGTTTGGTTGGATGAGAAGGGTGCAAGCCTAAGTCAGCGTATGAAAAATGATTCCATGGCTGACAGTGAGAGGCGTCATGATGAAATGGAAAAACAGATTAAAGAGTTGGAGGTATTGATGTTATGAATGATTTTGTAAAAAAAAATCTGTTATTAAAAATTCAATGCAGACATGTCAGACTGCATTTTTATACAGAACCTACGGAATAAAATATAACTAATTTTATTAAGTATTTGTTTCCCTGCTTTAAGACAGCATCTACAGGACTTTTATCGTACTATAGCCATAATCTGACAGTGACAGGTTAATTTGTTTTTTCTTAAACCTTTGATCTTTGTATTTATCTACTTACAGGCCCAACTAAGTTTGATGGGAGGACTCATTGAAAAGAGAGAAAAGTTGATGCAAGGTATGTTCTTGTTATTTCTTTATCTGTCTTTTTAATAATATGAATGGTGGTGCTTTTCAGTCTTTTCGGTGGTTCACATTTTAGTGGAAACGAGTGCTAAATTTATTTGTTATTTTTTAAATTCTTAAATTTGTCACTATTTGTGGACTGGTGCCAGTTTGCGGACCACCACTTTGATTAGCACTTTTAATTGTATTATGAATTATAAATTTATGTTGAAAAAAATGATGACAGCTAGATTCTGATGTGTGAAATTAAGTGTGGTTTTTACTCAAATATTAAGATCTCTGATATTTATAACGCATTTAAAATTAATCTTATTATGATTGTGATTGAAATTGAAGTCAGACAGTTGATATTTATTGTGGAAACCATGCCTAATAAACATTCATATTAATAACATAAGCTGAAACTGACAACTACACATTTGCTTTGTTACCGGTAACTTAGTCAGTTAATATACTTTGGCTTTAGAGTACTGTATTTTGTATAATTTTACCAGTGTTAAGATCGCTGTAATTATTATGCCTTAAAAACCATAATGATTTGATGTTCAACAAATGTGCATTTAATTTTTCATACAGATGCAAATGAAGAAGCCAAGCAGAAACAGGAGTCTTTGCAAGGTTTACTGTAAGAAGCTTATTTATTTTTAAAAACTCATTGGGATATTTGAGTGTTGCTGTAGAGTCAGAAAATTTCTATGTATAGCTAACCCATTGTTACATAAAACATATACATAGTTTTGACTGTCTCTTTTATTTTTATTGGATTCACTGACTGCCAAGTCTGATGACCAGATGTTTTTTTGTGTGTTTCATCTTCATGATACAGTGTTTGAAATTTTAAAAAGCTCCTTCTACTTTTGAGATGGCATTTAGGAGTCGTTCCTTCGTTCATCACATTATAATAACAAGGCATACTTTAGTCCTCTAGAGTTTACTTTCATTTAAAGTTAAAGAAACTTTTAACTTGGTGTGAATCTGATTTAAATATAGTTAATATTTGAAAATATTGTCCATCTTTAAAATTTAAACGGAAAACTAATATATATCTGTTATTACACTAATAAGCCACACTGAATAAGACCTTTTTTTTTTTTTTCAGAAACGATCAAGAAAATTTGCTGATAAGTCACGGCATTGATCCCGGTATGTTCTCTTTTGATAATTAAAAAGAAATATTATTAAAATTTTTCACAAAATGATGCATTCCCATTTTCCAGCTTGTTAAATAAGGACTCAGTTTGGTTATCATTTTCTATCACTCGGTCTAAATCGGGAATTAAAAGGATTATCATTAAATATTATGTATCTGATTTAAATATAGTTAATATTTGAAAATATTGTCCATCTTTAAAATTTAAACGGAAAACTAATATATATCTGTTATTACACTAATAAGCCACACTGAATAAGACCTTTTTTTTTTTTTTTTCAGAAACGATCAAGAAAATTTGCTGATAAGTCACGGCATTGATCCCGGTATGTTCTCTTTTGATAATTAAAAAGAAATATTATTAAAATTGTTCACAAAATGATGCATTCCCATTTTCCAGCTTGTTAAATAAGGACTCAGTTTGGTTATCATTTTCTATCACTCGGTCTAAAGCGGGGATTAAAAGGATTATCATTAAATATTATGTTTTATCATCATGTCCCTTAGTCCTTGGACCATTGGGGCGCCACAGGTGACATGAAAAATATCCTTCTCCATTCCTCTTATTATGTTTGCATTTAATCTTAATACTATGTTTACATTAACATAAAACCACTGAAAGACCAGAGGTGCTTGAAATCTGGTTGTTGATTTATTAGAGCCATTGGAAGAAGTTGAGTAAAATTTACTTGAACTATCACATTCACAGATCCATGTAAATATTAACATTTTGGCAAACTCTTTAAGTTAATCAACTATTTATGAGGAACAGACTTGAAAAAATAGTTGTAAACACTTGTTTTAATGAAAGCCCTTCATTGTTTTCAACTTGTTGAAGCTCCAATCATTAAAACTTTACAGATGTATTATCTTTTACTATTACTATTGAGATTTTTAAAAAAATGTATTATCTCAGTTTTTCCCCAAAACGAGTACTTTGTCTCATATTTTATTTAAACTTAAACAGGTGAATGTTTTTTCTACTCTTAAGTCTCAGAATTTTGAATAACTTTTCCTTGCCTTTGTTGAATGGATATAGTTCCAAATTCATTCTGAACTCATTTTGACACATTTTACAAGTATAGGATATATGCCTTTGCTTGTGTTTGGCTCTATGCAATATTGAGTTGTGCTTGGGTCTATGCAATATTGAGTTGTGCTTGGCTCTATGCAATATTGAGTTGTGTTTGGCTCTATGCAATATTGAGTTGTGCTTGGCTCTATGCAATATTGAGTTGTGCTTGGTTCTATACAATATTGAGTTGTGTTTGGCTCTATGCAATATTGAGTTGTGCTTGGCTCTATGCAATATTGAGTTGTGCTTGGCTCTATGCAATATTGAGTTGTGTTTGGGTCTATGCAATATTGAGTTGTGCTTGGCTCTATGCAATATTGAGTTGTGCTTGGCTCTATGCAATATTGAGTTGTGTTTGGCTCTATGCAATATTGATTTGTGCTTGGCTCTATGCAATATTGAGTTGTGCTTGGCTCTATGCAATATTGAGTTATGTTTGGCTCTATGCAATATTGAGTTGTGTTTGGCTCTATGCAATATTGAGTTGTGCTTGGCTCTATGCAATGTTGAGTTGTGCTTGGCTCTATGCAATATTGAGTTGTGTTTGGCTCTATGAAATATTGAGTTGTGTTTGGCTGTATGCAATATTGAGTTGTGTTTGGCTGTATGCAATATTGAGTTGTTTGGCTCTATGCAATAATGAGTTGTATTTGGCTCTATGCAATATTGAGTTGTATTTGGCTCTATGCAATATTGAGTTGTGCTTGGCTCTATGCAATATTGAGTTGTGCTTGGCTCTATGCAATATTGAGTTGTGCTTGGCTCTATGCAATATTGAGTTGTGTTTGGCTGTATGCAATATTGAGTTGTTTGGCTCTATGCAATAATGAGTTGTATTTGGCTCTATGCAATATTGAGTTGTTTTTGGCTCTATGCAATATTGAGTTGTGCTTGGCTCTATGCAATATTGAGTTGTGTTTGGTTCTAAGCAATATTGAGCTGTGTTTGGCTCTATGCAATATTGAGTTGTTTGACTCTATGCAATATTGAGTTGTGCTTGGCTCTATGCAATATTGAGTTGTGTTTGGCTCTATGCAATATTGAGTTGTATTTGGCTCTATGCAATATTGAGTTGTGTTTGGCTCTATGCAATAATGAGCTGTGTTTGGCTCTATGCAATATTGAGCTGTGTTTGGCTCTATGCAATATTGAGCTGTGTTTGGCTCTATGCAATATTGAGTTGTTATCTTTTGCTTTTTGCAATATTGAGTTGTTATGTTTTGCTTTTTGCAATATTGAGTTGGGTTTAACCTAAAGCAACATTGAGATATTGTGTATGCTCTATGCAATATTGAGTTGTTTTATTGCTTTTCCTTTGATGAAGGAAAACTAATTTTAAAAAAATATATATATGATGAGATAATTGATCAAAAGTTTAAAGAGAAATATAATTTGCGAAAATTGCCACGAGAAGCACAAAATGTTGTATTGAAATTAGTTTGGGTGCACAATATAGATATTTTACTTGATACATTATAAGAGATTTATTACTTGGATAATTATAGGAGATAAGATAGATGACCAAACCCACCCCACACTTCTCTCTATCCCCATCCCCCCCCCCCTCTCTCTTTTTCCTCAGTATTAGATGCATTTTATCTCCCTTCTCATAAGTTACCTTGTATATTGATGTATGGGATTACCCTTTTTAAATTTTTCCTTACATCGTGTTAAATATTATGTGCGGTGACAATGGATATATGTGCCTTCCCCTTTCTTTCAAAAATTATTATTGAGCTAAGATTTAAAATCTACGACCTATGAATTTTTATTGAACTTTCATGTCCTAATTTATTTCAGCCACCGGTGAAAGAGTCTGTTTGGATGAAGGGAAAATTGAAACAACCAAGAAATTCACTAAGGTATTTAGGTGTTAAACTTTATAGCTACTGACTAGATCACATTGCTGAAAACTGAACAATTTTTGGGGATCCATATCCATAAAGACAATTTCAACACAGGAGAATGCTTGTCTAATTTTTTTCTAAAATGGGGAGAGTGCAAATATTCTGGTGGAACTGAAAAAAGCTTTTTTTAATGTTTTTTTTAGACATGTGTATCTTGATGGGAAAAAAAAAATGAACTTAAAAAGTGTTTTGAATTTAACTTTTGAAAGAAATATTTGTGTTCAGGCAAACAATATAGTTTATATTCTTTTCCCTTATTTTGGTTCTTTCCTTGAAAAATGTTATTTTTGACATACAAATAAGATTTTCCTATATAAAATTTTTACCTGGTTTCCTTTGGTTTTCTTGTTGATATTATTTTGCATATGTTCAAAGGTGGCTTTTTTGGCTTAGAACATTTGCTGAACTTTTGTGTACAGTGCATCTGACGAGCAGTTCAATATTAGTCAAAATGTACAGAATTAAAATGTTTGTTTTTAGGTTTTTCTGGAGGTTGTCATTTTTTATAGTTTTTTTAATGAATTTACACTTTAATTAAAAGTAAAATTATTTTTTTTGCAGAAAAAAGTTCAGGAAATGCGTGAAAAGCTGAAACAAATGAGTGAAAAAACACAATCATGTCTCTCTGATGTTGAGGTGGGTGCATAGTCATTTGCATATATAGCAGTGCATATTCAGTGAATGAAATATTTTCATTGGTAGAGGCACAAGTAGTTGTAAGATTGGGAGAAGTTGAAGACCAAATGATGTCACTTTTATAATTGTATAATTAGTACTAGATTTCATTAGTTCTAGATATAATTAGTGCACGATTCAATAAGCACTAGATATAAATTCAAGCAGTACCATTTGCATTTTGAAATTTCCAGTGAGGTAAAAGACATCAGGGAAACAGATCTGCTGCAAAGGAAATAACATAAAGCTAATTGTTGATAATATTTTCAAATGAAATCTAAATAATATATGAAGCTTCTTACTGGAACAAATTGAAATCATTTTTGAATTGAATAAGCTGTTAGCAATATCTTAAAAGTACTGTACTTTATTGATCCTTGTGCTTAAGGACTTTGAGAGATTACATTTAATTTAATAAAAACAACCCCTAAAATCAATGTTTGTTGTATAAATCCTTCATATGCAGTTTTGTTTACATTGATGTAATTGTAAGTGATTTATGATTTATTAAGGAGCGTTTATTTAAATGGGTAAAATTAACACGTTTCTTATTTCCTTCATTTTCCCCTGCAAAAATACATTACATTTTTTACTGCATGCCTAAATATGTCACAAATACAAAGCACACAGCAACAGCTACACAATCTCCACACCAAAACAAGCACCCATTGAAAAAAGCATTAACATTTCTGCCCTCTTGAAAAATAGGAAAAACTTATTTTTGGGGATGGGGCTGATAATTTGATAGCATGTGTTGTCATTGGCAGCAAGTGTATGTGCCAAGTTTCAGCTTGATAGGATGACCGGAAGTGGGTCAATTAGCTTCCCCTTGAAAAACTGGAATTTTTGGGGTTGGGGCTGAAAATTTGATAGAATGTGTTGTCATTGGCAACAAGTCTATGTGCCAAGTTTCAGCTTGATAAGATGACGGGAAGTGATTCATTTAGCCCAGGCCTGCACAACATATGGCCCGTGGCCGCAGCATCCACTTTGCGGCACGAGAAGTAACGAAATATTCTTTATTCTTATTATTTTATTAATAGCTTTCCTCCTGTCCTATTTTCTTTTGGCCAGCACAAGTTTTTCATAAAGTATTACAGCCCGCCTTACATTTTGAGTTGTGCAGGCCTGATTAAGCCCTTTGAAGAATTTGTCACAAACACGTGAACAAATGCAAAGTTAATATAAAGGATTTAAAAATAAAGTACTTTTGATTTGAATTTTTTTATATGGTCTCTTGTTTGTATTTAATTTTAAAAATAGAACACCCTGTCAGACATAACAGAGCTGGAACAGGCAAGTGAAAGGGCAAGACCATCATCCCCCGAAACTTGTGACATGCTTAAGGAGTTGGGAAAAAACAATGAGATATTCAAGATGGATCTCGAGATACCGCAGCAGCCACTGCAAACAAGGAATTTCAACAATGATATAGATGAATATACCCAGGAGAAATTTGGATCCCAGTTTTTTTTAACAGATGGGGATAGCGATATGGCTTAAAATCTGTTTTTTTTTCAAAAACACTTTTAAAATCAAATAAGCTTGCTGTACAAAATTTCTATTTGATGTCATGCTATTTTATATTGTTCATCTCAAATTTAGTTAAGAAAACGGAAAATTATAGGGCTGAAATAAACTATTTGAAATGGTTGTGTGTGAGTATATATTAATATATACTGTATAGAAAGTTTGATGTTACTTCCTTGATTTACCCACACACTAACCGATTCAAGAAGGGGAGTGCCCAATGGGATATGTGTTAAAGACCAACTGAAAGTGATTTTCTGAATTCTGGCAAAGCCAGACCGAAAATTTAAAATAACTTTTGGCCAAAACCAAAGATTTACAAGACTTTTGGCATAACAGAAAGCTTAAAGAGACTTTCATCCGAAACTGAAAGATTTAGATATATTTCAAAATTCATCTCTTCGCCCATACGTTTTATGGAAAATGAGATTATCTTGAATTTTAATAGATAAAAAAATAATCAATACTTAGGCTTTTACCATTTGAATTTAAAAGTAATTTAAAGTTGTGAAATATGTATTTAAAAGTAGCATGGTAAGTGACTGGGGAGGGGGGTGGGGGCAAAATTCATGCAAAATAGACCCTTTGCTTTTATAATATAATTACACTTCCTAGACATTTTTGGTATTGATCGAAAGATTAGCCTATGCATTTTTTATTGACATGGCCCACTAAAATGTCCAGACATTAGCCTTGAAGGAACTCTTTGTTCTGCTAAACCATAGATTTTCATTGAAATGCGCTTTCTTATCAGCTAATTTTATATTTCAACCAGATTAAACAAAAGTCGAAGAATTTTGAGCTACAGTAGCAGACCTGGTTACACTGGGACTCTCAAAATAGAACAATATGGTCATAGTCTTAGAAAGTACTTTACCATCTCAAAATTGTACAATACCATATTGTAATAGTAAATAAATAAACATACAGTATTAATATTATGAAGTGGCTATTCGTACCCGGGTGCCAGAAGTAAGAGGTTGGGATTAAAAAACTATTTAAAATTTTATTTTTGGGTTTGTAACTCAAAATGAGGTATCAAATGAAAGATAATTGAATGGACTTATACGTTTGTAAATTAATTCTTCAGTTTAACTAAAATAAACTACCACAATGACATCTGAATAGCACTGAGTCAAAATGGACCCAGACACGCAGCGCCTCCATTCAGACCCGGGTACCATTAGACTACATAATATGTATACAATAACTATTTGTATCCATTTCTGAAAAAGGTCACTCATCAAATTAGATGAATAATGTTTATATAATTATATACAATCCATTATTGCAAATAAAAATTTGCCCGTCATTTGTCACTTTAATTGACGATAATGTGGGGAAGCGGATTTTGAGAACACTCGCCAAGGTCACCCCTAACAAAAGTGGGGTTTAGGGTGAGGTCCCTGCCCAGAAATATTTTCATAACTTAAAAACACAGGGATGTGCTTTTGCATATACCTAAATATATAGTTTTGCATCATTTTAGACTTAGTCGTATTGCTTGTGAAAAATTAGATTCCCCTTACCCAGCTTTGTTTACATAAATCCTTTTTATTTAAGTATTAAATAAATGGTTAAATTGTTTTTAAATTTATTACTTTTTTCAATCTATTATCAATCAGTCTCAAATGAGGGCAGGTACAATGAAATGCCACGTACCGTCCTCAAAAAAATGATTTGTGGATATATTTATAAAATGTGCGTTTATGCCACAAATAAAAATAATCGCTATTTGAATAAAAAGGGAGGGCCAGCCCTCCCTCCACTTTTGTTTCTGGGTTTGCCACTGTACACAAAGATGTGCGGATATACTATATATTAACCTTTTAACCCTATCTGCTCCAAATGGCTACTTTTCTAATTTATAGTTTATATTTCCATTTTTGGGGAATTTGCACATAAATAATATTTTAAATTGGCACAGCATTAATATTAATTTAGCATATTTTAACCATTAAACAAGTACTTTTAGATTTATATTGAATGTTAAGCTGCCTTGGTGTGTTATCTTTTTATTCCACAAAGGTCAAAATAAAAATAAATAGCATTAATATTTTTATATAAGATTTTGTTGTTTCTGATGAATTTTTCTTACCAATTAAAAGAAAATTAAAATTAAATTAATAAAACAATTTCTCATTTAAAATGGACTTTTTTCCTGCATTTTTGTGCTCCATGTAAGTAATATCATACATTTTTAATATAATATATCAGTATTTATTTTATTTTTATGGAAATAAATATTCTATTATTTTAATATAAATACATGAAATATTTGTATGCTCTGCACTTAACTGATGTTTATAACACATGTTTAAAACCTTATATTGAAATGTTATTAAATCTTTATTTAGGAAAATTTCAGCCTTAACAATTGTTAATATTATAAGTGAACCAAATTAAAGACTCATTTGATTTTACATTTTTAAAACAATAGTCAAAATTATATTTACAATTAATAACTAAGACTAAAGCCTTAATAGGACTTCAATTTTTACAAGCCTACAACTAAGTTGACACCTGTATGTCTCATCCACAAAATGGAATATAGTGTTAGATTTAGCTTTATATGCTACATGCTAAAAACCACAGAACCCTACTAGCCCAATGATCATGCAAAAGTGGCCACCCCTATTTCTCAAAGAACTTAAAATAATACAGCTACCAACTACCAGTATTTTTAAGTTAACAAACCGAGAAATGTTGAACTACTCTTGGTGATAATCAAGACTGGATATATTCATGAATAATTGCCCTTGTTCAAACTGGCGTGCCACAAAGACCAGCGGATCACTCATTTATTTCAGTTCAATGAATATTATACTATGAGATGAGGTGCCTCAATAACATTTGGCAGACATTTCTCTAATTAATATTAATTTGACCCAAATTTTGAGTATTAACGTTCTATTTATTGAATTTGGTTTTATTCTTCTGAGAATTACATTAAAATATCTTTATATCTCTGCTTCAAGGAACCTTACACGGCTAAATTTTCGGTCTAAATGTGTCTTATCATGTATTAAAACTTGTTGGATATGATATATTATTATACAATAATGAGATACATACACAAGTTAAACTTTCCAAGTGGAAGATAGAAAATATGATTGTATTGATACCGAAGGTCATTCAATTAATCATTAAATAAAAAAAAAACAGTATTTTTTTGTTTTCTTTTAGATTTAAATTGCTTTTCTTATAAAATGGCATAATTAATTTTTTTTGTATCTAGTTTGGTTTCATCTGAAAAATTTACCTTCACTTTTGTAATTTAATTTAAACTCCGAGGCATATCATAAACGAAAACAATTTTGCAGTGAATACTCGTTTATTTTTACATATTTTACAACATAATACAATACAACAAATTAAAATTTAATTTAAATGCAGCCATCACGCGAGCCCACATCACTACTGGCACACAGCTAGCAAAATATTACTGAAGTTATATTAATATTGTAAATTAGGAAGTTTTACTGATTTGAAAATTTGTTTGGTTTTAGAAACAGGATATTTAGGCGTCCCGGGAGGCTTGTTCGGGACACCGGGTACGATCGTGACGTTTAATCACCCTAGTTTAGGGATACATATTTATTTGGGTTCATGTTAGGTTTTAGTGACAGTGAATAATTATAAAAGTTCACGGGTCATGGCAACCAAGATTGCGACCGTGTGATACGTCATGGCCCCAATTGTCTGCATTTACCTCACATTACTAATATATAATTAATATTAATAGTCAATAAGAATAGTTCAATTCTTAAATTTAAATAAAGTTGAATCATTGCCGTCTCTAAATCTAAAGTTAAGGTTACTTAACTAACTCACTAATGTCAATGTCGGCAGTCATGGCAATTGATTTTTTTTTTTTTTTAAATAAAGAAATATCAACCGAGTAGGACCTGAAGGCGAAAAACGCTACCACAAGCACTATATTATATTCCAGCTTTAATCACTCGTGAAAGATTCGCTTATCTTCAAACAAGTTTGAGTCTTGCTGTTTCTGCTTGGCTAACTAAAAATGGATTTGTTTACATTTTTCTGCCCTTGATCTTTAACCCGACCTATTTTACTCGCTCTCAATTTTTGATACACTATATCGATTCCTGCAATTGTGTTTGAAATATACATTATTTTTTAATTTAGCTATTATTTGTATTAAGAATTTATAAACTTTAAAGAGATTCTTTTTAAAAATTAATAAGCGATTTCAAAATGAAAATTATGTTTTTAAATAACATACTGAAATGTTGTTGAGATCTGGTAATATAATTCAATGTAATCGAATAAAATGCCATACGATTTAAGTAGCAGTCTAGGCCACAGAATTATTGTTTGGTCTACATTTTTTTGATTTTGTAGTTAACTACAGTACAACAATCACAGGGAACGTCGCTTATCAGTATCTATTAGGTGGAAGTTGGTGGAAGTGAAAGGAAAGGATGGCAAATCGAGGACTTTCAAGGGTCCTTGGGAATTGCCTTCACCACGAAAATGCCAGAATTCACCGTAGCATCAATGCATCATCGCTGCTTAATAGAACTTGGAGTTATCGTTTTCACAAAGGAAGAAGTAATAATATATCAACATCAACGGATTACCCAGAATTTAGAGATTTGCCTCACATCAAAACACATAATGACTTATACAAATTCAGCATTGAAGATCCTGAACTATTTTGGTCTAGACTTGCACGATCTAGACTGACATGGAGTAAAGACTTCTCTACAGCTTGTAAGAGTGACTTCAGTAAAGGAAAGTTCGGATGGTTTGAAGGAGGAGTTTTAAATGCTTCTGGTTTGTAATTTTGTTTCAAAGTTGCTAGATCTACTAAAGCTAGGCCTAATCAAATCATAACTAAGAAACTTGTTGGACTTTGTACCTATACAAGTTGAGGTTTAATATAAACGGGATAGAATACAGTCTGTCTCTAGCATATATATGGTAATTAATAATAATTAATAAATAGTTAGTTAAAATTGAACTGCTCAATATTAAACTATATTTTTTGGTCAGCCAATGATTTAGCCCAAGTAGCAGTGACTCACACTTAAGCAAAAAGCCTACCTGAGTAGCTAGAAATGTTTTTCAGAACTGTAAAAACAGAACCATGAGCAATCTTGTGCATTTTGAAGAGATATTTGTCATACCTATATGATTCATATGGGATAAAAGCAAACATAATTATGGCATATGTTTATTGAGTGGTTATCTTGAGTTGTTGGAAAAGTTCAATAAAAAATAATGCAGATTGATAGGCTCCTACATGCAGGCCCATTAATTCAAGACGAAGGCATTCTGTCATACAAAAGCTACTCTTGTTTTAAGCAACATACATTCACAATGCAAAATAAACTATTTCTTTGCTCAAATAAAAAAAAAAACTATAAATATAAAGATGAAACTGGGAACTTACAGTTTTTTTAAAGTGAATGGAGAAGCAAATAGAAGTGCAAGTTGTTTTATATCGTATTATAACTCTCTTATAAGTAGCTGGTGAGAATGAGAACCTGTTTACATCATCAGCACTACTTAGTAAGTTTTGAGAGTGCACAATTTTTGTTGGTCATGTCATAACATGGACATGAACATGAAAGTCTAAGCAATCATTTAATGTTAATAAAATTAATATGCATTTAATTAATGTGTTATTGTAAATACATTGAATGTATAATAATTGTATTTTTTGTCGATTCCAGTAAATTGCATAGACCGCCATCTTGAGAAAAGGGGAGATGAAATAGCTTTAATATGGGAGAGGGATGAACCTGGTACACATCGATTTTATACATACAAGTGAGTTGTTCAATGTACATAGTTGCAATTGGCTTTTAAAAATATATATCTTGTCCACAGTGTGTATAATTACAAGTGTACAAATGATTTGAAATATTTGTAATGTTACAGCAAGGACTTCATTTGGGTAGGGCAGGGTGGGGCATTTGCAGGTTTTATTTAAATTGCTATGTACTAGGGCGCCTCCAGTAATAAACAACTTAACAAGTCGACCAAATTGTAGTTTTGCCCCTCTCCCCTGAAAAACCAGAAATGCCACCCCTGCGTTACAGGCGTTGAAGATTATATAATACACATTTTGCATATTTTCAATATTTAAAAAACTGAGATATAATAAATAACTAATGTTCGTGTCATCTTAATATTTGCAGTTTAGGTTAAGTTTTTTTTATTTGTAAGATTGTAAGGTATAAAAAGTTGCACAATTCAATCTGCTTTAAGTGACATTGCGATTTGTTGATGACTGTTTGAAATTAAATGTTTGACATGACATATCTAATCTTTAGACAACCAAATTTTAAACTTCCAAAAAAGAAGTTTAAGTAACTTATCTAATTAAGACCCATTATTAAAAAAAATAAAAATAATAATTGTTGTAAAGTGAATTCATTTACTGCAAGGACAACAACTTTGAAAGCTTTTACCAACTAATTTAAGCTTGACAACATTGACAAATATTTGACTAACTTTGTGCCATAATTTTTTTTGTTATCCCAGAAAACTCTCTGAGATGGTGGGAAAAATTGGAAATCTCTTGACCAACAGTGGGGTCAAGGCTGGAGACAGAGTTGCAATTTATCTGCCCAAATCTCCCACTGCTATAGCCACCATGTTGGCATGTGCCCGGATAGGGGCAATTCACAGTGTTGTGTTTGCTGGATTCAGTGCTGATGCCTTAGCTGGGAGAATTAATGATGGTAGGTCTGTGTATTATATTGGGGAGAATTAATGATGGTAGTTCTGTGTTTTATGAGGGAGAATTAAAGATGGTAGGGATCTGTTTCGCTAGGGAGAATTGTTGATGGTAGGTCTGTATTTATATGAAGGGAGAATGAATGACGGTGGGTATGTATTTCTTTAGTACTTGACAGCGATGTTACATTTTGGTACATATTGGTCTATTAGAGTTTCTGTTAAAAAAATTGTCATCCTAAGTGTATACTTCCGCTTTATCTTTTAGCTCAAGCAGAGACGGTTGTGACAGCCAATCAAACAATTCGTGGGGGTAAACTTATTGAACTAAAAAAGATGGTGGACGCTGCAGTCAGCAAAAGTCCTTGTGTGAAACGTGTACTGGTCTACTACAGGACGGAAGCAAAAGTTCCGATGGGTAAACTGGACATTGACATGACTAAGGTTTTTATATGGTTGTGTCCCCTGTGTAAGCTAATATAGTAACTAACTGAACAGAATTTAACAAATTTTTTTTAGTGAATACCTGAATTTATATTGTTTATTTAATTTTGTAAAAAATGCAGTTATATTACAAAGCTTTGTACTTAGTCTTTTGTTGTACTTAACAGTAGACTTAGATTATCATTAGAAAAAAAGGTTGTATGAAATGGCAGTGCAGCTTAATTTTGAATTTTCAGGCAATGGTGCAAGAGTCTCCCAACTGCCCTGTAGTAGAGAGAAATAGTGAAGATACATTGTTTATGCTCTACACCTCTGGAAGTACTGGATCCCCTAAAGGAATTACTCACTCAACTGCTGGCTACTTACTCTATACAAATGTCACATTTAAAGTAAGAAATAGTAAACAAATTTGAGTCCTGTTTTGTGATTGGGTAAGATGTTTGTGATTGGATGTTCTTAAGTGAATATTTTAAAGATGTAAGTTCCATTTCAATGGTTGTAAAATATATCAGTTCTTCTGAAATAGGTGGTCCACATAACTTTCAGTCCCTGGTTCACAAAAGGTGTGATACTTTTAAAGATTTTAAAAAAGGGACTAATAGCCAGCGGTCCCTGCTGCTAATTCCTGCACAATGCACTATTAAAGAATGGATGACAGGAAAAAAATGGTTTTTGTATGTGATATAAGTAAAATGTATAAGTAATATTAAGTATAATGTAAAGTGTTATGTATATGGTAATATAAGTACAGTTTAGTTTAAGTATTATTCTGATTAACACAAGCTAAAAGTTGCATCTTAATTAATATTTTTACCTTCCCAAAACTTTAAGTTTTTGAAAACTGTGATGGTTGGTATTCTCAAAATAAAATAAAAATCTTTTACCCAGCATGCCTTTGACTACAATGTGGGTGAGAAGTTTGGCTGCGTGGCTGACATTGGCTGGATCACGGGTCACTCGTATGTCTTGTATGGGCCGTTGTCTAATGGAGGCACTACACTCCTCTTTGAAAGTACACCTTTATACCCTGACCCAGGTAAGGAAGTTCCCAGTTGATAAGCTTTTGTACAAATTAAAAATACAGATCCACCTTGGCTAAGGCATATATTATGCAATTTTTGGTTTAAAAAAATATGTGTCCTTGTTTAGTAGATTGAAAGATGTGATAAATGCTTTTTTGGTATTTATCTAATATATTCAACGTTGCCAGCTTTTTTTACCTTACTAAATCATTTGTCTTACTATCAGGTCGTTACTGGGAGATGGTTGAAAGGCTCAAATTAAACCATATTTACCTGGCACCTACTTCACTGAGAATGTTGTTAAAATCTGGCGATGAGTATGTCAAGAAGTATGACAGATCAAGTTTACGAAAACTTGGATGTGGTAATTAGAATTAATTTGTTATCAATTTTTTAAATTCAAAATCCAATTTTAGAGGGTTTATTTGTAGTAATGGCATTACTGGTGGTCCTAGGACTAATGACAGTTCTGTTAGCAGTCAGACTAATGGCAGTACTGGTAGCCCTGTAGTAATGGCAGTTCTGGTAAACCTGTGGTAATGGCACTACTGGTAGCCCTGATATCAACTAAATAATTCTACCATTAGTAAAAACAAGAATTTCCGCACAATTTAATCTCATAGTGAAATATTTTTGTTTTATTTCAGTTGGTGAGCCTCTGAACCATGAAGCTTGGGAGTGGTACTACAATGTAGTGGGGGAGAGGAGGTGTGACATCATTGATACCTGGTGGCAGACAGGTAATACAATTCTTCTTAGATTTATTATGACCCTCATTGGTTGTAATCAGCTTTCATTGACTGCCATTGACTCTCATTGACTGTATTCAGTTCTCACTTACTGCCATTGACTCTCATTGGTTGTAATCAGCTTTCATTGACTGCCATTGACTTTTATTGCCTGTAATCAGCTCCCACTGACTGCCATTGACTCTCATTGGCTGTAATCAGCTTTCATTGGCTGCCATTGACTCTCATTGACTGTATTCAGTTCTCACTTACTGCCATTGACTCTCATTGACTGTATTCAGTTCTCACTTACTGCCATTGACTCTCATTGACTGTATTCAGTTCTCACTTACTGCCATTGACTCTCATTGGTTGTAATCAGCTTTCATTGACTGCCATCGACTCTCATTGACTGTATTCAGTTCTCACTTACTGCCATTGACTCTCATTGACTGTAATCAGCTCTCACTTACTGCCATTGACTCTCATTGACTGTAATCAGCTTTTATTGACTGCCATTGACTCTCATTGACTGTAATCAGCTCTCACTTACTGCCATTGACTCTCATTAACTGTAATCAGCTCTCACTGACTGCCATTGACTCTCATTGGCTGTAATCAGCTCTCACTGACTGCCATTGACTCTCATTGGTTGTAATCAGCTTTCATTGACTGCCATTGACTCTCATTGGCTGTAATCAGCTCTCACTGACTGATTGACTCTCATTGGCTGTAATCAGCTCTCACTGAATGCCATTGACTATCATTCTGACATGTGATCCAGAATATATTTATTAGGCAGCCACCCATAGAAATACATTTTTAGTTTCATTATGAATGTGTTATTATTATCAGTATGAAAAATCCGTATAGTATTCCATATTATCTGATCTAAAAAAAACAACTTGATCCAGAGGCTTCATTTTTAATATAAATATAATCATGAAATTTGATAGTTGATTTGATGCATTATAAAATTAGGAAATGCTCATTAAATGTTATATATGATCTCACAACATTTATGAAAGTTACTGTTTTATTTTTGTTTATAAAAAACTTCATTATTGAAATTCATTTCTTGGACCAGAGACTGGTGGAATCTGTATCAGTCCAAGACCTTCAGAAATAGGAGCTGATATCCAACCAGGCATGCCAATGAGGCCCATGCCAGGGATCGACCTAGCACTTTTTGATTCCCAGGTTAATTTTTAAATAGATAAATAAACTTAAACTTAATTTAGGAGCAAAGAGGTGAAAAAAGGGAGATAACTGACAAAAAAAGTAATTCATGTGTTATCTGGTTGTGTTGTCACAAATATGAGATTGTAAATACAATGGTACATTTTTAAACCTAGAAAGGGTGGCTGTGTAAATATTATGGTACACTTTTAAACCTAGATAGAATGGTTGTAGAAATATAAGGGCACGAATATAAACATTGAAAGGATGCTTTAAATAAACATATTATACATTGTAATAATGTAAAAAATCTATTTTTGTTGAACACCAATTATTAATGATATGCCTAGAATTGCTCCAATAAAACTCCAATAATGCTTATTTTGACCTTCATCTTTGAAAGGAATAAACGATTTTTGATGTTCCATCCAGGGCAAAGAAGTTAAAGGAGAAGATGTTGAAGGTGCTTTATGTATTCGTAGACCATGGCCCGGAATGGCAAGGACTATTTACAGGGATCATGACAGATTCTTAAAGACCTATTTTCAGACAGTTCCTGGTAAGCTGAAATAAGAACTCTTGGGCATTCAAATTATGCCAGAATGATCAATACATTGCTCATGGACCCTCAAAATATGGAAGTAGAAGTATGGCTCAATTTTTCTCATTTTTTTAACTTGCCCTAGTTATAATGCCATTTTCCCGAGTTTACTTGTTAATTAATTTACTGGTTAGATAATAAGCTTATAATGACACATTTTTCATTCAATATTTGTAGATGTCTATTACACTGGTGATGGTGCTCATCGTCACAAGGAGGGCCACTATCAAATAACTGGACGCATGGACGATGTCCTAAATGTCAGTGGACACAGATTGGGTACAGCGGAGATTGAAGATGTCATGGTGAGTTGTCAGCAGTCATTTTTAGGTATCAATGGAGGATTAGCATTACCTATAGACATATTTAGTATTTTCATGGTTTTTTATAATTCAAAGGTCAGGGGTTAGTTATAAGTCATGGTTTGTTGCAATTCATCTTTTTATTAGTTGCAATAATTCTTAAAATAACTCCTAAATAATCAACAAGTTCACAAGCTGAACCAAAAAATAAAATACTGATTGATTTGGCAATGCCCAGCAACTTTTTTTCATGTACAGCACACCTAGACCCTTCTCAGAATTCCTGGGCTTACCGAAAGAAAAGCACAAACATATTTCAGTTCAGAGTAAATATGTGAAATTTACATGAACCAGTGAAACTTTGATGTTAATTTGCAGGATACATTTAACATATATAATATTAAAAAAATAGTAAGAAAAAGAATAATAAAAAAGCTTCAAATTTAACTGAAAATTATCAAAAAGCACCGTTGCCAAGATAAACTAAGTGATCGAAAAATCTAATATTTAGTAATATTGAATTTAAAAATGACAGACCACAGCTTGTCTGGCTTCACTTAGCTGTTTTATACCTGGCTTGATAGCTCACAAAACAACTCCTATTTCAATATTATTCTTTCAAGCACGACTGAATATATTGGCTTATAAGTTTTTATGAAGAGCCTGAAAGCTTTGTCTATAATAAGAGAGTTGTGGAATATTATGAGTAGAACATCAATGATGTCATTGAAAGTTTGAGATTGTTCTTCATTGATTGAAATCTAAAGGAAAATAAAATCAAGTTTAATTATGGTGAATTTTAATTTCAGTGGCTTATCATTCCATAAAGAAGTGGTAGAAATAACCCACCAAACAATGGCAGCGCCAATGCATGAACTTCCCATCTACTAAAGTTACCTTGCAAAACATGCATTCAAGTAAAGCACTTTATAAGAACCTGGGAATTTTATTGTGCTCGCCTTTTGAATACAGCGTCACCGCCATACATACATGCCCAGAGAATTATTATTTGTGATTTTTGCGCATATTTATGAAGTATTTTTGAGTGTTGTGCAAAAAGGGTATCTGAACCCATTGTAGCCTGGCTTCTCCAGACGAAGTGTTTAAATGGATTTGTCAAATTTCTATTGCTTCATTGTTAGATGCTCTCAAGAAAAAACAATTACATCTTGTTTTTGTGTGACATCATCTGGATGGGTTCAATTATGTTATGCTTAAGGTTGAGTTTCTTTTTGAGTCTGTTTAATGTATCTGAACTTGTCTTTTATACAATTTTATTCATTCAGATGTTCAAACAAAAGTTCATCTGGTAGTATATCTATCACCTGGGGATAGTTCGTCATAATTTTTTTTTGACCAACAATTTCAGATGAATGCAGCAGTGTGTAGCCTAATTTTTATTGTTAAACTTTCTCTTTAACTACTGGTATCCATCATTTACAGCAACACATCTGTTAAAAAACCAATGCAAATATTCCATTTTGTCATAAGTGTTGAAGAAATCAGATGTTACTAATCATCAGTATTCCACTGTGGAATTTCATTGCAAAATAAATAATACTCTCTGATGGAAATGCTGATCAACAAAACACACAAAACCAATGATATATGCCTGCTCTTAGGGTGAGACTGAACTTAATATACTTCATTAACATATTCATTTCCTGATTTCCAGGCATGCTGGTTAAATGAACATTTCATCAACAGTTTTTTTCTTTCTTTTCTGTTCTGCTATTAACTTTGCAACAAGGTGACCAGCTTTCAAAACTTTGACAGACGATCTCAATCTTACATCTGGTTGAGAATTTATGCTCAACCTTGTTAGAGCAATTATTTTCATTTTAGACAGTGAGTCAGTTTACTCACCAAAGAGACATGAGCACAAATTTTGTGCTGTATGCCTAAGAAAGTATGACCTCTTGGTAATTATTTAATCATTGTTACATTTATCAACACACTTTTTATCATTTACGTGCCCACGCACGTAGAAACTGTGCGTTTCCTAATTTTGAAGTCATTTAGCAGTGGCACACCTAGCATAATCATGCGGCACCCCGGATGCAGAGCTCTGATTTTGGAATTAATTTTGTTTGGTACTCTCTGCAGCATGAGCATCTGGGTGCCATTCCAATAGGTTTTAATTAACAATAAGATGAGTAGCATAATTCATGTCTATTGATTACTATGCTGATTCTACTAAGTCCATCAATAGAGTTTGATTCTGTTTTCCAGGATGATCATCCTGATGTGGCTGAGACAGCTGTGGTAGGATTTCCTCATGACATTAAAGGAGAAGGTAAGCCAATATATAAAATCTGAGTGAGTTTCCTTAAGACTGTATCAAATAGAACTTTAGAGTCGTAAATTGCATTGCTTATACAGCCTTTAGAGATTTTCATAAAATTAATTTATGTATTGTAAGCTTTTCATGAAAACACATTTGCGAAAGAAAGAGAGTGATAACATTTTCATGTGGGTAACAATATCTTAAAACCCAATTATTTTACACAGGGGAAAATTTAATCTTTATAAATATAATTTTTTCCTTTCCTGTAAAGGGGCGTAAACAATGATAGATTAAAATTTGCTATGAAGAAAAGAAAATATTTTATTTGTCCGTTAGTGCACAAAATCAGTTCATAGAAAGGTGTGGGTAATTTTTATGAGATTAATTAGTTAAGAAATTTATCTTTCAGATATGAGAATGCTGCATTTTTACGATTTTTTCCATAAAGTAGTTCACGAGCGAGGCAAAAGTTTGAGTTATTTTTTTCAATGAAGATATCAAATATCAAAATATTTTACTTACAGATATTTAAAATGATACAAAGATTTTTAAAAAGATTTAAGGACATTTAAAAAAATTTTTTAGCGAATAAGTTTGCTTTGTGGTTTAGGGGTATGAAAAAGGGTTGGTGGGGGACCTATATTTTATAGAAGATAAACATTTCTCACAACCCAATGATGTTAGGTAATGTAAATGTCTATACATGAATACTTCTTAAAAATGCTAAAGTCTAATCTACTATTTCCTAAATATGCATTTCAAGGGCGAGAAATTTTTGTTTTTCTTTGATAATACAATTTTTAAAATCCAATACAGTTATGTAAAAATTAGTAGATTTTGAGACTTCGCAAGAGCAGGTAGTGTAATATGCCTTCCATTTTTACCCTGGCAACACCTGGTCATATCTCCTAGTGTATAATATGGGGGTATGACTGTAATTAAGGGCAAATGACTTAATATTGATTTTTTAATATATGAAGTATGTGCATATGATTAATTTATTTCAGGAATTTATGCCTATGTAGTTCTTAAAGACGGTAGAAAAACAAAAAAAAATGAATTGGATCAACAGCTTCGAAACGCTATCAAGAAGAAAATAGGAGGATTAGCATTACCTGAAGTAATTTTGGTAAGGTTTAGATGTTACATTCTGTTTGTCTTTACTTATACATTCTGTTTGTCTTTACTTATACATTCTGTTTGTCTTTACTTATACATTCTGTTTGTCTTTACTTATACATTCTGTTTGTCTTTACTTATACATTCTGTTTGTCTTTACTTATACATTCTGTTGTCTTTTTTACTTATACATTCTGTTGTCTGTTGATAAATTTTATAGTGTGATATTTAATGTATATGTTCCTTCTATTGACAAACTGCACAAGGAATACGATGGACGCTGGCTTCAGTCCATGTCAGGATTGATGACTTACCAAGTACCAAGATGCCCAGGAATAAGAAAGAGACTGGCTGAATCTGCCATTGGTCTTCTTGTTAACATTAGGAAACTAGAATCTGGCTGAATCTGCCAATGACATTGGTCTTCTTGTTAACATTAGGAAACTAAGTTATGGGGAAAAAATATCAACATGGTAGACACAAATCACTGTGGACTACAGCCCACTAAAAGATGAGAGTACAGAGGGAGCAGTGTACAGTAGATGGCCTTTGTCACAAGGAAATCCATGTAATTATCACCAAGGCAAATCAGAAATTTAAAATGCTGGCATCCACTTGGACATTTTAAAATACTTCAAGTTTTCCCCTCTGTGGATCACAGTGCAGGAAGACCATTACCAGATCAGAATGGAAGCTGGAAGACAACTAGCACAACAGAAGCTGAAAGTTTTCCAGACCTTATGTGTACAAAGGATCCAGAGAATGTTCTGACCAAAGACAATCTTCCTTGAAAAACTGAGATGTCGGTTGGTAGTGACAACCATTACAAAACGCATACTGCCAAATTCCCAGTAGAATGAGGCAAAGTTCACTTCCCAGAACAGTACTAAGATGGACATCACAGGGAAGCAAAACCATAGAAGACCCAAATGAACCTGTCACAACGCAATAAAAAATGATCTGTGCTATAGAAACTTGACTGTGCAGGTGGCAGGAAAGAAGTTGCGTTCCTGGCCTTTGCCTCAAGTGCGCTGCATGAAAATTCTTGTTACCTAATTAACAAAAATAATGATCCTTTAGCCCCTTTTTTTCCATTGTGTTACATAAAGAATCTTCACAATTTTCATGGACTGACATAAACATCTTACAAAGCGCTGGCGATGTTGTGACCCATACACCTTTAAGAATACTTTGTATATCACATTTTGTAAGTACCACATCTCTTTTATTTCCAATGATAACTGAAATTGCTTGGTAAATTTTTATTCAGCAGTGAAACCTCTCATCTATTGGCCAGAAACAAATAGTTCTCTGCCTGTTTTAATAAATTTACTTCTGTTTCATGTTTTAGTTCACTCCTGGGCTCCCAAGAACACGTTCTGGAAAAATAATGCGTAGAATTTTACGAAAGGTTGCATCCAACAAGTTCGATGAGCTTGGGGACACTAGTACTCTGAGTGAACCTGAAATTGTAGACTTCATTATTAATAAACACAAGGAACTGCTGAAAGAAACATCATCCAAAGTAAAAGCTTAACAAAGGTTGTATTAATATTAGTCCTAGTCCATTGTCAGAGTAAACACTTGTAACTCCAGAAAGCATTTTAAATCTATTTTGAATGAACCTTGAAGATCCTCTTATATGGGTAAAAATTAAGCAATCAAAAAATTAAGCAATCCATTTAGATTATGTTCTATGTAAATATTGATAATGAAATAAACCCAGTTTATTTATTCAAGATGTTTGAGATTAATTGATGAATAAAAAGTAGCTTGACTTTATATTTATATAATGAAAAGACTTTCCTAACAATACTTTGAAATTGATGATTAATTTTTTGGCTTATGGTAAATAGACACACAGACTGAACTGTATTTTGATGTTAGAGATGCCCAGCTGAATTGATTCAATGCCAACATGTTCCCTTAGATTTAGAATTATAAACTGAAATACTTTGTTCATTGTTGAATGCCAGCTCAAGTATTTAAAATAAACATTGTACAAGCCACCACAAAAAAATTGACAATTTGTATGATTTTATACATTGCTAAACATCTTAAAAAATCTTACTCTGCAAAGGTGGAATACCCACAGTGGTGACAAAACGTATTTTGGCCACCACATTAATTATATTAATTTCAATTATTTTATATATGTTTTTGTTATGATTTTAGTTCTTTCCAATTAAGCTTGTTTGGAATATTTACTCCAACCCAAATTTGTTTTGAATGTGTATTTCACAATTACCATTTGTTTTTCTAATCTGCCTTAAGTGCCATGTCAGAGTGTTAAAAGCCATTCTATAAAATGATTTATACAAATGCATAATTATATAAAATTTACATACTGGTATGTCTTATTTATACATAATCAACAATATCTTTTTTATTGCTCTATATTGAATGTGATATTTTAAAGGTTTACTCTGTTACATATATCAGTGGCATCATGTACAAATAAAATAACAACACTCAAAGACTTTTTAACTTCAAGGTTTACTTTTCTCCTTTAATGAGTAAACTAGGGCAGCTGATATATTATCTATTTATTGTAATATAACTTTTATATGTTTTATTTTCATAGTTTGGAAATAAGTTAAAGGAGTCGGCGCCTTTTTAGAGGGAATTTTAAAAAAAACAACTATTTATTCAAATGATTGCCAAAGAGTTTCAATACTCTTGAGCGTCAAAATAAGCTCAAAATGTTTTTTTAAATTATGTTTCCTATCAGAACCACCTATTATTTTACTACTGCCACCCATAAAATGTTTGATGTGCCATGAGAAGAGACAATCTGTATCCATGTTAAATTTGTAGCCACTAGGGAATGTGTTACATCTTATTTATATATGCATATTTGTGATTTTGGCAACATCAATATTTATATAATGTAATTGGATTGTGTGTTCTTTCAAGTGATTGAATGCCATTATCAGTGGTGTAGTCATGCCTTATTTAACATTAAAATGTCTTGTAATTTGTAAATAGCCCTGGTACTATTTTATTAAGGACTACATCATCGCCTGTTATCACATGGTTTTTGTGACATAATTTAAGAAATTTTCTACAGATTTAATAGGCCAAAATTTAGTATATTATTTTATATGTATAAATAGTTGAAGTCTTAGCAGTGTCAACCTCACATTTCCTCCGGTGTTATTTAACATCTACTTGTTATTTTACTTGCCCAAAAAAAAAAAAGAATGATTAATCAAATTTAAACAAAATACAATGAATTATTACCCAGTGTTCTAAACTTTATTTTATATACTTTCCATATTCCTCCAGCAACTGAATGGTATAATGCATATCTAACATTCAGAGAATAGATTTTATTTCCCACCTACATTCATTTGCTGTTTTTGGCTGTAACTTTATTTTCCTGCAAGTGATGAAGATACCAGTACAATTGTTTTTTTTTTATTGTGAATGTTTTTTTTAAAGCTGTATTTTACAACCAAAGATAAAGATAGTCTATCAGTTTGATCAAAAACCTTTTACTATATCCAGAAGAAAATGATATCAGTTTTAAAATTGCAGTTGAATGCAGTCTGAATCACATGTAGATACAATTTATCCTGGATGCAGAGTCTGATGTCTCCGAAAGTTTTTGTACCACAGCTTATTATCCATTATTATTCAGTATATTTAACCAGACTTATTATTTCATTGAAAGGCAGTTGTTTCATTTGTAATCCCTTAAGTTTCACTAGACTGAAATTTATATGAGAAGCCCTAAATTTCTAGGTTTATGTTTCAAAAATCTATTTTAAAACTGTCATTAAATATAATATTTGTAAAGTTAATCAGAAGAATTTTTAACTGCCTGTTTTTATTGATATCTCAACAATGTAATCAAAACAATTTTCATTTGTTTTGATCAATATAAGAATCTTATCTCGTCATATTAAATTTAAATGTTTACAAAAATGTTTGTAAGGGGCTATTTATTGATGTCATTAAAAAAGGTAAATAAAATGGATGAAAATTTTATCATTGTTGACTTTTTCTTGCAGTTGGTGAGATGTGAATGTCAGGACTGCAGCATTACAGGCTTTCTCACCCTTTTTCTATCTTTTCATAAATTTAAGCCGTGTAATGAAATAACTCTAGAATATAATGATGCCATTGTTAACCAAATAGTTAAAATTGATTAACTTTGATAGGGACAGACTATTCAAAATTCAAACAACCAGTTAAAAATTTAAAAATAGTACTATCAGAGTTTATTAAGCTGCCTGTTCAGGTACATGATCAGAAATAACAAAACAACAAAATGGTGAGAAGCATCATTGCACTTGTTATTAAAAAATGTAAAGTTATAAATGTTCATAAGATAGAAACATAACTTAAACAGTCAATTGAATATTTGAAGGGTTCTTTTTATCATGCCTTCATTTTCTTTTCAGGTGGTAAAAGTTTGTCATCATTGTCTTCTTCATCTTCTTCACTTTCATCACCATCTGCATTATCATCTGATAAAGAACAAATTCACAAATTACTATTTATCTAATAGTTTTAATTTTTCTGGGAGAAATCTTATAAATCTTTTCTTCTAAGGTGTATTCTATATTACATGCTAGCATTTAATTTTTTTTTTATCAAACGATTCAGCATGGCCCCTCCCAAATAAACTAAAGGCAACAACGAAAGATAGCATGCAAGGAAAAACAATAAATAAAATAGCATGTAGAAAACATGAGTGGCTAAATTTCATGAAGTGTGTCTCACATAAGTACCACACGAGTGCCCTTGTATATTTCTGCAGCACACACATTATAACATGTTCATAAAAAAATTATATGTCAATTTACACTTCCAAAATATTTGTTACAGCATAAAGGCCATCCATAAATGACTTTCACATCTAGGACCAAGAAGGGGGGGGGGGGGGGTGCTTAAAAATTGTTTTAAAAAAATTAAAACTCAGGTTTAAAAAAATGTGACATCATTAATGTATTGCCTTTAGCCTTTATGATGTAAAAAATAAAATGCAAACTAACATATTAGAGATCCTGTTTAATTGCTAACACAAAGTCAAAAGGGAAATTTTTATTTTCTGGAACTTATTTAAAAAGAAAAAAAAAGTAGTTGTTGTTGGATAGTCTCTCGATAGGGATAGGCCTACAAAAATTTGAGTTTTTATTTAGGATTTTTTTTTTACATTTACAACTTCCCAACCTATGTCATCATTCACAACTTCCCAACCTATGTCATCATTTACAACTTCCCAACCTGTGTCGTCATTTACAACTTCCCAACCTATGTCGTATTTACAACTTCCCAACCTATGTCGTGCTGCATCCAAGGAATAAATGACTCCAGAAAAATAGTTTGGCTTATTATTTATAATGCCAATATAATGTAACCACAAATGCAACTTGACATTTGAATGAACTTGCCTAACTTCTTTAAAACTTCTAGGTATTAGGCATTACAAAATTTGTATAGGCATATTTAACCCACAAATAATGGAATACATGCTGTAAAAGGGTAATCTCATATTTTAGCTCAAGCGCAATAAATTCAATGCTAATGGAATAGCGTTTTTTTGTTTCTTAGTTAATTTTTTTAAAAATAATAAACTTACTTCAGGGAAAAGGATTTTATTAGTAAAATATTGTCTTTTTGTTCTAATATAAATACTGGCCAACCCCAAGTGGCACAAACCCAAGTTAAGCCACGGTCGTGGGGGTACTATTTTCTATATACTGGGTGCCGTGTCTCCTCCACCCAGTCCGCCATCCATTAATGATGTCACATGTCTAGATTTAAAAAAAAAAATTGGGGTTTATAATAAAGTATAGAATATATTTTTGTTACAAATTTGTGACAATTCTTTTGTCAATAAATTTTTGGTGATTTACAAAGAGGCAAACAACGGCCAAATAATGAAATATACAGCAATGGGGAAGTGAACACCAGAACAAAAAAATAACTAATAGAGCAAAATGAGTCCCTCCTATTATAATTATATATTTTATATATTACATTACTCATTTTACTCAGTGCAAACCTAAGTCTTCTTAGGTGTCCACTAACCAACCTAGTCCCTCTAATGAAATAAGAGCTGACCAACCAAGGACCACTTAAAACCCTTATTTGCCTACTATGAGATGACTGACAACTGCGAAGAAAAAGACATTCGAGTGGCCTAGGAAGGGGGCGGTAAGCCTTGAGCAGCATTTGTTTCTTTATCTGGAGGGGCCACATTTTTAGCCAACTGATAAATTTTTTCATGGTAGTAGGTGAAAAAATATCGCAGTGCCACTGATACATTCTTCTTCATCCATAGCTGAACTGTAACAATAGCGTTATGTTACACCGCAACAATAGTGTTACAGTACGTCAAGATCATGTGCACGTGCCATGTCTCTGGTTTACACCTCGGAACAAAATTGTTTCCCTGGTCTGCTCATTATGCTTCCCTAGTCTGCTATTACATTTTTCTGGTCCGCTCTTTACAAGGACACATCAACTCACTCATGTCACTAACGTCTATAGATTTCTACAACGTAGCCAAGTCTCACATTTGGCATCTTCGCCTGAGTGCTATTTCCCTAGTCAGCTGCTTACTAGGATAAACATGGTTTCTGCTTAGGAAAGCGGAGGCGTGGATGAGATCAGATAATTGAAGACATAGACAGTCAATACCGCACCGTGTGACCCCACTGTTAGCTGACACCTCTGTGTTAAGTTTTTATTTTTAAACTTACCTAGATAATTTTACTCTATAAAAATTGTTTTTGGACTGAGACTGGGAAAAAGAGAAAATATTTGGCCACCATCTGGCTGACAAGACAATAAACAAACTTATTGATAGACTGATTTTTTAAAATATATTTTTTAATTTGACAATTTTGTTTAATTTAAATTATTGTAATAAATTATGAGATTATCATATAAAAGTAGAGGAAAAATTTAATATTAAATAAAGGACAATGTACACCTGACGTTTTGCTCCCGAGGATTGTTACTAGAGTTTTATATTTAAAAAAAAAAATTAATATTCTAAAGGAAGTTTTTGATTTCTAAAGGAAGTTTTTGATTGATGGCTTTTAAAGAATATATTTCATAGCGTGTTTAATTAAAATATTTCAAAACAAGGCTATTTTGTCTGTGTGATTTTGTGATCCCTTTGTAAAATGGATATTGACTTTTCTGACATCTTTTGGATTTATAAAGTGTGTTAAAGTGTATTCGATGAAACTGTAAGTTGGATTTAAATTATTTTGAATATTCTAAAAGTACCCAGTAGTTTTAATCTTTTCATTCAAATTTGCGATTTTCTCATTACAGTGTGTAACTGTAGCACAGGAACACTTGGTTTTAGGGTTGACATTAGGTCAGAGATTTTAGGCTTGAAGATTTACTCTCCAGTTAGGGTGGGCTAAATTTAGGGGTGAATTTATGCTTGACTTAGGGATACTGACTTAGCACTCAGGTTAGGTAGTTGCCGTCATGGCAACAAAGATGGAGGCCATGTGGGGAAAAAAGTAGCGTAAAAACATGTTAGAACAGAAGGGAACGTCATGCCTAAAATTAACCAAATTAATATGACTTATCAATGACCAATCAAGGTAATTTACCACTTGAGCGTCTGTTATTAAAATATCACGTTGTTCCAGTTTGAAGTGCTATTGAAACGAATATTCTTTTATTTATATAATGAAATTCTTTTATTGATCCAAATAAATGTAAATGTTTTTTATGACATTTTACATATTCTTTTCAGTACATATATTTGATCTATAAAAGACAAAATTTTAAAAATATAAAATTTCAACAATTTCAATCATTTTTTAAACAGAAAAATTTTCAGCAAATTAATGTATGAAACGAAAACAGAATTTTCATCTCCACGAAAATGATTGTGGAACATGAACTCATGCAAATATAAAGGGAAATGATCAGGCTTGTGCCAAACTGTCTTTTCAGTTTGCACTTAGAGCGCATCCACACATATTCAACACCAGCATCATTAAGATCTACAAAATTTTGTTGATTAATCGCAACTGAGTGTACATAGATTCCGTGTTTTTGATGTAGTTTAGTTTATCATATTTTATGTTTGCATAAACTGCCCATCGGTTTGATACAACATGTGAGCCTGGAAGGATGGATCTCTCAATACTCTATGCACTTCAGTAGCATGATTGCACATCAGTCTGGCACTTCGACAAGAAAACAGAGCCCACTCTTTCTTTCTACACTACCATACTACCAAAAATCCAGTCCAGTCGCCTTCTAAAAATCTCTCCACCCACTGCCACACTGTACCAACTTAACTGTACTATTAATGGCCATCAATAAAAGAATAATAATTTAAATTACCCGATGCTGAAGTGGTAGATTACCCCAATCATAATCATGGAGCACGCAAATTAATTAAATATTTCTATAGTCTGCTAGACCCATCTACGTCTGACCTGTTGACACTGTTGTTGTTATTGTTGATGTCGGAATATTGCGTTGAGGCAATTGGTTTTTCTCTTCTTCTACAATGTTAGTAAGAATGACATTGCTTTGATCATGTACAGATAATACAGATTTTTTTAAATGATTGTAATTAAAACCACTCTTGTCTTCACTGACTGGTTGTGATATGGTTCGAGAAGTTCCATCACGATAATTGATTGTCATGTTTACAGTAGCCATTTTGGAACGAGAGTTATCTCTGCCTAATATATAATCTTGCATCGCTATTTTTCTTTCGCATTTTACTTGTCCTATGAATTATAAGGACATTTAATGTTTTGAAGCTGTTGTATCTCTATGTTTAAAAAAAACGAAAAATAGGCCTGTTGTAATTAGAGGATGCTAATTCTATATAAATTAACTTCCCATCCCACATATTTTTAATGAAGTAAACCATTTCCTTTATGACTTGTTTTTTTCAATATCTCTGAACTGAGTCAATGTCAATCTTAAATTAAAATTAGGGGTTCTCTTAAATGTCTGGATCAAAAAATATATAAAACATCATCTCTGGATTTGATTTCGTTTGTATTGAACTGTGAAGAACTCGCTGCTATTGTAGTTTGTTTTTTTTAAATAAAATTTGTTAACTAGATGAACTAAATAACTGACACAAAGAACTGTTCACATACTAGCTGCAGTGTCCTTCATTTGACATTTCAAAGAATCTTTGCTTTATTTAGACACTTGTTATTACAACATCAAGAGGCATATCTGCATACAAGTTCACTTCTTAACTATTTAAGAGTTAACTTTTGTCAGGGTTGTTTTGGAGGTTGGGGTGTAAAATGATCAAATTTGTCGGAATTTAACCATGTCCTGACTCATAAACCCCTGACTCTAACACCACCCACTGACTCTAAACATCACCCCTTGGAACTGAAACAACCCCCTGATTCTAACACCAACCTCAGACTCCAACACTACCCCCCTGACAATAACATCATAGCACAGAAAGTGGAAATGAATGAAACAAATTATGGGAAAACCTGAAAAAAAAAAAGGAACCCAACAAAACAAGGAACGTGTTGGCAAGAAGCCTTTATCAGCAAACAGTAAAAACACAGATAGTGGTAGCTTTCGGTTTTATAATTGTGGTGCAGATAATGGTAGTGAATTGCTTTATAATCAGGGTGTCCAGTGTATGGAGAAAAAATAAAAAGGGGGGTGGGGGGGGGAAGAGATTTAGGAGCCATTTTTCAGATATTTGTTCATTATCCCAGGCTTATAAAAATAAAGAGATGTAACTGGTATCAAGTTTGTTTTCCTTCCAAACTTTCTTATTTCACACACTCAAAACCAAAACAATCTATACAAGTAAAGACAAAAGCCTAATTTATATTTAAAAACCATTGTCAATAAGTTTAATGATTGCACAAGTTTTGAAGCATACAGGGTTAGCATTAACAAATGCAAATGAAAGAAATTATGGCAGACGTGACATAATGCATGCAAGCTGTCAATGCATAGATAGAGCAGCACTGCCAAAACAGCTGGAAATAATTGGATAAATTTTTGAGTGAAGTCATGGGATAGGTCTTGTATGAAGTCACACCTATAATATCTTTAAGTACATATGTTGGGTGTCATGGGTCTTAAGTCATGGGATAAGTCTAGTATGAAGTCATGGGATAGTCATATGATTTAATGGCTATAATATCTTTAAGTATTGTGGATGGCAAGAACAAAAAAGGTGATAGTGCTACATGTTGCCTAGCATGTTCAAATATGATTTTACAAAGGCAAAAATGAAATAATTTGGTATATAGCATTAGAGATAAGTGTAGAAAATTATAAAACAGTTTCGTATTTTCAACAAATGTTTTTTTTAATCTTCTATTTTCTGTCATCAGGACATAGCTAGAATGAAGCTAAAAATGTTGAATGTTCAGCTGTTGAATGGATGCTTACTAAGATTCCCGATACAGTGATGGCAGTGGAGTCAAAGGAGAACAAAAAAGGCACTCATTACATTGAATGGTTTTTTAATAAGTGTCTAAATGGAAGTTTTTTTCTTTGGATTAAAAAAATGCAATCCAGATAAAGGTGAAGTTCAGTTTATGCATCATACTAGCAAATAATTATAAAATTATTATATAAAAAAATACAAGTTCAATGCATAAATGTGTGCTTTGATGAATAAATGCTGAAAATAGCAATCCGATCTGGTAAGTTGCTGGAGTATATTTGAACCATTAGTAGAATTCAAACATTAGTATTTTTCACCTACAACTATTTTATATTCTGGAAAAAATGTATTTTCTTATTCCTTTTTTGGGTTGAAATAAACATTTTTCAACCAAAAAAAAAAAACTGCCAATAAATCAGCATCAACCAATTTATGAAGAGAAAACTCCCAAAACACATGGAATGTAAAGACATCAAAAGATTTGTAGAAGATGTTCACCTCTCTGTTGGAAATGTGAAGGGTGACACACAACTGTTGGATAGAAAGGAAATATTTGATCACACATTTCTTTTGAATGGAAAGCTTGCCTGACATATCAAACGTATATTCCATGTCACCAAGCTCCAGGATTCATGTCATCGGTTATTGAACAGCAAGGAGTGTACACAAAGGGAGTCTTGTCGTGTTTATGGGTCAAGGCTTGTTGACAGGAAGTCTTTACAGCAGACTCCCCTTGTTCATTATCAAACAACAAATAATCTACAGCCTGCATCAAGTAAAGTAGCATCCCATTGTTGAAATAGCTGCTACAATATTCAATACTTACATTTGATAGAATGTAGATATAAGACATTCAACATGAAATCATGATTATAATGAATAGATAAGCACATTAAATCATGATTATAATGAATATATAAGCACATGAAATCATGATTATAGTGAACGTATAAGACATGAAATCATTAATCATAATGAATATATAAGACATGAAATCATGATTATAATGAACATATAAGACATGAAATCTATGAGATTTTGGCACATAGTTGGTGTCATGACATTGTGGTAACTGAAGATCATATCATTTTGTTGATACAATACAATTGAAAGATAGACACACTTTAGATACACCCATAATACAAGGTAAATAAGAAGTAATACAAGTCAAATAACACATAATTAGAGTAAAATAAGATGTGATAACATAATACAAGTAAAACTACACAATTCAAATAAAATCATACAAGTCAAAAACTGAACATTGAAAAGACATAAGTTAACATGTAGCAATTAAAAAAGACCAGGATAAAATGGTTTTAACGCAAAAGTTTTATTATGTCAAGAGATTTTCTACACTTTTAAAATACAGACCAAAAAAAAATCAGTTCATAGTTGGATGAATTTATTCTAGATTAGTATTTTCCAAAAAGTGGTCTGTGGACAAGGCAACAGTCCAGGGGCCTTACATTATTGACGGTCCACACAACATGAATATGTATGGTGAAAAAAGAAAATATAATTAATAAATCTGGCACTGGTCCATGGTGGATTTTTGTTCACCGGTCCGCCAAACTTAAAAGTTTGGGAAATGCTGTTCTAGATTGTCTTGAATTGTGACCTTAAAAAAAAAAAAAGAACTGAGACACGATAACAGACAGCACCGAGTTAATTGGGGGGACAAACCAGCAAAACACAGTACTGTTTTAAAACATGTTGAAAATTAACTTTCTTGCAATAAGAAAAAAAACAACTCCATTCTGGTCCAATAGATGGTGGCCATCCTGGCTCAAACTGATGGTAACCAGCCTGGTCCCAATTAAATATGGTCAGTATTTTTAGATGTTACTGCACAAAAAGTATTATATCCAGACACTTATAAAAAACATCATATTCACAATAGTAATGGGAAAAAAAAACATCATATTCACAATAGTAATGGGAAACATTGTACCGGTAATGAAAGTAATACACTGTACTTAGTGTAAAAAAAGTACATGTTTTATTGTTCACAGTATAAATGAAGTATGCATAATGTACAAAGATGCTTGTGTAAATATACACATTGTCAGGGAATAGATGGGGAGATTCAGAATAAATGTCTGCCTTCCTCATTCTAACAAAATTCAATTAGCAATGCTGATTTTGTTAACAAAATTAAATAAATATATTTTTTTATTATGGCTTTCAAAGCACTTGAATGATTAAATCAAGTTTCAAAAGGAACGTGGCGAGGTGTGCCTCAAATGTTAAATACAAGATAAAAGTAGGGGATATGTGTATACATAAAATGTGTCAATAATGCCAGTTGGGTTGTTGTTTTTTTTTTGGGGGGGGGGGGGTGGAAGAGTAAATCAAATGTATCAATAGTGCTGGTCTTGTCAGTGTTTTGTCAAAACATTAAATTTTTTAGTGCCAGTCTTGTGTGATATTGTATATACATTAAATGTGTCAATAATGCCAGTCTTGTGGCGTACTGTCTTTGCATTACATGTGTCATTAGAGCCAGTCTTGTTGAATATGTCATTAGAGCCAGTCTTGTTGAATATGTCATTAGAGCTAGTCTTGTTGAATATGTCATTAGAGCCAGTCTTGCTCAATATGTCATTAGAGCCAGTCTTGCTGAATATGTCCACACATCAAATGTGTCAGTGCCAGTCTTGTATGGTATTGTCTGGCATTGTCCATACATCTGACACAGTTGACTGACTATGGTAGCTAAATAATGGATGATCTGTGCATGCCCTGGTAGTAACTACATAATGTCAGGCAGTGAGAATGATTGAACAAACATTTCTGGCAAATTACGAGAGCCAAATCAGAAAACATTAATTATGATTCATTTCAAAACAGGAAAAACAAAACTTAAAACAGCATTGTATCTTACAGTACAGACATCTACATCTAGTTCACAGCCCTGATTCATCAACAGAGGGAAAGGAGTTTCATCAATTAATCTAAGCTAGAATTGATCTATTAGCAATGATTCACAATTAAACTAATAGTTATGATGTAGGATCTGCAGATAAACATTACAACTAAAATGACAATAAATGTTTCAAACTTTTCTCTACCCACACCTTTGCTCCATCTTTCCATTTGTATAATAGTATAAAATCTAGTATTTCTAGGCAATATTAGATGACAAGCAAAGTAATCTGTAGTTGACACCAGTGTTTCCAGCCTTGGAATGCACAGCTCTGTATTATACTTTGTGACTGTGCTTTAACCCCCGACATGTTTTCATAACTGAAAAAATTCTCAAAGGTTCAGATTTAATCAGACT